AGACTGGTTTTTTGTGAGGCCGTGTATCACTATGGTGGAACCAGTCCATTTTATGCCGAAGCATGTCTCTCCCACGGTAAATTTGTTAGTGTGAGTTTATTTCACATCTTTTGGAAAAATCTGTTCAGAAATTAAACCTAGTTTAGGTAAATTGCTATTTTACTTTATCAAATCATCACGTCAGTAATAATATTATCATATATGTGACGTGGTGCGAGGGTTGTTGCTTCAATTCGCTTCAGAGATGAAAAAAAAACTGGCACTCCGGGAGTGCCAACAAAGTGAAAAAAGAAAATTTAATTGTTTGTTTCTTTCGATTCGAAAAGTTCCGACATGAATATGTATATATCTCTGTTAAACGTATACACACATTTTATGTTTTTATTATATTTATCTAGTTATATTATCAATATATTTTAACTCAAACTCAACTCTTGTGTCAACGGGGCCAACACATGTAGACACTTATATACATGTATATATACAGGTTATATAGTTAGATGTTTATATATGTGCAGTATGCATTATAAAGTATAGGTGCATATGCATAAGGACAATTAAGTTTTAAGCAGGTTTTAGGTTGCCTCATAATCCAAAGTTTGATGCCAGCGTTCTAAGGATACTTTGCATTTTATAATGAACAGTACATTAATGCAAATGACCGTGTTGACACAATTGTAAAGGCGACAGCTGTTTATGGAAAAAAATCTACCGATGTACACTGCTGCTGCTTTTTTTCCCACCTCAAAAAAATCATTTTTTGTTTGTTGTTCAAATATTTCCAACGCACCTTAAGAAGTTTTCCCTTCAAAAACCATTCACTATTGTTTTTAATTCTAACGTCACGGAACGTTAATTAATAACATTTATTGTAAACCTTTGAAATATTTTAATACCTAGTGACGTATAGAAAGACAGTACCCAAAAAAATCAGTACACATCTAGTACGTTCCGCAACGGCTTACGGCGGTCACGATGGCAACTCATCGTGATAAGATCTGACGTATTTTCTTCTCACAATATATAGGAGGAGTGGAGATGAAATTATCAAAACAGAACATTTTGTACTCGAAGGTGGTAATTAGACTGTGGACGAGTAGTAACATACCACAGCCTTTTTACATTTGTTTCATATTTATTGAATTTCGGATTTAATAGGTAAGGTGAACAGTTTAAACGGAATTATTAGAATAAAATATTAATCAAGCCTTCATTTTAGTTTCTTGGAATACCACCATAATCTTTGTTTTTAATTAAGAAACTTTTCGCATTTGACTAGACACGAGTATAAGCCGTCACACAATGTCTGTAAATAATTGCTATATCATTTAAAACAAGTGAAGTTTTAACAGTTCTTAAGTCACAAATGTCTATTTACCGAAGATAAATAACTGATCAAAAACTGAGCATAATTTGTAAGTGTTTCAAATGAAGATAGAACTATTTTGGTAACAATTTTTCAACACTTTAATTATTTATTATGTCTCAGTTGCAAGTGTCAACAAATCACATGGATCATTGTGCAGGTCACGAATAAAATATCAATTGAATGACCTTGTAGATTTACGCTATGTCAGTTTCATAGTAAAAAAACACTATTAAAATACTAGTTCTCATCTTTCTGACTGGTCGTATTAAAGCACGTATAACATAAAAATGTTGCATAAAAGTTAGAAAAAGAAACATGCACGCGCTATTAGAAGTTTACTGTAAATTTAAGTTTTTTAAATTTAACAACAATAATGCACTCAACTGAAAAAGAAATTGGAAGAAATACTTAAAAAACACTTATAGAAGTGTAATCTCCCATCATACACACATATAATACATAAGATTTTTTTTATTAATGGAATACTAATATTTGTTTTGAAATTAAATTTTCCTTTGAATTCATTATATAATTTAGTTTCCTGTACTTATTTAGAAAAATAAAACTAGAGTAAGAGTGGGCAGCCCCGAATAGCGCAATAGTGGTCTGGTTCAAAATGAAGTAACAGTTGAAAATTCTGATTGATTGGAAATTAACAAAAAGTTCATTAGAAATGAGATCGATTCTGCAAAATTTAAAACATAATGAATCCTATATTTAGACATACCAACTATCGGTATAATCTACATATCGGTGGTATTATCAATGTTTAGCCTATCAATTTGATTACATCTGTAAATTGTTTTTTTTTTATACGTATTGAAATTTATGAAAATAGAGTTAGCAAATGATAATAGGATTAGGTAAAAAATAATTATGTTGCAATCAATAGGAATGAATAGATTTTGAAAATCTTAATTTTCCTATTTAAAAACTAAACTATTTAAACGTATTAAATCTTAAACAGAGGTTTGAAACCTTAAACTTTAAAATTAATCTTATCGTTTTAGAAATTCAGTTTAGTATATCTAGTAGCAATATTAGCAATTGTAAATAAGATTTTTTTAATTATTTCATCTATTTGTTGTATAAGTAATACGGTAGTTAACTATCATGTCATATTACTTTCGTTTTCGTTTGATGCAGTAATTGCTGATCCAGCAACCTAACGCGGTCGCAGTTATACCTTTATAATAATAAACAGTGATAGAGTTATCGAAGTGTTTAATTTAGCATCGAACTTAGCAGCAGCCCATCGCATGTAGGAAACGTATCCTACATTAGTTCCTTCGAAACAATCGACTAGTGAAGTTCGTGACATCTGTACAGCGATCTATATTGCGAATATCTAAAAGCGTTCGTAAAGTGTTAACAGCAGCAAGTACAGAGGACACTCAATACACCTCACAACAGTTCCAGCGGTACTCATTCATCAACATTAATCCTGAAGAGAAGGCTCAACAGCAATATTGACGTCGAAAGCATATCTAGTCGGTCCGACAGCACAAAGTAAGATCTTTCTATTACTCTTACCGTTTTTCGAGCAACAGACTCAAGATGGTTAGTCTATATCTCTCTCAATCCAAGATTGCAGAGAGCATGAACAATATGCTCATTCATTTTTAAAAAGATAAAATTGAGCGTAATACTTTTGATTATTGTAGGCGTAAACTCGAGTTACTTAAGGCGAGAGTATGAAAAAAATCATGAAAAATTAGTTGCGTTTGAAAAAACTAATCATGTGTATTTAGTCAATTCGGAGTATGAGAAAACGAGAGAACTTTAATTGACAATCCAAACTCTGATGAATAAACGTCAAGAAGAGTTGAGCCTACGAGATCAGCCCTCGCCTCAAGAGCAGAAAGCTATGACTGGCGCTTTGATGTGTCAGTCTAAACATAAAGCAATAGTAGTATATCCAACTACTATATCGAGGAGTTCTTCAAGTAAGCTGGACAATATGCTTCACAAGCAGTCAGTCAATTTTAAAGCTTTTATACGAACAATCGACAATATTAATCTGGATACATTACAGATTAATACTGTCGATTGTTTGTATAAATGTTTTGAAAATACTTTATATTTGAAATTAGCTTACCTCTTATTAGTTGGATAATGGGGTGATAATTACTATAAAGCTATTATCTGAATAAGCAAACTATACTCGTAATGATCTACAAAGCTTTGAATATCCAGAAGATTGCCATATGCATGGGCACTTCATAAGCTTGAATTCAGAAGAAAAAATTTGTGAAAAGACACTCTCATCTACTTGTAACATGATAAAGTCAAGCTGTAAAAATCAATGAATTCGTATACACGACCTTTCTACCTAATTTTACTTCTGTTGTAACTCATACTCTATAAAGATCATATGCGACAACGAAATACAAACGCGCCAAGACAGCAAGTCCGGGCTTATTCAGCTTACGAGACAGTGCATTGTTAAAGGTCATGACATAACGCTGTACGCTTATCAGCAACCAGAGAATCCGGTCAATCTTAAGTTACTTACTCGATTCTAAGTTTACGACCTTTAACCGTTTAATCCATAACCTTACGCTAGCTATCCAAAATATAGAAACATTAGAAAGTGAGGACTCACGTATCAACGATTCTCTGAACCATCAAGATTGTTGAAAAAATCAGAACAGCAGAAAGATGGCCTGACGACCATGACATGTGATACATGATTACACTGTGTCGTATGGGCTATTAGGAGTAGTCCTGTAGTTCCTGTGGAGGAGGCGCAACAGCGACGGGTAACATCGAGCACACGTCGAGAGCGTGCCTACCAGCGTGAGTGTGTTTGTAAACCAAACTGACCAAAGTTCTAGTGTCAGTGCAGGAGATCCAGCCCCATCCGACAAAGAGTTTTATGTGTGTAATAGTGCGCGTAAACCTAATAGTGCGCGTGAACATAGTTTTTCAAAAAGTCGGTCTAGTTTACATCTGATAAAGCGAGATAAGTCCACGTGTGTCCCCTATCGGGAAAAGACAACCTGTATTCTTACATGCTGACTCAACCGTTTGAGTACAGGTAACTAACATTTATTATCAAAACTCACCTTCTCGTAAATCTTTATCTTATAATTTGTAGCTTATCTCATCTTATCTTCTCCTCTCGGGAGCATGTGCGATGCAATAATTACGAACGAACCTTGTGATCTAGCAACCTGACACGGTCACCCTATGTGCGCGGCGAGATCAGTGCATATTCGGACACTAAACCGGGTGCATTCGTAACTATTAGCATAGCTTAGTACAGTTATACGTTTTATACTCGTAATAATAAACAGTGATAGAGTTATCGAGGTGTTTAATTTAGCATCGAGCTTAGTCCATCGCCTATTACTCGTAGGAAAGGTATCCTACAGTTTTATTTAAAAAACCCAAAGGGCTACATTTAACCCAATTTATAAGCAGCCTTTGAAGTCATGCCTTGTTACTGTAAAATCGGTACCTACTGATTTTATTTTGTAAAACGATTATAATATCATAATTTTTAGTAGTGATGTGAAATGTATTTTTTCAGTCTTTAGTACAACTTAATTTTAAATACTTTAAATAAATTATAAGGGTTTCTTTAGAGTTATTGTTCTCTATACGATTTTTTGTTATAGACACTAAAATGGAAAAGACTAATTCAAGAGACTGTGAGATAGTGGAGAAAGAGAAGAAGAAATCCTATGGGACTACAGTAGAAGAAGCACTTGTTATGACTGGTCAGTAGTTTAATAGCAGCCAATATTTAAATTATCTAATTATTGTCAGACAAATTACGGCAGAATAAATATCTAAATATATTATATTATGTATAATGTTGTAAATATTTTATTTGCATTATGTTTTTTTTTATTTTTTACTGTAAGCTTATATTGTATAAATAAATAATATGTTAATTAAAAATAAATTAAAAAATCCCAAAACTTCGCAAAAAAATATGACTGACTGACTTCAAAAAAATTACTACATTTTTAATAAAAAAAGAAAACAAGTCAATCGATCACAAAGACCTTACCATGATATGAATTGTATCATATATAAATTAATAAAAATGATTATTTTCCTTCGACGCGTATCTTGTTAAAAATAATTTCATTAATTGTGATTGAACTTACTTCTGAACGAATATTAGTTTACACATGAAAGAAATGGAAATTAAGAATGAATGAAATTTTAATGGCTGGTCACTTTAACTTCATTCTTTTTTTATTCTTTTTACAAATGTTTACTTTCTTTATTTATGACTTCTTATGCTTACCAAACTACTATTATATTATGGCTTTTATGACTGCAGGTTTCGGCAAGTACAACTTTGGTCTATTATTGGTATGCAGTTGGATCCTGCAGGCCATGGGTATGGACATGTTCGGCACCAGTTTTGTGGTGGCCGCGGCGGTATGTGACCTGGAACTGACTATGCAGCAGCGAGCTTTACTTACTGCCATGCCTTTATTGGGTAGGTTTCACAGAATTATCATCGCTCAAATGAACTGCTTTTACTAGAATCTACTTTAGTTGGTTTTCATTATCACTTATAGTAGTGACTAGGTCTCAGAATTAAAAAATGCGTGGGGTGCTAGATCTTAATTGTTATAAAAATATTTTATTACTTGATATTGGTAAAAGTAAAATGATTAAATTAGAAAATATCTTGAAAAGCACCCCTCGCTCTTTTAAGATGAAATGATTTTGCTTTTTGAACTTTTATAAAATCATTTTCTGCTTTTTAGTTTGGGTAGGTACAAAAGCGTGGTTTTTAATATTTTTTGTTAAAATTTATTTTTGCTCTTTTAGTCATTAATGATGAGTATTTTCTCATCAAGACTAAAAAAGTAACAAGTAAGTAAGTTACATATGCTTCAGCACACACCTCTTAGACCCTACCGTATTTTTAGGCTACGTACCCGTTGGACCTCCAAGTTTAGACCCTATCACAAAAGTACTCATTCGACCTTCTTCTTAGGTCCTTTTAGACCCTCTTCAAAATAAAATAAATTTGCCCATTGAATCTCTTTTTTTAGTACCCTTTAGACCTGCAATAAAATTTGTATTTATTTGGTATTTGTTCAATGTTACTTTAGTCAGAAACAGTAGGTGATAAGTAGACACAGGAAAAAAAGAAAAACAAAGCGCACTAGCGACCGACTAATCAGCATAACTTGAAAAGTCTCTATTGTGTAGGAATTACGTGGGTAAAAATCATAATACTGAAGATTAAAATACCTACGGGTAAAATGTAAATGTTTAAAACATCATAAATTATAATATTAAACGACCATAAAGTAGAAAATCAAAATAACAAAAGTTTAAATAACCAATGCCAACGTCCAATATTTCTAAAATGTTTGGAAAATAAAATGTTTTGTTTAAATTATCTACAAAAGTAACGTCAAAGGACCTAAATAGAGGGGATCTAGATCTTTAGTGTTCACTGTTCTAAACTAACTCAAATTTTAAACATTTGATATTTTAATTACCCGGCAATTCAACCTTAGACGTTTTAAGCTACGATCTTTGAATTTTTTGATATTCGACACTTTGCCTGTAGATATTTTAATCTTTGTTATAGTGTCTCACTTTTATACACCATTGTATTTTAATTTTTTAAATGAACATGTATGTATAATTAATGAGCTCCAATGAAACACGTTACTTGATAGAGTCGGTCTAAGGGGTACTAAAGCATGGGCATGAAAGTTTTAAGATCCAAACGGTACACAGAGGTCCAAAGGGTCATATTTGTAGATGAGGTTGAAAGGTGGAGGTTCAACGGGTACGTAACCTATTTTTAGGTATGGAAAAAGCCGTTTAAAAATATAAGTGTCTTCTTTAAAATTATTACTTTATTTAATAAATAATAATAATTATTACAATAATGATATTTATTACTTTATTTAGAATTTTCATAACACCTTATATCATATGGAGACATTGATTGGTCTGTCATCAATAATTTAAGTTAAAACGATACAGCCCCTAAAATTGGTTATATTGAAAAATACAATCATTTTATGACGTGATCGAACACGTTATGCAGAGCTCAATTTTAAGAGTTGGCCACAATACTACGAGTACTCTCCTTGTTATTATTGTACCAACTACATTTACCTATTTATTAAATATTTCATAATTACGTTATGAATTAATTTATCTATTGCTTAAAGAGGTTTCCTATTTCACAGCTTTTTAAAAAACATTGTGATAAAAACATTTTTATCAAAACTTACTAAGAAATACGTTCAGCTAATTTTAATTTTATTTGATTTCTCCCCAGGTGTGGTAGCAGGTGCTCAACTGTGGGGATACGTGTCAGACACGAAAGGTCGTAAACTGACTTTGATGTTGTCTATGTCCGTAGGCTTTGTATTCGCAGCCCTCAGTAGCCTTGCACCCAACTGGCAGATCATGGCAGTGCTAAAACTCATCTCGTCCACTTTGTATGTATACTGTTGTTCAATGAATCTATTAAGTAGATAATTATCGATTTACTCCCACAGTTATCCTATAGTAGGGGAGCCCATGATGCTGAATGTGGATTTACAGGAGCATCATGGGAACCTATTGGATTTGAAAGATTAGGTAACAGAATGAATAAAAGTCATATAATGTATCCACTTTTAGCAGTGGGAAAAGCTTCTACAGGTTTTCAAAAGTGTAAGGGGAGGAAATCGAAAAACATATTCGGGCGCATCAGGTATTTTGGGGATATGTTATTTGGACAAAAATGCTGCCATTGAAAGGCCTGACGATTTCGAAAATGCAAACTGCAAATTCGATAAATCGCTATTTCGAAATACCCGAGTGTGTTATATTTTACACAGATGGTTCAGCTTGATGTTCCTCTCATACTAGCCAAAATCTGACGATAATTTTGCAGGGTATTTTAAATGTGACGATGAGAAGTATTTTTAATTTTTGGGTTTTTATAAAATGTCACAAATAAAGAAACGAAAAATTATGTAGACATTAAAAGAAGATTCCTTGCACGGTTTACTTTAAAAAAATGACAAGGTAATGGGTAATTTTTGGAACTTTGTGACTCTCCCACTGTTTTATGTCATCAAATCGTCAGTTTTTTTTTAAATACACACTAATGTGTATGTATTTGAATCAACTAACCTTAATCTTATTCTTGCTCGCTCGAGTATTTCTGGCTATCGATTTTTTTAAATTAATCTGATGGGCTGCCCTAGACGCTCCCCCCTATGTGTAGGGCTCTGTATGGTGGAGGTACTCAACTGGGGTTAAGGTATTCCTCCTATCTTAATCTGATACGCTCGAGTAAATCCTGAAATCCCTTCTAGGGCTCCTAATGGACGCGAATCTTTACAAGCGCATTATAAGCGCCAAGCAAACATCAAATAAGTAGGTTTCTTTTACTTCCAAAGCCAAGTTCAAATTGACATTCGAAATGCTGCATATATTTTTGTTAACTAAGATTACCGGTGCTCAATTATAATCAGAGATATCTTTATCTTTCGACCTGTTTATATGTATGTTAAAGGTGTGATTGTCACAATCTTTAATAGATAGGTATTGAATAATCTGTTTTTACATATTATGATGAATTATTATGTTCTCGTAAAGTTGAATGAATGCTGTTTGCTCAGTCGAAATTGGAAATGTTGGGTTCATGGTAAGGACTTTAATTGCGTAGAGCTTAAAAGCAAGATGTTAAAAAGGTCGCACGCAGTCTCGGCTTGCTGTGCTAATTTAGGAGGTTTTCGCATAGTTATACTTTCCTGACTATTGGTATGTCGTGTATGAGCTAATAAGGTTATTGGTGTCGTAGGTAGTAAAGTTGTATTAAGAGAAAATTAAATGAGCTTAGTTATGAGGTATTTAAGAGAAAGGAGAAAAACAAGCCAATTACATAGTTTATCGAAGTGATTCTGAGCAGCATTTTGAAGATTAAGTTTGCCGGAAACCATCAAAGAAACAACCTTTCTAAAGCCGAGCCTTGGATGGTACAGCCAGAACCGCGATATGATAGTTATTAACGGTAGCACATCACCTTTCTTAAATGTGGGTTAGATTAAAAAAAAAAACAAAATCAAAATTTTTCTATTGATTTAAGATTTTGGTAAGTACAACTAAAACAAAAACCAGCATCAGACCTTAACTTCAGATTTATTTTATGATGGTATAATCTGAATACTTTATTATAACAACTTTGGAAATGAGATAGAACATGTTAACTATTACTTGACAAATGTTTGCTAAACTCTTCTAAAATTAAACCAGGCCAACGAATTTCGTTTATGTCTAACTAGAATTCATAACCGAAAATATTATTCAAAATTTTGTTACATTTGTTTGTTACCTCAATTGTTATATATACAAATATCATGCCATGTTATGAATAGAACAACTATGTTTGATATTAAGGAGTGCAAAAATAGAGTCAAGTATTATAAAAGACTGTTTACCTTGACTGCTATATTTATATTGCCATGTAGAATGTCAAATAAAAATTGTTTAATGTGCGCATTAAGTCAATGTGGGAATTTCTGGACAAACACATAATAAACCATTTTATGAAAACAAGACATGTTATCTTAATTTTAAAGTTTCTGTATCTCCATAATCAGATAAAACATTAAGAACGTTTTAACAAAATAGCAATTTATAGCAAATTTGATTTTTAAACTACAACTTCTTTAAACAATTGTCAATAAACGGAATACTATAAGAATACATTAACATTGTTAGGTCATCGATTTCAATAAGAATCATGATTATAAATCTGATACACTTGTAGCCATTTGGCTACAGGTGTATTAGATAAATGATTACATAGGCCTAGCAAACTTGATAATACTCTAAATCGAATATTAAATACTCGTGGTAACTCCATGGCCAGAGTCTCTTCCTAAAATCGATTTTACATCGCCTTAGTTCTATCCCAAACAACCTAGCGCTGAAAACAGAACTTTTCCGTAATAATCACATGTACTAAGTACATAATATATGTATAACGACGTAATACGTCAAAGCTATTGCGGCATACTACGTCACGGAGTGTGTGACCGCTAGTGATAACGTTATCTTGTATTATATATTTAGTTCAAATGTTTGTTTTAAAAACCCCCTAGTCAAGACAAAGGTGAGATAACAGCTGAATAAATCTTTTAGCTAAAATAAGAATGTCAATAGAAGAAAACCCGTAAACAATATCACTTCTGATGTTATTTGCTGACTGAGTTAGATAACGGCCATGTATTTAATTATCACGTACTGTGTATATACTCGTTTTATCATCACTAATATGTTGTATGATAAATGCATAATAGACTTACAAATAGATAAGCAAATTTGGAAGTTTATGATTACATCATCTAGATAAGCGGCTTTTCTAATTCTGATCGATATGGGAATTCAAGTTTCATTATGCAATGAACTGTAACCAATAGCAAATAGGATGTAACTATTAAGATTATACTTTGAAACTGTTTCCAATTATCCTGCTCATTAGTATAGATGATTTCAAAATACAGAACAAGATAATTACAGTGCAATGGAAATTTGTAAGCAAGCATCTATCTTTAACTTAACCTAATGTTACATATTTATTGACCCGTAGTACCTCAGCAAGCAACTCGGGAGCCTACACACTGCTTGGTGAGAGTTGTTCGGCGCAAGCGCGTGGCAAAGCCTTGCTGCTATGCACGTGTGCATTAATGTGCTCGCAAGCTACTGTAGCAGGTACGAATTATTTCAGAACTTCTCTGATCAACTTCTAGAATTTATTTCTGATTAATTTCGTTGCCGGTTCCAGAACAGTTTACGTATAACTTTTCCTATGTGTATTATAATTCGGTGTGTTCATGGGTCATTGCTGTTATCCTATCACATCTTTGCTTTAAAAGTTCTTAAGATTTGTTTTGATTATAAATATTTCTAAAATGTATAAATGTTCATTATCGCCAAGATTATACATATTTTTAAATTAAAAATTAAATATTGTGCAATAATTAAGACAAGTTGCACATTGCTATCTAGATTATGAAAGAATTTCATCGGTTTATTAAAATTAACTGACTTTTCTTACAGCTTATGCCTACCCAATCCTTCCTTTGGACTTCTCTTATCGTATCGAATTTTTGAACATTACGTATCGGCCCTGGCGGTTGCTTGCCTTCGTTATGGCGCTTCCCTGTGCTGCTACTGCTTGTTTGCTCCAGTTCTTCCACGAGAGTCCTAAGTTTCTTGCTTCTAATGGCAGATGTGAGGAAGCTTTAAATATACTTAAGAAAATTTACGTGTGCAATACTGGTCACAGTGCGGAAAGTTTTCCAGTAAGTATAAAGTTGTATATTTAAGCGTGCTTACAAGGATCTACTTGTACCTTCATCATCATCATCAACAGCCTTTAATATTCCACTGCTGGACATAAGCCTTTCCTTAGAAAGGAGGTTTTGGCCTACTACACCACGCTGCCCAGACGGGTTGGTATAGGGTTTGTCTCAAGTTTTCCTTCTCTCTGCAGTGCTGTTGTTCTGCGTAGTTTTCTCCCTTAGTCGGCTCTTACGACACCCACGGGATGAATAGGGGTGGTGACACTCTGTATTCTTAATCCGTCACCAAACGGATATTACATTCGAGTATTTATATAATAATGTGAAAGTTGGTTTATGTAGATATTTAACATCACAATGACCAATGGTATAGGTTAATATCATTGTCAAAGGTTTTATGGCAAAATTATACACACACACTAGATTATTTTTAAGTTATAAATATTGTTACTTTGCTGTCCTTTAGTTTTTATGATTATCTTTCGATATTCCACCACTGACAGTATTTAATTTGTTAAATCACTGAATCTTGCAACTGTGTCAATATTAACTAAATCTTATAAAAAATATATGTTTTTTTGCAGTGTAATAAATTGGTAGATGACTCAGATAACCAGAGTACAAATTATCAAACTTCATTCTTTACTTCAATTTGGTACCAGACCGTTCCCTTGTTCAGGCAAGCTCACTTAAAGAAAACTCTTCAACTCTTCTACCTCGTAGCTATCATTTATATGACGTAAGTACATTTACAAATTTCCTTTCACTTAATTACTCACTAATTTATTTTTCAAATGTTTGTTACTTTTCACCTAAAATATTTGCTTTTTTTCTTGTTTGCAAACATGGTTCTAATACATTCTTTGATTCAATAATACTGCTGTTGTTATTTTACATTGAGTTTAGTCATGATACATCATCATCAACAGCCTCTGTTTGTCCACTACTGGACATAGGCATCTCCTTAGAAAGGAGGTTTTGGTCTACTATACCACGCTGGGAGACGGGTTGGTATAGGGTTTGTTTCAAGTTTTCCTTCCCCTCTCCTGCTTTCTTAGTCGGTTCTTACGACACCCACGGGATGAATAGGGGTGGTGACTCCGTATTCTTAAACCGTCACCACACGGTTTGTCATGATTAATTAAATATAACTTTTGTTGTAGTGGCAGTGGCTTCATCCTCTGGCTTCCATATATCATGAACAATCTCTTCTCTGTGCTTGAGAATGGCGGTGGTGATGGCATGAATTTATGTACCGTTATCAGATACCAAGTGCAAGACACCCTTTCTGTTAAAAATGATACTGTAAGTCAAACTTTGATTTATTTTGTTTGCTAGAACTGGTCCTTTAGACTTCAGAATCCAGACGAAGTAAAATTTTGTACTTATTGGCATATTTTTTCCAGAATATTAAAATCTGCGATGATACAATCCAAGAAACTACTCTATTCTCAGCTATGACGTATGGGGCCCTAGCTTGTTGCTCCAATTTAGTCCTTTCCTTAACTTGTGGAACTCGAAAGAGACAGGCTATGATGTGTATTCTGGCCATATCAGCTATCGCTGGAATACTCATGAATGTAGTGCCCGTGCCTCTTGCTGGTGGAATATTCTTTTTCTTCTTTTTGATGTGTGCACTGTCAATGGGAATCCTGAGTGTTTTCTTCATAGAATTGTATCCAACTTCGTTGAGGTGAGTCAGTCGAAAAATCGCGTTTTCTAGACTAATATTGTAGTAAAGTAACTTTTTAATTTTTAATCTGTCTAAAAAAAACGATGTTTATTGTTAATAATACGCTTTTTTAAACATTGTTTTTGTGGGCTATCTAAAATTTGTAACAGATATCATTACATTGCTATTTAGTCTTCTGCATGACTTTAGCAATGATCACGACAATAAATATCTTATTGTTCCCAAAAGCCGTGCCTAATGCTTCTTCAAATTTAATACGACCGTCTCCCAGATTTTGTGCTTAAACAGTTAAATTTTTAATAAGCTAAATTTCTACTCACTGGATTGTTCACATATATAATTAGATTGGATTGTTTATAAATATATAAATGTTCAAGCAATCCAATCTAATTATAATATGCTTTTTACTATGGACTCAATTAAAGAACCATGAGGGTTCTGTAATTGTTTCTTCTCCAGATTTTCTACGACTTCAAGTGATGAATGATGACCAAAATTTTGTTACAGGGGAATGGTGTCCTGTCTATCCATTATGTTGGGGCGCTTATTCGCATTTGGTGGTGTAAATGTGATTGGAGCCTTCATTTCCACCAATTGTGAGGCTACCTTTTACGTCTGGTCTTTCTTGTTACTTAGTAAGTGTTGCTCTAGTGATTTTTATTATTATGAAAATAGTCTTATTTTATTATTTATGATAAAGATATACAAATAAAGATACCTAATCTTAACCAAATTGCCCGCAACGAAGCTCAGAATTCTTTGTACTATCTGTTATTTATTTATGAATGCTATCGATTTACGTAATACGTGTTTACTACCTCTTTCGTGCGTATTTATAGTACACTATAAAGTTATTTGTGTCCATAAGTATTAACTACCTTTACTGTGCTATTAAAGGATTCCAAAACGAAAACTTGTTTTAACTAGTTCACGTCTTAAGACTAGTTTCAATTACAATGAAGAAACTCCAATGGAATATTAAATTATTGCTGTTAAATTAGCTCTTTCTTAAGTAGTTTTTTTTTAAATATCTTCATCATACAATGTAATTAGAAACCATTGTAAAATATTTTTAAAACAATTAAGATCTAGCACCCCAAGCATTTTTACAATTAACGACGAAAACTATTTTTTTCTTTTATTTGTCTAGTTAAAAAAGCGTGTTTTTTAATTTTTTAAACTAAAATTTATTTTTTTATTTTTTAGTCATTAATGATTATTGTCTCATTAAGACTAAAAAAGTAATAAGTAAGTAGTCACATATGCTTCAGCACAGCCTCTTAGTACGTTGCAAAAGACGCTACCGTATTTTTAGGTATGGACAAAGCCGTTAATCCTGAAGATCCTGATCAGAATAATCGGCCACATTAATTAGATTATTGTATTGTCATCGGTTCTTGATAAGTGTTCAAAATTTCAATTTAATTCGACGTTTGAAGTGGGTCAAAATCACGATCGAAGATTCCGTTACATAGATACATACATACATACATACCGAGCTAATAAAAGCGTGTTAATAATATTTTGACAGATTTCCTTTTATTTTAATTATGTATATGTTTGATTGTGTTTCATAAATATAACTGTTATAAATTTCTTCCAACAGCTGCTATAGGAGTAGCTTGGTTCTTACCTCGAGACAAGGAGCCCAAGAACTGAAAGGTAACTACCGAGAAGCTCAGCGTTCGAGCATTGGATCAACAGAAGACTGATTATCTTACAGTTAATATTCTTGGAATAGTAAGGCCTATTCTGCAGTCTCTTAAAATAGTGATGAGTCTATGGTACTGATGCGGTAATTTGTATTTTATAAGCATTAACGTCATAAGCATTAGATTAGGTACTAAACTGAACTTCTGTGTATTTTAAATATTGTGAGATGATTTCTCGAATAGTTTACTGACTGATAATTTAGGTATTAATATATTATTCGAGAGTTGTAATTTAAGAACAGTTTATTAGAACAAAACAAATAATTCAAAACGCACAAAATTAAAACAGATGCAAAAACATTTTGGTCAGGATTAGCTATGAACAAAAGCAGCAGTGTATGAATGAAAGGATCCCTTCCAAATATTTTTTTAAAATTTCTAACTGTATAAAAAATCTATTGTATTCTTAAATAATATCCGATTGTGCCGATCCATGCATGCATTTAAAACTGTCAATGTTAGTCGTGATGTGTTCTGTGGATTTGAGTTTAATTACAAACATATTATATGTTACTATAGTCAGTGATGTTGACATTGAATCGAAAACTACTCTTGACAAGAAATTGAAAAATATATAAATCAAGAAAAACGTATTCACACTCACGCCCCGAAGGGGTAACCATATATGTATTATGTATAAGTCCATTGAGAATTTCAGACGGGAGAATTGCGAGTTTAGCGAAGGCAAAAAAAAGTAAAAAATACAAACCATATATCAACCCATCTGGCCAGGGTAACATAGTATGCCTATACCTCCTTTCTAAGGAGAGGCCTATGCCCGAGAAGCCTATTATCGTTTACCTGTAACTCTAACTAGTTGTTGCCTTGGAGGGACTTCACATTAACAGCCTTTAACAGTCCACTGCTGGACATAAGCCTCTCCTTAGAAAGGAGGTTTTGGCCAACTATACCACGCTGGCTAGACCGTTTGGTATAGGGTTTGTGTCAAGTTTTCCTTCTCTTTGCAGTGCTGTTGTTTAAAGGGACTTACTTAAATAAAATAATTTCTGTTCCTATTGTTACTTCTTTAAGTGTTTTATTTATTTTATAAGTTATTATAATATATTTCTCTTATTAATCATAAGTTGTAATACTTTAAATGAGTAAGTAAGGATCTCTGCAACTGCTAATACTTTATAATTCGTGTCTCAGTATAGGTGTAGTTGCTTGTTGTTTATTTTTGTATACTGTTTCTTTAATGCTGTGTATGATCTGTTGTGAATAGTATTCATAGTGTTTTTAAGTTAATTTGTAAATTACTATGTTTTTGTCAATAGGATTTTAAATGAATATAAATTTGTTTATGATAAATCAGTTGTTTTGTTTTAATACGAACCTATTCTTCTTCAGCTTTCAGTTCTTTTCTTCTTATTATTTTTGATTCTATTCTTTTCTGCATTTACAGTAACCAATTTGCCATATGTTATCGGTACATGCCTTTTCAGAAGACGAACATTTTTCTTCGCGCTTCCAGGGATGTGGGAGAGAATAAAGATAGCACTCTTCCTGAAGGATTTAATAAATAATTTGCCTATAACCAGGTAATTAAATAATTCAAAATCACAAAATAAAATTTAATTATAAAGAAAACGTATTAAGGTTTTACTTTGGTGGTTTCTATTCTAGTTTATTTTACCCACTAATGCTATAAATAAGTACAGATTGCAATTGAATCATTTAAATTAAACGATGACCTTAGTTTTTATGAATTTTGGACCATTAGGGCTGTCCCATCCCCCGCACACTTCCCAGACCTTTTAACGATTCCTTTAATGTTAGTAAACCTTGAACTTTGAATTATGGAATTATTGCACAAGCGTCGTAAGCTAGAAAATGATAAGAAACTGCCATGACAATGATAATTTACGAAGGTAATGACTTGATAAAATGTTTCGGAATATCTTATCTAAAATGATTTACTGTTGTATATATTTAGAAGCTTTAGAAGGGTGAAGATAGTAGTGTTTTCATAGATATGGGATAGTTTACGATAGTATGAAATAAAGTTTTACGCAGAAGTTTGCAGCGCAATATATTCTGTTGCACTGTCATGTTGTTGCCAATAGAGCCAATGGGAACAACAAATTAACTAACTTCCGACCGGTCGACCTAAACGTCATTGAGGGGAGTGTTCAGCAGTGTTCATCCTATGGGTGAAATGACAATGATTAGTAGGATGAAAGAGGGTTAGTTTTGGATCTGATGTTAGTTAGTATCCCAACAGATCAGGATAATTCTTTTTTCGGCTTTTGGATATATAAATAGTGAATTAAATGATAATGATAATACTACTTAATATTCTACCACATTCACACAACGCCATCTAGTCCCAAGCTAAGCAGAGCTTGTACTAAACAACTAATATAAATACATATATACTTTTTTTTTGTAAATACATACATATTATACATAGAAACACTCAGACCAAATCAAACATTAAATGTTAACGCACACAAATGTTTGACTTGAGCGGGAATCGAACCAGCGACCTTTGTAATAGCAGTCCGTTACACAAACCTTTACGCCATCCGGTCGTCAAGTCAATGTTTATATCATTTAATTATTGCATTTGGAATACGAAGAAGGAGAGATTGTAGTTCCTTTTTTAAAATTAACAGTTAGGTTTAATAGCATGTGAAATATCTCTTAAATACTAGAACATATTCTGTTCTACTCTATGAGAGCTGTTGCACCTGTTTAACCAGTTTGTGTCGCCGTAGTAAAACTTGTGTTATTTGCATTCCTTTCAACACACTGAAGTATGTATTTAATCCGTGATACTGCCGAAAGGCGTCAGTTTTTTACGTACATACGTATAGGAATTACCCTATTATTTTTTTTCTCAGCGGATATCCGCTCGGATATCACTCGGGGTGGTTATGTCGGACTCGAACCCACCAAAAACCGCACGCCGTCTCGGGTACCAGTGGCCGGGGAACCAGGGAGTACCCTAGAAAGGAAATCCCTGGTACCCCGACGTATCTCGGCCATTCAGTGTAGATGGCCCCCTCCTGTGTGGGAACCCCCATGTTCCCTTTGTGCTCCCTAAAGGCCGCGCGCGCTAGGCAGCGCGTCTCACTGCCACTCCGGCCTGCTTCTACTAGGGTGACAAATGGCCTCACGTTGTCATCCCCAGGCCTGCGCTTATGAAGGCGCCCGACTCGTCTGCGGTACCTGGTCCGTTCCCAGGCCTGGCGGGCCAGGAGAGTTCTAAACTTCTCCCGGTCCCGATGCACCATATCCTTCGCAAGCATAACTTGCTCGCAGAAGGAGAGGGCGGAGTTCCACGCACTCTCGCTCCGTACCATGGCGGCAATCATATTACCGAGCGAGAGGACTCCCACCCCGATGGCCATCACGAGGTCACGCCTCTGCTAAACCCACGCCGGGCATTCTGCCAACGTGTGAAGGGCCGTGTCCACGGTCCGACCATCGCAGTGGTGGCACTCAGGCGTTGGCTCCTTGCGGATCGTATTGGTCTTATCCTCGGGACAGCGACACCCAATAAAAAAGCCTTATTAGTCTTGATCTAGTAATGGCGGTCGTCCACTGAGATATTTTAAATTTTTTAAATTGCAGAAAAGCGGCTATTGAATATACGGAACCAGTCTACATTTATTTATACCCAAAGGAATTTCCGTTTGCGGTAAATTTGCGAAGAAAATGGTAACCCTACCATTCAATATTTTTTCTATACTATTTAATGAGGTGTAAGAACGTATGGATGTAGTTAATTATTGTTTTACGTTGCGTGTTGTACCGGTTCCACTGTTTGTTTGTTGCCGATCATTGTTGGGAAACTTTTAGCCTTGTTGCGTTCTTACAAAATAAGTGCGGGACTATTCCCATCCACTTACTTTATTTAAAGTTACCGAGTTACGTCATTTGTTTAAATAAACATACGGAAATGTTAGTGCTATATCCGAAAATATGACGTGATTTGCAAATTAAAAGGTGATAATCGTTATCGATATCTATATGATAAAATAATTTCACATCAAACATATAATCATTATGCCCGTTCGACTTTAAATGGTGCGGGTCTTTAGTTTTTAAAACGCTTTTTATTATTTAATTAACCAGTTTTTTTACAAAATGATTGCTGATAAAAGTGTTATGAACTTTGAAAGGTTGCCTATGGAGGCAGCTTTAGATAAAGTGGGTAAGTGTGGCTTGTACGTTGTGTGTTTCTATTCGAAAGACATTTGTTACAACAAAGTTAAGGAATTAGTCCTCTACTCTCAGCAAGTGACAGGGATGTTTAATTGTATTATGTTTAATGGCATTTGAGAAAAAAAAAAAGTTCTATAAGGTTTAACTGAATGGTAGAAAAAGTAATTTACATAAGGCTTTTAAGAAATATTAGATATGTACTAAGAAACGTGGGCATTTATTTTTAATAAAAAAAAATACACTATCACACATTTTGTACATAAAAAATTTAAGCGTTTTATGAAGCTGTTGCAGTTTTATTATTCTCAATTAAATGAAAAAGAACGTTTAATGTAATGTTACAATTGATTTATAAAAAAAAAAAACAAAAATGAATGGCATTTACGGCAAAACCTTACCCAAAAATAAATGAAAACATTTTCTTTACTTATGGTTTCAGTAAGCGTTTTGGGTAGGTTAGTGTCATCACACAAAAACAGATCAGTTACCTTTAAAGAAGACTATGCACGTACTAATAACACGTTAACCCTTATCCAGGTTTTGGTCTTTACGGCTATTTATTAACGGTTTTGACCGGCTACGGTATTATCTCCTTCGCATGCATCGCTTTCGGGAGCATGTTCATCGTACCCACTAGCGCCTGTGAACTTCAAACAACAAGTGGTCAGCAAGGACTGTTGGCTGCAGGACCTATTGCCGGTAATTTTTTTTAATTTTTAATATAAAACAACAATGGTGGCGATGATGACCCTAATTTTATTCATCATATTATATTTTATTCAAACTCAAATAATCTTTATTGAGTAAGCCTTATTACAGTGCACTCTCAAGCGTCAATAAGATACAAAATAAAATTAATGATAAACTAGAGACTAGAAGAACAGAGGTAAGATGTGATAACCCTGATGAGCTAAGTAAAAGGTTAAAAGAGTCAAATAAATTCATTTATATCCCTACTGCAAGACCTTGTTTTATCCTGTAAACCCTCTATAGAAATCACGCCGGGGTTTCCGGCTTCCTTTAGAATGTTACACATCGCATTGGCGATAGACATTGGCGATAGAGCATAAAAGTGATGAAAAAAATTAAAAGCATGCTTGATACATGTTAACAATAACGCACTAGAAGACAATATTATTAAGTTTTAAGTTTGAGGAAAAAAGACCACAGAACAGTTTAGCCCATCTCTTTTATAAATCCATTGAAAAAGATTAGTTTCTTTCAGGGCTTCTAATTGGAGGATTAGCATGGGGATACTTGGCTGACACTCGAGGACGGCGGTCGATGCTGCTGGTTTCTCTATCTGGGGCTGCTTTCTTTAATCTCATCGCTACAATTTCTGTCAACTGGGTCATGTTGATGATATTTCAATTTTTTTCAGCAATCTTGTAAGTAAATATGAACTGTAATAATATTTGAATCACTTGTTAAGGTTTTAGCGTAGCATATAAGTAACCGATAATGATGCTGAACTATGCGAAACATTGTTAATATTGTCTTGTTGTCTAATTGTAGGGACTAGTCCTGTGATAAAATAAAAATTGTTTTGAGTCAATTACTTATTTAAAGATTTAAAAAAAAACATAAATATCATTTATTGACATAGCATTTTTACATAATTGAGAACTCTCTGACCCATGAACTAATATAAACTGTATTTCAGGGAACAGTGTCTTTGCCTTTTTTCGTTAGTTGGTTTCGTAACATACATAAGTCTAAGCAAACAAAAAAAAAACATGTTAAACTATTGAGATGTAAAATTCCCCTTTAGATGGCATATTGCCCATATACGGGTAGTAAAAGAACAAAAGAGAAAAGCACACAAGCTAATTATTGAAAAAAGAAACAAAACTCCGATTTCGTAGAAATGTGCACTAATTTACAAACCGACTTTCACTCTCACAATTAAGTAGAATTCAAATACACCTTAAATGCCGAAATCCATCAAGCCCTTTAGGCTACAGAGCATGTCAAATAAATATATATTCACTCAACAAAACAAAAAACAAATAAGCAAAAGAAAAAGCCTTGACGTTAGTGGGATAAAATATAACAGCTGATAAGTTACACAATTGATTAATTAAATGTTTCAGTGCATCAGGCATATACTTGATGTTGATGTCCTTGCTGAGCGAAAGCGTGCCTATGGCTAAAAGAAATTATGTAGTGTTATTGGTATCCAGTATTTTTCTCTTGAGTCAGGGAATCATGGCCGGTAAGTGTGAAAAAAATCATGCATTTTAAATTTCAAATTTTCTCAATCATAACTCAAATTTCTCTTGTTTTGGGTAAATTGACTTGTTAATTTATAAAACCTTAATAACGATCTGTTTATTTTTGGTTAAATCTTAATCGTAATAGTTAAAAGATGCCCCTTAAGCAAATTTTTCCTATAGAAGAACTGAGTCGTGAAAATCAAAAAAGTAAAATTAAGATTTCTGTTGTCTTTGAAGTGGTATAGCGTATAAAATGATTTACCAGTTTTGTCTTTAATAAAAAATAATAATGTTTTTAACAAATATGATTTGACATTCCAGTATTGGCGCTGCCTATAATTCCCTTGAAGTTTTCCTATTATCTACCGGCCTTAGGGATCTACTGGAACTCTTGGCGTACCTTATTACTGATATTATCACTGCCTGCACTGAGCACCGCCTTTTGCCTGTTCTTTATGTATGAAAGTCCGAAGTTCCTATTTGCCAAAGGAAATGAAGCCCGAGCGCTAGACATATTAAGAAAAATACATCGATTTGGCAAGTCAAAGCCCAAGGAAGAATTGGGGGTATGTAAACTTTCCCTGACTTTTTATTAGTAAATACCCCACTCCTCGTACAGTTTATTACGATGATGATAAATATTCATCATCATCATCATCATCACATCAACAACCTTTAATAATCCACTGCTGGCTTTATGCCTCTCCTGAAAAAGGAGGTTTTGGCCTACTATACCACACTGGCCAGACGGGTTGGTATAGGGTTTGTGTCAAGTTTTCCTTCTCTTTGCCGCTGTTGTCCTGCGTAGTTTGTCCACTTAGTCGGCTTTTACGACACCCAGGGGATGAATAGGGGTGGTGAGACTCCGAATTCTTAATCCGTCACCACACGGACTATGATAAATATTACTGAGCTAAAATTTGATCTATTTTCTCAAACACATAGGCCCGTATTTTAAAAAGTGTCTCAGTCGTGAATCTAGTCTTAAAACTAATTTTAAGTAGAGATTTTATTATTGAACGTCATTTAAAACGAGATTCGACACTCCATACTCAAGTGAGTGATAGCTTATTTTAGAACGATGTTTATGTCGAAATCATTGCTCAGGTATAGATTTTGACAGCTGTGATCTTTGTTTACGTGAGACAAGCTGAAACTAGTCTCAAGCGGTGATTTCTAGGGCATTTAGGGGAAATGAATGTGTTTTACGATGATTTATTTTTGGATAATTACGAAAGATTTACTTTACTTTATTTACGAAAGAATTACTTGGCATACTATCATCAATTTCACTTTCATTTACCTTAATTGATATGAAATTCACCAAAATTCACATTTTACACACACAATGCCTGTTTAAATTACTACAACCTTTTGGTTTATGTTAAAAGTATAGTAATTCAAATTTTAGAAATATCAAATAAAAACATCGTTTGACATTTCAACATGACAAGTGTTGATAAATAACTTGAACGTTCCGTTATAGGCTATTCATACAGCTAGTCATTTTTATTTTAATATTTATTATACTTAATTTTGAACGAACAACAAGCTTGTTAATATGTTAACATAGCTACACTAGGCAATAGTATATTATATACAAATTCACAGAAATTATTTTTGTAAAAGAAAATTATTTTTTAAATGCGGAATAATAGTGTCAATCATGCGGAAACGTAATTGAGAACAGACTGTAAGTTCAAATCAATACTTGAAACTAGTTTCAACTGAGTAAAACTTAAAACGCGTTCTATAATAAGATCGATACTTAAGATTTGATCTGCACTTAAAACTAGTTTCAGGCAATCAGAGTTCAACCGACACTTGAGACGTCTTTTAAAATATGGGCCATAATCTTAATCGTAATAGTTAAAAGATGCCCCTTAAGCAAATTTTTCCTATAGAAGAACTGAGTCGTGAAAATCAAAAAAGTAAAATTAAGATTTCTGTTGTCTTTGAAGTGGTATAGCGTATAAAATGATTTACCAGTTTTGTCTTTAATAAAAAATAATAATGTTTTTAACAAATATGATTTGACATTCCAGTATTGGCGCTGCCTATAATTCCCTTGAAGTTTTCCTATTATCTACCGGCCTTAGGGATCTACTGGAACTCTTGGCGTACCTTATTACTGATATTATCACTGCCTGCACTGAGCACCGCCTTTTGCCTGTTCTTTATGTATGAAAGTCCGAAGTTCCTATTTGCCAAAGGAAATGAAGCCCGAGCGCTAGACATATTAAGAAAAATACATCGATTTGGCAAGTCAAAGCCCAAGGAAGAATTGGGGGTATGTAAACTTTCCCTGACTTTTTATTAGTAAATACCCCACTCCTCGTACAGTTTATTACGATGATGAAAAATACTTCTGAGTTAAAATTTGATCTATTTTCTTAAACACATAATGGTGCTAATTCTGTTGTTCGTAAACTCTCTAAACTAAACTAAAAATCACTAAAAATATATTTAGTCCTGTCATATACTACGTTTTCAGAATAGGCAACGTTGTTTGACAGGACTAAGCTAATTTTAAGTGGTTTTTAGTTTAGTTTAGAGAGTTTTCGAACAACAGAATTGGCGACAATCTTCTACAAAACTATACAGAATGTGTAGTATTCAATCATGATTGAATATTGAATAGTAAAATAGTCGTTAGAAAAGTTTTAAACCTGGCAGAAGTAAAGATTGTTGTTGAGGCTTAGATAAATATGTGTAATGACACGAGAAACATCATCGTGAGAATCTATCTTCTATTATAATATATCTATCTTCTGTTACGTTGGCGCTCGAGCACTGAGGAACGGTCCTATCGGTGCGATACCCCATTCCGTGCAAAACTTTCGACAGCGACACCCACCTTATAATTTGTAATACATAGAGGCAGAAATCTACCTATGTACAGTCCACTATATTTTGTATTCTAAATTCATAGGATCCTTCTGGACAATTATATGTTCAACACTTTACTGTTGTCTTTTCGGTTCTTTTATTAACTTGTTTATTTTAACTAAGTACTTAAACAAAACATTCAGAAACTTAACTCGATGTCCTTCGAAATATGCATCGTGGTCTGTGTAACGGACTGCTAATCCAAAGGTCGCGGGTTCAATTCCCGCTCAAGTCAAACATTTGTGTGCATGAACATTTAATGTTTGATTTGGTCTGGGTTGTTTCTATGTATAATATGTATGTATATAAAAAAATATATCAATGTATTTATATCAGTTTTCTATTACCCATAGTACAAGCTCTGCCTAGTTTGGGACTAGATGGCAGTGTGTGAATGGGGTAGAATATTATATTACTATGCAAGTTTATTGTGTTTGTGTCTTAAAGTTCAACATTTACAATTCAACTTCGGAATTTTCAGGTTAAGGGTCTACTAAAAGATGAAAATGCAGCAGCCGCGGGTCCAATTCCAGCTAAGGACCAGATAGTACCACTGTTTAGGGCGCCACTCCTCAAGTACACCATCATTATTTGCATCCTTTACGTAGCACAACAGTAAGTTATGAGTTTTACCCGACTTTATAACCATCCATTCTAAAGCTTGTAGTTAGATGTTAATCGCCTATAACCTTCCTCAAAATTACTACTATCAGTCTTTATTTTCAAGTCATGATATTTTCAGAAATAATCACAATCCACAATAATTTTACCTTTTAGAACTACGATTTTATAACTGTATTCTTAATTTCTTAAATTTCCAACTTCCGGGATGGTATTTTTACTTCAAATTTAAACGGGACCAAACAAGAAGTAACCTTTACTCTTAACACTTCCAAGTAAAAAATTATCCAAATCGGTTCATTGATGACAAAGTTGTCAGGTAACAAAAATCATCATCATCATCAACAGCCTTTAACAGTCCCCTAATGAACATAGGCCTCTTCTTAGAAACGAGGTTTTTGCCTACTATACCACGCTAGCCAGACAAAACAACACAAATAAAAAAAACAACCGAATAAAAAATTCTGATGAATCTTAGCCTTTCCCTCCTTATATCAATTTAAAAAAAAACTTTTAACGTGTGTAGTAGTTTTTTTTTTTACTATCCCTATAAAAAAAAACCACATCCACAGCAATCGAGCAGACGGATCACCTAATGGTAAGTGATTACCGTCGCCAATGGACGTCTGCAACGCAAAAATCATAAGTCCGTTGCCACCCTTTGAGTCCCTCTCCCCAGAAGCAGGGAAAGGGGAGTTTGGGCTTCGGTAACCTCAATCACTCGGTGAAAAGCAAGGATAAGACCGGTTTTCTGTAAGGCCGTGGAATCACCCCGATCTAGCCGGCACATTTGTGATGGCTTTATGGCACTTTATTTTGGCCAAGAATCATTTATTTGACTGCACGGATGTCGTAGTGCTTAAAGCGGTCGCCTCTCCGCTTTCTACTGCGCTGAGTGTTGTGGGTCCGATCCCCACACGGGAGAACGCTTTGTGTGATCTACAAATTGTTGTTCTGAGTCTGGGTGTTCTTTGTGTCCGTTTCATGTGTCTTAGTAAAGTCTCCCGCGACACAGGATATATTTCTAGTGTGAGAGTTATTCTTTAAGCAAAAACATATTAATCTTATCAACCTCAATCAATAACTTAACTTGGTTAAAACATAAAGGAGACCAGGTGTTGACATTGCACGACTATTTGACCAATGCTACGTTATAAATAAACTTATAAGATATAAACCATTGGTAATTAATTTTAGGATGTCTGCATTCGTTGTGTGGCTGCCGACTATCGCTAACCAGTTCATACGCATAACACAGACAGAAGAGACCACTAATTTAACTATATGTGACGTTTTAAGGAAGGAAGTTGTCCCAGATGTAAGTACTCTTAAACTTTAAACCATATTTTAAGTTATTCTCAACCTTATTTCATCTATGAACAATCGTGGTCGGCCATAATTGTTTGTTTTGTAAAATAACCCGAAAAAAGTTATAACGACCAATAGAATTATTTTTCATCGATTTTCGCTTATAACTTCGTTATTTTGATTTTACGACTAAAAGTTACTTGACCAAAATTTGTGGATAATTTTATTTGCAACAAAAAATGCTTTAATAATTTTTGGAAGCTAAATTTGTCAGATAAACCATGATAACCCTTTTTCTAAGATTGTGGCCGTGGGACAAGGGTTGCAACCCCACAAATTTAAATTTGGATTTAATTTTACACTAACCCCTCCTTAACTTCTAAAAAATAAAATTGCTTCCTCTGACAAATGCAACCCCAAATGTAAATTTTCAATGGACTAACAGTTGACAGATAGTTACAGAATAAAGGAACCTAACAATATTTTTTGTTGTAGCTTGACGCAGTACCTTGCGCCCTGAACGAGACCTCCCTATTGATAGTACTTGGTGTAGGTGCATTGCACTCCGTCGTCAACATATTTATTAGTATTGTAAGTAACATCCATAATCATTTATTTCTGTCGTTTTTAGTAGTATAGTGTACACACTGTTAAAAGTTTAAGGTTCGATTAGATCTAAATAAGGCGGCCCTAAAAGATATCAACTGAAACCCTTTAGAAATGTTAGGTTTTTTTTATGGTAAAAGGGGGCAAACGAGCAGACGGTTCACCTGATGGCAAGCAACTACGGCCGCCCATGGACACCTGCAACTCAAAACTCCGCTCGCTTCCTACTACGCCGAGTGTTGTGGGTTCAAACCCCACATGGGACGACACTTTGTGTGATCCACAAATTGTTGTTCTGAGTCTGGGTGTTCTTTGTGCCCGTTTCATGTATGTTTGTAAAGTCCCCCGCGACACAGGATTTATTCCTAATGCGGGAGTTGTCTTTTTAAAAAAAAAAAAAAGTCACAAGTGCGTTGCTGCCATTGGAGGGATTTGGGCTCCGGTAACCTCACTCAATCAGTGAAAGGCAACGAAAGAATTGCTTAACACCGATTTTCTGTGAGGCCGAGGTATCACTCCGGTCGAGCCGGCCCATTGGAGCCGAAGCATGGCTCTCCCACGGTCATAAAATAAACGCTTTCCTAAAATTAGTTGAGAAAAGAGTAAATGAATGAATAAGGAAGAGAAAATGGTGTTGATGATCATATTTTCCTACGAATGGTCTCCTACTTCTACGGCCTTCTACGGCCAAATAATATTTATAGTTTCTGATAAACCTAATTCTATCTAATTTAAAAAAATTTAGCGATATATGACTTTTTACCTTTCAATTACAGTTGCTTCGCTTCGTAGGTCGTCGGAACATATCTATAGCTGTCATAATACTATGCGGAGTAAGTGGTATCCTGGTGAACTTGGTACCAAACGTCTACGGCAGCGCCGTATTCCTCGCGATAATGACTATGGCTATCGTTGTGATCGGGCTCTACACTGCGATCACTATTGCCTTGTTCCCTACTCATCTCAGGTAGGAACATACATGCTTACTATTCCTCGATAGTCGCCTCAATAGTTCCAAATCCTTTGCTCTTGACAACATAAACATGGTGAAGTCAAGATATTAGATTTTTAAATTTCAAATTAAGTTTTCACACGTAGACATTTGTCATAGATAGTCATTAATATAATGTGTTGATGAGTATAATATACAAAACAATCATTCTTGGGACGCAATTGACATAAGGAAGATCAAGCTTTTCTTGGCCTACCACTGGCCACTGGCCATCATGGGGTGATAATGATAATGGAGTGTGTTAATAAGTAGACAATTTTTGAACATAATGTTACGAGCTTGGTATATGATAAATAAAAGTTGTAGGTTAATTACTTTATTTCACTGTATTTACAAACACTAACTACTAGGAATCACTATATATCTTGTTAGTCGCACTAAAAAGTCACTGTTTCGTAAAACGAAACTGTCTCGAACGGCGAACACGCTCCGCTTTAATTGTGCTTTTGAATTTTACTAGAAAGTTCCTAGTGTTCGACAGAATGTGCCAAACAAACACGAATTTTCTAGAACCAGTCACGCGTTACTTGCAGCGCCATCTAGCGCTGTAAGGATCAGAACTACTCGTATTAACCACAATCTTAATAGATGTACTTGGTCGATACTAGATGGTGCTGTCCTTCACATTCCATACAATCGAACCATTTAATCCTATGGCGCAACAATAACATGATATTGAGACTGTCAGAGAACGTAAAATGAAAAATGACAAGTTAATTTACCAAGTTAGTTGCAAAATTCTTCTCTGTGCCAGTGGTTTGTGTATGGAATGCTCTGTCGCGGTCAAAATGGTAAATTTAAGGCGCCTTAATTTGTTTTAGGTATTTTGCTTCTTTTAGTTATAGGTTTTGTAGTACTTTGTAAAATAATAAATGTCAGACATTGACTGTTTTCTCTTGCAGAGGGATGGCTATTGCACTATCACTTACCAGTTCACGAATAGGCACTATTGCGTCTGTTCAAATCGTCAACTTAATGCTGTTTACCAGTTGTGATGCCGGTTTCTACTTGTTCTCTTCAATATTATTAGGTAAGTATTATGTCTTTGTGTGTTTTAAGGTTTCCGTATTCCTAGCAAGGAATTCTTATAGTTTCGCCATGTTTGTCATTCTGACTGTCATCCGCGGATATAGTTTTATCTCTTTGTATGACATACGGGGCAAACTAACAGACGGCAAGTGATTACCGCCGCCCATGGACACCTGTAACTTCAGAGTCAAAGGTGCGTCGCCGCCTTTGGAGCCATCCACCCTCAGAACCAAGGGAAGGTTGTCTTCTATAATATAGGGGACCAATGAGCAAACAGGACACCTGATGGTAAGTGACTATCGCAGCCCATGGACACCTTTTTAAATGGGACTAATCCCTCTCACACGCCCACCACCGTAACGTACGCCAGGATCAACAGCAGTGACCTACGTACACACCGAGTTATGACACTCGGGAAGTCCCAGGAACAAATTAAACTGTCATGAAACCCGCAACGAAATTAAACAGAAGAAAATTGGAGGAGTTGGAAATACAATAAATTCAATTTCCTCTTTAGCAAAGCGGGAGACGAAATGAAGTAAAATAGGCATACACCCCTTTTAAACAGAGAAGCACCACGGCCACAAAATGTTATGGGTACTCAGTGAGCTATATTTGAGCCCATGGACACCTTGGGCTCCGCTAACCTTACTCACTCGGTGAAAAGTTTCTGTATTAAGCCCTTCCACATCCCTCAAGTCTCGTTCTTTTATCACACTTAAATCTCATCTATATACATATAATTATACATCTATATAGCTTTGGTGTTTAACAATTCTAGTATCGATTTAATATAATAGTACTAATAAATCTTTTACCTTCCACTTTAGCATCAGCAATAGCTGCATTCTTCCTGCCAGATGACCGCAAACTCCAGGCTCCTGTTCCAGCAGCCGACGATCCTCAGAGTCTAGATGGAAAACCAGATACTAGATTATAGTAGGATATCAAACCTATTGATTCAGAACTTGTATAATGTAAACTTGTTGATTTAAAAGTATTCTTGACACGTTGACGGTAGTCAAACAAATATTGTGATCATCAGGTTTTTAATGTTTAGTGTACAAATTTTTGTGCATTAGAAAGTGAGGCATTGAAAATATGGGATAATTAGAAAATTGATTTTAGTTCATATTTTGCAATATTGATGATTCTAATGGCATCAACATGAAATCAACAAATTGAAACATCCTGGTGTCTGAAATTCAGTAGGACAGTGATAAACATACATCCGTAAACTAAAGGAGGTGGTGATTCAGCCAAAGATTTTGTAAGAAATAAAAAATAATCACCATCATCATCAGCAGCCTTTACTAGTCCACTGCTGGACATAGGCCTCTCCTTAGAAAAGAGGTTTAGGCTGACTTTACCACGCTGGCCTTTTTTATACCAACCCGTCTGTTGGTATAAAAAAGTGATGATCATGATGATGATGATGATCATAACATTTACAGTTTTTTTGCACTGTAATATGTGAGCAATAATTAAGAATTTAGGGAGTAAGTTAAGACTAAAATATATTATTTATAAAATATTTAATAAAAAACAAAAACAAAAATGTCTTTTCAATATCTATATGAGTCTCAGTTACTCCAATAAATAAATTATTGATATAAAAACTAAAATAAGAATATTATACGTGGTCATTGCTTTTTATTTTTCGTCAATTCTTTACATCTTTTTCACCACGCACTCTCTATTAGTTTTTGCCGAAACGAACTGGGATAAGCCGGCTCGTCCTGAGTGATACCACGGTTAACTGAATACGAAAAGGTGGAGGTTACCAGAGCCCCGAACTTCCCTAGCCCTAATTCTGGGGACGCACTTGGGACTATTCATTACAGGTGTCCATCGCAGGGCCGTGCGGCAATAGTCACTCTTGACGTCACCCGTTTTATGCCCCAATATCTAAGTTGCGGTATGCCTTACCTCAACTTCCTTGCCCTTTGTCCACCCTTAGGGTTACATTTTCAAGGAGACTTGGGGTCAGCTAGAGGGTTATAGGAGAACCCAGATGAATTCTGCTATGTAACATATTGGTTTCAAATTTTGTTTTCCATTTTTTGGCACAAACAGTCATTTAAAACAAAATTGACTGCACGGATGGCGTAGTGGTTTAAGCGGTCGCCACGCCGCTTCCTATTGCGCCGAGTGTTGTGGGTTCAAACCCCACATGGGACAATAATTTGTGTGATCCACAAATTGTTGTTCTGAGTCTGGGTGTACTTTGTGTCCGTTTCATGTATGTTTGTAAAGTCCCCCGCGACACGGGATTTATTCCTAGTGCGGGAGTCGTCTTAAAAAAAAAAAAACAATAAATATACATAGAGTGATAGACAACGAGTGACGAAATCAATTTCTGAAATAATTAAAGTCTATGTGTTGACTTAAAAAGCTACATGAGTGACAGATGTTGCTGAGTATTAATACCAATACAACGCAAGCTTTTACTTTTCATATTGTGTTAAACTAGTCATATTAAAAAAAAGTGATGAATAATAATAATAATATGAGAAGAGAGCATAAAGGTAAACATGCCCCCCCCCCCCCCCGACAGCCCCCCGCGACACAGGATTTATTCCTAGTGCGGGAGTTGTCTTTTTTAAAAGAAAAAAAAAAAAAAAACATGATAAAGATGAAATTAATACCGAAACCATGACTTCATAAGTTATTTTGTTCTCTTAATGATTATCGATAAAGCGTGGCAACTGTTTGGTTTCAAAGCTGAGAAAATTTATAATAAAAAAGTTAATATCTGATGTACTTCAGGGTAAATAGGCAATGGATCTGACGAATTTCTCATACATTGTTTTTAAAACTACTAAAACAAAACTATAATCCTCCTTCTATAACTTTGCTCAGAGTATGTTGTCAGGCACTTGCAAGTAAATTAATTATTACCACTTCTGAGGCCATTGTGATAACTGTAATTACTTTATAGACAACTTTGATCGTTAAGTTTTTAGCAACTACTTTAAATTATTTTTTGTTTCCTTTTTTAATTTTAGTTGTCTATTATATATTCAGAAATATATAGGTATGAAAGTTCATGAATGTAGCAATAGCAGTTATGTAGCAGTGTGTCATTATGGCCCTAGCTAGTTCGTTATCAGATTGTCGTGTGTTACAAGTGTTCCTGAGTATTTATTACTGGGGAGGACCCGGACCATGTTATTTCAGGTCCTCCCCGAATTGACACCATGCCTAATCAGGCCCTATCCTAGGGGAGAACACTTTCCCTCTCAATCGCGGCATGGCGGCCTGATCGCATCTTAATGCAATCAGGCCGGCCATTCCATCCCCTACCGCAGCAATCAATCTGCCACCAGAGGTCCCAACTCTGAGGCTGTTATCGTCGCCGACGTTCTTTGCGTTCGGGATCGGTTCTCTCCCGTTCAGCGGTCTCTTTCTGAAGCATTACAGATTCACAGAGAGAGACCACTGAGCCCCATCCCTTCTCACCCGTCAGCATAGCAGCAATAATTGCTGGCGGGTACAGGTCTCGTCCAATTTGGCCGACCAGGATTTCGCGTTCAGACGCCCACGCGGAACAGTCTTCCAGCGTGTGCTGGGTGCATTCCGCAGCTGTCCCAGCCGCACGCGCCTCTGTACCAGTGCCTGTCGGTGAGCGTTCCGTCCTACTGGTTTAAGCGGTCGCCACGCAGCTCACTACTACGCTGAGTGTTCGGTCTCCGGTCTATTCAAGCATGGCTTTATGGCACTTTATTTTGAACAAGCATAATTGTTTTGACTGCACGGATGGCGTAGTGGTTTAAGCGGTCACCTCGCCGCTTTCTACTGCGCTGGGTGTTGTGGATCCGATCCCCACATGGGACACCACTTTGTGTGATCCACAAATTGTTGATCTGAGTCTGGGTGTCAGTTTCATGTATGTTTGTAAAATCCTCCGCGACACAGGATATATATATTTCTAATGTGGAAATTATTATTTTTTAAAGAGGAAGAGAGTGTAACTTCCCTAGTTTGGGTTTGGGTAACCTCACTCACTCGGTGCAATAAAAAGAGGGAACGAACGAGTTTTCACTCCGGTTGAGCTGGCCATTTTTGATGAATCATGTAATCGCTCTCGAATGAATCGATTCTTTGTGTCTATCTACTCAAATTTAAACAAACTAAATTTAACAAAGCTAAGCGTAACTCAATTTATACCAAAGTTCTGGCAATGTTTCGGTTAGTGCTAGAAATAAATCAGCTTCTGTATTAGGTAGAATCTTAAACGCTGACAACAACTGAGCAAGAACTGCTGTCTCGAGACTTAGTTTCTTGTTGCTTTTGAGGTTTGTACAAATGAAATTGATTGATTGCAAAATATTGTTTCTTTTAATTTTCATTAGATCCCAAATAATTCACCAAATTTGCTGTTCTAAATCGTATCTCAATAATTTTGCAATAGATGACGTACTATTACGTACTAAGTATTAAAATGACTACAATAACACACATTTACTAAAGACGTGTCAACTCTAACAACAAACAACAACTCTATTTATTAGAGAGTCATTTCCGTTACAATACATGCTTGCACGTAGAAGTAAATACGTAATACAATAAGAAGGTACTATAGATATTATCATTCTATCTCTTTCACTTATTAATTATTTCCTCTCAGCTGAATGTCGTTTAATTTTTTTTTGCAATGTTTAAAGTTGGTCAAGGTTATATTCCAGTGATGGGATTTTATTTTTGTTTTTGTTGTAAATGGGTATATTTGGGAAGAACCATGGAACTGACCATAACATCAGTAGCATACTGCATTCAGCTACTGATTGTCGTATAAGACAATTGCACTAAGCGTACAAGAAATCGGCAAAAGTCGTTAAAATTATAATTTTAAATAAATTATTTATTGATTATGAAAATGGAAAAAAGTTTTGATATGCCATCGGAAAAATTGCCCTTCGAAGCAGCCATGGATAAAGTCGGTACGTATTTTTCTTTCTTTAAATTTGATAGATTACATAAGGGCTGATGACCGACACTATTACGTTTATGGTCTATTGGGGGTCACAAAAATGCAGACTTCAAGCGTAGCGTATTACCGTCAACAGGGCTTTTTAGGGTGTAGGTGGGTAGTTCTTCGTTCTTTTTACTTCTGCGTCATTGTCCGTAACATGATAATCTTTACAAAACATAAACTAATCTTTAAAAATAAACTGAATTTATTTAAATTCTTGTCTTTGTATATTTATGCAGAAGAAGTTCGTAGAAAAATAAAGAATTTAAAAGAACGAAAATTGACCCAGGTGCTTTATTTATTGAAAAGAAAAGTAGATAACTTCGTATCTACTTTTCCAATAGAAAGAAAGAGATTTATATGTATGGAACGGACAATTTAAAGCATTAGAATGAATCGGCTATTAATTGACGGTGCAAAGCCTTCTTACCAATAATAGATTATCTCATTTCAATTTCATTCACAATGCACCATCTTGATTTTAAGATGAAAACGAAAGATAAGCTTAATATTTCCAATAGTGAAATTGTTACCACTGGTAATGGAAATAGAAAAAATGCGTAAATGATTTTGCACAACACGATAATTCAATTCCGTATCTTAAAACCGCAACACTAGCTTTAATTTTTGCCAGCAAAGCAACCATGTCGTCAGATTAACGCTATTCAATAAAACGTTAATACGTAATATTATCTATACATACATTTTAAATGGACGCCTCTAATCCTTGTATCCGTCCGTTCATCTTTCGTATTCGTATTAAGTCTTTTAGATTATTCACGTCACTTCACAGGAATATGAAACGGAATTCACTACATACTGATGCGATGATTCTTTTTCTAATACTTTCATGACCTACACTTTAACAAATGTATTATAATTTCAGTTCTTTACGATTTAAAATTACTCGCTTTGTAGGCAAAACCTAGATTCGTTTGTTTTCATATAGTCTGAGAAATTGTTGACGTAGCGCATAACATCACAGACGATGTTGTCATTAATTATACGAGCATGATATTTTATAATACGTGATTCACCACAAAACTTATAAAGTAAGAATATAAATAAACTAGCTGACCCAGCAAACGCTGTTTTGCCATATACATTATTTCTAGGAAAAACTGTAAAAAAAAATTTAGGGGTGGGTCCCCTTGTCATTTAGGGGTATAAAAAATAGATGTTGGCCTATCCTCAGACCTACCCGATGTGCAAACAAAATTTCATAAAAATCGGTCCAGCCGTTTCGAAGGAGTATGGTAACTAACATTGTGACACGAGAATTTTATATATAAAATCTTGATTTGGCGTGTTAATTTCTATTCAACTATCTTTTAAACTAGCCTTACCCCACCATGCTTCGCTTTGGCACATTGTGATTACAAAAAATATATAAAAACCATCTCTGATGAGGGTTGTATATTATGTCAAAGTTTGAGCTTAATCAGTGTTGGTACATTTTTGAGGTTTTGAAGCATACAAAATTTAACATATATAAACTAACTCAACCTAAGTTAACATATATATATATATATATATATATATTTAATTAGATTAATAGGCACGCCCCGCATTTGCCGGCCGCTGCCACCCGGAATGGACGTACAGGCCGAAGGCTGCTTTTAGCCAAAGATAAAAATGGTTACTGTGGGTTATCTTAAGGAGATAGATATATATTATTACTGACATTTTAATAGATCTTTTTAAAATATAAGATTCTGTAGTACAATATTTTGATCTACTTCATATAAGGTTTAGTCAGTTTTGTTTGTAATGAAAACAGCACTAAAAACAGTTTTTTTTCGACTACACGTTACAAATCTTTGAAATTCTCGGATTTTCTCTAATGTGATATGCGTGTACTATACATATAAACCTTATAATGCAATTAAAATATTTACCACACTTATTTTTTTACATACAAGCATCAAAAAGTTCCTCCGCAATGCAAATTCTCTGTCATGGGGTTGGAGTGCTCGAGCTATGTTTTAACAACCAGCTAAGCAACTGATCGACACTACTCGTGATGAGAAGACCTACTTATTTATGTCAAGGAATATACTTAATCAACAAATATCTATTTTACTCATGTCGAATACTCGTATATACCAAGTGACCTTACGTTACGTATTTTACGCATGTAGCTAACTCAGCAGATACGACATCTATTTGTTTTCTGAGTGCATTTTACTTATTCAGCAAAATATAAAAATAAACGGATTTAACCTCGAACGTATTTTTACAACTATGACTTTGATGCTACTTAAATAGTGCTGATGTAAAAACTTTCCTATTTTACGTAATTAGTTACATAAACAAAGCTATTATGAATATATTAATATAATTATTATAATATGTGTATATGAATGCCTGGATAATCCCGAGGTTCAACCACAGATCAAAATAGGTAAGACAATTAAACAATGAGCGGATAATACTGGCTCATCAACATCCACTGTAATAAACTTGCAATTAGTTATAAAATGAACTAGAATGTCTGTGAATAAAACCTACTAGTTAAATTTACATTATATGTTATAAGGTTCATAAAAAAAAGAGTCAGTGGCGCCTCTCTGAATTTTATATACTTCTTTAGAAATAAGTTTTCTTTGAATAAATATTATAATTGTCTAATCAGACTAATCACATGTGAATCAAATAACATTTTCACACTAAAATTCGACATTCAGCAGGCTAAGAAAACAATACGTCTTAAAACTAACCAGATTTTTTAAACCCGAGTTCCATTTTTTTTTAATTTTAGACATAGGACTTTAAATTCCAAAATAGTCTATAATTTCAAATCTGCCAACTCGTTGTAAGTAACCGTGGGTCTTAAACAATATAACAAAGGCTACACACCCAAAAACTTGTAGTTTTTTAATGCAAGTTGTATCTTACAATAAATGCCCAATGCAATAAATACATTATTGTAACTAATTTAAAAAGTTCTGTTAATGTATTCTCAGAAACCACCTCGTGGCTAAGTGGTAACCCAGTAGGTTAACACATGCAAAGTTAAACAATATTAGCCAGGTCAGTCTATGGATGGGTGACCTTTCTTAAAACATTGAGATCCCTACGCTCCTCGGAGGGCACGTTAAGCAGTCGATCCCGGTTGCCATACGATTATCTTTGGCAATGGTTACGGGTATTTGGGGCTCTAAAAAGTTCGACAATAGTCTTTTTACGAACTTCGAAAGTAGTTTATTTCTTTTTCAGTTTTAGTTTTTTTGTTATCTTCGTAGTGTAGGACACCCACAGGCCAGGTGAAGTGACGATTAGCGCAAGATGGCTGGCAGGAGCTAGATGCGAGAAGCCCAAAATCGACCGATCGAGTTCAACAGTGGACTGCGAAAGGCTGATGATGAACTTCGATATCCCCTAGTACTAGGGTTGTCGAGGGCTGTTGGCAGTCGATACGTGTAAACAACCCAGTTTGAGAAAAATGCTCGGAGGAAGACTTTCAGCCCTATATTATATACCACTGTCACTGTCAACCTGTAGTGATGTGTAATTAATTTATACTAATATTATAAAGCTGAAGAGTTTGTTTGTTTGTTTGAACGCGCTAATCTCAGGAACTACTGGTCCGATTTAAAAAAATCTTTCTGTGTTAGATAGCCCATTTATCGAGGAAGGCTATAGGCTATATATCATCATGCTAAGACCAATAGGAGCGGAGCACCAATGAAGAATGTTTCAAAAACGGAGAAAATTTATTACTATTGAGAGACGCAGACGAAGTTGCGCGGGTCAGCTAGTTTCTTAATATGTCTTGTACCAAAATATTAACAATTGACATAAAATAGGTATAGCATAAAATACTATGTAATACTATATCAGCACAGCATATCAGCCTTTCAGCAGCATGTGTGGTTAACATAGCACAGGTTTGTGAGATGTGACAAGTTTTTTTTCATCTTATATTATTGGATTCGGATTGGGAAACAGTATTTTTAAACAAGAAATTAAAATGATTAAGATGTGATTTTTATGAATTTCTTTTTTTTATGAGTTTTTTAACTTAAAAAGAAGAAACTCAAAAAAGTCAAGTCTAAAACATAAATGTTAAGTGTTTGTTTATTTGTTTAAAAATGTCTTCACGTTGGAAATGACCTTATTACTAAAAGAATTATAAATAGTTGTGCTATATTTTGAAGTAATATAGACATGAACAATAATGGACATCACACATAGAAAAAAAAAAGAAAATTTGTTTAAAAAAAGAAACTAATTTTATTAAACTAAAGAATAAAAGTATAGCAAAACAGCAATAACGAAACAATAAATAAAAATTAGCTTACGAGTATGTGAGTAAAAGACATAAGATAATAATTATAATTATGTTATTCATAGATGAATGTTCTGAGTTGTCTTTGGATAAGACAGAAATGCCAATCGATTCAACAATAATAGAGGGAACCTGCTGCCGCGGCACGCTTACTCGCTACTGTTCTAATCTAACCTAATCCAAATGATTCAATAAGAATAGATGATATCTGACACAGCAGTCAAAAGTACTATTGCCTAATGCCGGTCAAAACACTATTGACCGGTAAAAAGTTCTGTCTGTAACATATTTACGAATTACTTGTTTTAAGGTTTCGGGCTCTATGGAGTTTTACTGACGGCTCTCACTGCCATGATTTTGCTTGGGTTTTCTTGCATCGCCTACAGTACTATGTTCATAGTACCAACTAGCGCGTGCGAGCTGGCCACCACCCCTAGTCAACAAGGAATACTGGCTGCTGGGCCTATCGCTGGTAAGAATTCATATCTACGTAACAACAGAAATGTATTGAATGTAAGAAAATAACCGGATGAGTTAAAATGTATTAAGAATAATTAATTATCACCTCCAACACCAACTGTCTCTTCAAGCATTTTCAAGAATTGGACATTTATTCGCTCGAAGAACATTCATTCTCCTTTTCCACTTTCGAGTTACGAAAAGACCAAGTATAAGGATTGACGAGTAAGTTGCTTTATATGTTATTTGTCTGTCTTCTTCGTATTTTTCTATATTTGAAAATAAAATAACTTTGTTAAATAAATTATGCATTTGTCAAGACACTCTTTGCTGGCACTATTTCTTATAAATACTCTGTCTCTTTAAGTAACAAATAACTATTGATCTGTGTCTAAGTAAGTTTTGTACCTACCTAATACCTAATATCTCTCAATTATTTTGCAGGTCTTTTGCTTGGTGGGATGATATGGAGCTATCTCGCGGATACTCGTGGCCGTCGAACCCCATTAATAATGTCGCTCATCTTCGGCGCTGTCTTCAACACCATTGGTACCATATCTGTCAACTGGATTATGTTGCTGATTTTTCAGTTTCTTGGGTCATTCTGGTAAGTAGTGTGTCTAATAATGGTATTAAAATATGTTAGCTTGGATGTAATAAATTACAAAGAATCGTAAAGGTGAAATTGACCAGCTTAACCCCGTGTATCATTTAAAATATATTATATGTATTTCCTTCCACTGCAGCTCATCTGGATTGTATTTAATGTCAATGTCCTTACTCAGTGAGAGTGTACCCATGGCGAATAGAAGTATCGTCGTCATCATCGTTTCCAGCGTCACGCTTGTTGCTCAAGGATTTATGGCTCGTAAGTAAATATGTCTTGTAGCACTAATGAAAATGCACAACATTATTTATAAAAGTTTTCTTTTTTAATTATTCATTAATTTGTTTCACTTTCATGTACTTACTGAAATAGGCTAGAAACACAAATAGTTCATGATATTTGTTTAATGAATCTTTTTTTTCTTCCAAACGTTTAATATTTGTTTTCAGTATTGGCGATACCTATAATTCCCCTAAGATTTTCTTATTATCTGCCAGGCTTGGGAATTTATTGGAACTCTTGGCGTATGCTCTTATTGATATTCTCCATACCTCACATTTTCTCTGCTATTTGTCTCGTGTTTATGCAGGAGAGCCCAAAATTTGTTTTTACAAAAGGAGATGAAAACAAAGCGTTGGAAATATTGCAAGCCATTCATTACATCAATAACTGGACAGTAGACCAAGAATTACAAGTAAGTGCCTCACTTGTTATGTTATTATTAAAATTTGATATACCCTTCCTTATCTCATATAGTTTTTAAAGCAGCAGCAAGGAACGTAATTATTTGCAAACTGCCTCGTACATGACCATCGTCATCATCATCAACAGCCTTTAAAAATCCACTGTTGGACATGGGCCTCTCGTCAGAAAACAGATTTCGGACTATACTATATACCACGCTGCCCAGACGGGTTGGCATAGGGTTTGTTTCAAGCTTTCCTTCTCTTTGCAGTACTACTGTCCAGCATAGTTTTTTGCTCTTAGTCGATAGATGAATAGGGGTGGTGACGCTCCGTATTGTTAATTTGTCGGACGGGCGTAAATGACCGTCCTTGTTTTTAAGTTTAAAGATGAAACTTATTTGTTTTTATTTTAAATACAGTAAAAACAGTTTTTAATGGCTAAAGATAATGTATATTATGAGCTTCTGTAGATTTTAAAATGGATTCACTGAATCCGTTGAAACCAGAAGAAAACCATTCGAATTGAGAACCTCCTCTTTTGTGTTAGGTATATAAAATGCATCTATCTTTTCTGACAAATTCCCTTTCTGGAGTGTTGGCAAATCAATGTCTAAATCATTCCAATACCTTAAAATTGCTTTATTTTACAGGTTAAATGTCTACTTAAAGATGAAGTTTCAGTAATTATAGATTCTACATCAAAATCAATGGAAAAGGATCACATGTCCTTGTTCAGGATGCCTCTACTCAAGAACATTATAATTATGCTGTTTCTCTACACAGTTCAACAGTGAGTGTATTGTATTACATTTGTGTACAGTAAAATTCATCATCATCATCATCAACAGCCTTTAATAATTCACTACTTAGAAAGGAGGTTTTGGCCCTATACCATGTTTTGTTTTGGTAATACCATGCTGGCCAGACGGGTTGGTACAGGGTTTGGGGTGCTGGGCTAGAAAACCTCCTCGTGGTGCACCCTGGAAACGCTGGCGATGGTACTGTTCCCTCCTTGTCCTCTTGGAGGAGAGGATTATCGCCAGCGGCCAATATTCTAGCAGAAGAGGCAGCCGTTCATCGGCTCTCGGGCAAGGCCTGGTCCAGCAGGGTGGGCGTGTCTGCCGGTTGCCCTGCTGGCTCTTCGCTCTTCGGAGCATGGAGGAGGAAACCTCGGTAAAAAACCTGATGGCGGGGCCCTGTAGGGGCCACAGTTTCTCCGCTGACAGCGGTGGAGAAAGGAGGACGGGCTCGGCGTGTACTCACACTACCACCGAGCAGGCAGGGGGCGCAGTCTCCCTGTCAACCGTCGGCATATCGTAATCCCGAGAAGAGCGCTGTGGTTAAGTCTCGCGGCTCTGATCGGGGGCGAGGGTCTTGGCTTAACCGCCCGGACCGCGAGGAAGATAACCTCTCTAAAAAATTCCCCGAATCCCGTGTTCTGGTGCGTGGCCAGGGGATGCATGGCTGATGGGAAGTTCAGTCGCGAGCGCACTCCAAGCCGAGGTACCTGCGGACCCCTCGGTTGGGTTAAAAACTTACGCTTGCCCGGGTAATGGGGGATCTCTGCCCGGGTGGACCTTTTAGTTCTCCCCCACTCGTGGGATTTATTATGAATTTGAATACAAATAAAAATACAAAGAAACGGACACAAACAGAAAACAAACAAAACCAGGCAAACAAAACGGACACTGAAACAAAAGGTGCAAGGGAGAAGAGGAACAGTGGAGTCGATGGGTCGTCCACTGAGGGTGAGGTGGCGTCGGGAACGCCCATCTCGATGGGGCTCCCAGAAGTCAGTCTGACTCTGATCTCTGGGAGCCGAAGAGCATCGGATCGGCTGCGTTCCGGATCCGCCGCTTCATCGGATGGCGCGGAGGCCATGGAAGCGGAGCGGAGCGACAGCCGGAAACGCGGACGCTCAGGGGACGTGGAATCCGACACGTCCGGCGAAATGATGCCACCAAAGGTGGCAAGCAGCCGCCGAGGGAGGGCGCGCAAACCGGCCTCGGTCGCGATCCCGTCAGGCTCCGCGTTCTCCAACGCGGAGTCGTACAGGAGCGTACGGGTGGACGGCGAGGCCGTAGCGGAGGAGGAGATCGCGGATCTCCTGCTCAAGGTTCGGGAGCCGGTGGGGGGAAATGCCCCCCAGGCTCCCGTGTCCGTGCAGGAGAGGGCGAAAGCGGCGGTGGCCGTCATCAACAAGGTGGCCACCAAATCCGTGAACCTTAAGGGCTCGTTTGTGAGGGCCCTTAAGGACTCCTCCTCCGCTTTGTCGGAGGTCGTGGAGGGCCTAGCGGGCGACGTCTCTCGCCTGCAGGTGGCCAACGAGAGGCTGACGGAGCGGGTGAACGAGCTGAGTGCTCAGTTCGCCCGCTTCCAGGCGAACCTCCCCGAGCGGGAAGCCCCGTCCGCGTCCCAGCCTGCCCCTACCACCAACTCAGGGGCATTTGACTCCCAACTGCGAGAAATCCTCATCGCAGTTGGGAATATGCTGGACGGACGCCTGGCTGGCCTGGAGGCGAGACTGCCCCCTGCGCCGAGTATGCGCCCCCCGCTCGCGTCGGCACAGCGGCCTAAGGCCGCCGCTCCGACCGCGCTGCCCGTAGTGGGAGGCCGCGTCTCCTACGCGGCGGCGGCGTCTGCCCCGACTCCATCGGCTCCCCAAAAGCCGAGGAGGGGGGCCAAGGCACCGGCCCAGGCGCCGGCCAAGGCACCGGCTAAGGCGCCGGCCAAGGCACATCCCCAGGCGCCGGCCAAGACGGGGCCCAAAACGGCGCCGAGGAGCGGAGTGGCATTCCCTCCGCTCCCCACTCCGACACCCCTGCCGGGCCCCTCCGCACCTGCCCCCTCCAACGAGGGTTGGCAGGAGGCGAGGGGCTCCAAGAAGTCCCGAAGGCGGGCCAAAAAGGCTGCCAAAAAAGCAGCCCAGGCCCAGCCTTCGCCACCGGTGGCTACGGCCTCCACAAAGAGGCCGCGGAAGCTGCAGCCGCCCAAAACCGCGGCTGTAGTGGTGACCGTGTCCCCGGAGGCGGCGGACGGCGGGCTGTCCTACGCGGCCGTCTTCAAAAAGGCCCGGGACAGCCTCGCCAACGACTTCGGAACGGTGGGGGTCAGGATGCGCCTCGCCCAGACGGGAGCTCGAGTTCTCGAGTTCCCTGGGGCTGAAGGCGCAAAGACGGCGGACTCCTTCGCTGAGAAGCTGCGGGGAATATTTGCAGCCACAGATGGTGTCAGGGTCGCCAGGCCTACCAAGTGCGCGGAACTGCGCATCTCGGGCCTGGACGACTCAGTGACGGCCGAAGATGTCCGCGCTGTAATCCGGGAGAAGACGGGGTGCAGCGCGGACAACGTCAGGGTCGGCACCATCCGCCCCGGTCCAGGAGGGCTTGGCGCCGTGTGGGTCAGCTGTCCCGTAGCGTCGGCCAAAGTATTGGCCGACGCCGGCAGGCTGCTCATCGGTTTCGTGAGCGCCAGGATCACAGTCCTGGCGGCGAGACCGATGAGATGCTACAAATGCCTGGCATCGGGACACACGCGCGTCAAGTGTGACAGTTGTTTTGACTGCGGCGGACTGTGTTTCCGCTGCGGTCAACCGGGGCATAAGGCGGCAGAATGCTCTGCCGCCCCTCACTGCCCAGTGTGTGCGGCGGGCAATAAGCCCGCCAATCACCAGATGGGGCAGAGAGGCTGCAAGCCTCCCCGCAGTTCTCGGCAGACGTCGGGGGTTAGCCAGTCGACCCAGGCTGCCTCCGATGTAGTTCGTGCGTCGACGTCGTCGCCCATGGAGGAGGTTGTAGAGACGATCCAGTAATGGATCAAGTCTCCAACCTCCTGGTCCAGACGAACCTGAACCACTGTGCCGCGGCGCAGGATCTCTTCCTGCAAACCATGGCACAGTGGTCGATAGGTGTTGCCGTAGTCGCGGAGCCCTATTCTGTCCCTCCCCGTCCAAACTGGATGGGTGACTGGGACGGCTCCGTGGCAGTCGTCGGTTCCACGACGGCTCATTCCCCGCCCTTGTCGCTAAGAGACAAGGGCACTGGATATGTTGCCGTCGAGTGGGGGGGGATCACCATATATGGTGTCTATTTCTCCCCCAGCCGGAGTTTGAACGACTTCGAGGTTTTCCTAATCAGCTTGGAGACCTCGATACGGCGACTAGCGTCTGGGCACGTCCTTGTGCTGGGGGACTTCAACGCAAAGTCCATTGCGTGGGGTTCCCCCAGGACGGACGCCAGGGGCGAGGCCGTAGAGGAGTGGGCGGCCTCGGTGGGCCTCTGTCTTCTAAACAGAGGCTCCACCAACACGTGCGTGCGACAGCAGGGGGGGTCGATAGTGGACCTCTCGTTCGCTACCCCTGCCCTCGCCGCACGAGTAAGGAACTGGCGTGTCCTGGAAGAGGTTGAGACGCTCTCGGATCACCTGTATATCCGATTTGAGCTCTCCCGGACCCAGGACTCCAGTAGGGGTCACGTGGCGCGGCGTTTATCCCGCTTTCCGCGGTGGGCTGTTGCCAGGCTGAACCGGGACCTACTAGAGGAGGCAGCCATAATTCACTCGTGGCTGTCTCCTCAGGCTCCGACCGAGGAGGTCGACGTGGGGGCGGGCCGCTTTCGCGATGCGATTACGCATGTATGCGATGCGGCCATGCCCCGCGTTCGAGGTCGTCGGCCTCCAAGGAAGGAGGTCTACTGGTGGTCCCAGGAGCTGGCGGACCTCCGTGCGGCCTGTACACGTGCCCGGAGGTCCTACACACGCAGTCGGCGGCGTCACCGTGGAGACGGTGAGGAGGACCGGCTTCATGAGGAGTACCGGCGGGCGCGGAAAACTCTGAAGCTGGCCATTAGCCGCGCCAAAGAGGAAAAGAGACAGGAGATGCTGGAGGGTCTTAATCGTGACCCCTGGGGTCGCCCTTACCGCGCGGTGCGACAAAAGCTCCGCGCGTCGGGCCCCCCCCCTTACGGAGACTCTCCAGCCCAGCTTCCTGCGAGAAGTGGTTGAGGGCCTTTTCCCACAACGAGCGGAACACACTCCCCCGTCGATGGCCTCCCTGGCCGGAGACGACGGGGAGCACTCGGAGGACAATGTTCCGCCCGTCCGGGATTCGGAGGTAGGGGCGGCTGTTCTACGGATCCGTTCCAAGAACACCGCCCCTGGGCCAGACGGGGTACCGGCCCGAGTGCTGGCCCTGGCCCTCAACCACATGGCAGACCGCCTCGGGGAGGTGTTCGACGCTAGCTTGGCGTCGGGACGCTTCCCTGAGTGCTGGAAAAGCGGGAAGCTGGTCCTATTGAGGAAGCCGGGACGGCCAGCCGATTCGGTCGCGGCCTATAGGCCCATCGTGCTGCTGGACGAGGCGGGCAAATTGTTTGAGAGGGTTCTTTCTGCCCGCATCGTCCGGCACCTCTGCGAGGTGGGCCCCGATCTGTCGGACGCCCAGTTTGGTTTTCGGGCGGGGCGTTCGACAGTCGACGCCGTGTTGCGCCTGAGGGCCGTGACCGAAGAGGCCGTGAGCTGTGGCGGCGTGCTGTTGGCGGTGTCACTGGACATCGCCAACGCATTCAATAGTCTGCCATTCAGCTGCATCAGGGAAGCACTCCACTATCATGGGGTGCCAAAGTACCTGAGGCGGCTAGTGGCAGACTATTTAGAGGAGCGTACCGTCGTGTACGAGGACCGAGAAGGTAATCTGAGGTGTCGGCCCATGTCGTGCGGTGTTCCACAGGGGTCTGTTCTTGGACCCCTCTTGTGGAACATAGGGTACGACTGGGCCCTTCGCGCCGATTTCCCCCCCGGGCTGGGTGTAATCTGTTACGCAGACGATACCCTCGTGACAGCCCGGGGGGCAAACTTCCAAGAGGCGGCGCGCCTGGCCACAGGGGGAGTCTCCCTGGTGGTCGGGCGCATTGAGGCGCTGGGCTTACGGGTGGCCCTAGATAAGACGGAGGCCCTGTTATTCCATGGGCCCCGTCGTGGTCCACCCCCTGGCGCCTCAATCGTGGTCAACTCGGTCCTCGTACCGGTTCGGGCCCAGATGAAATATCTGGGCCTGATCCTCGACGGGAGGTGGCTCTTCGACGAGCACTTCCGACAGCTTGCTCCAAAGCTGGTCGGCGCTGCGGCTGCCCTAGGGCGACTTTTGCCCAATATGGGTGGACCCAGCGTCGCGACAAGACGGCTGTACACGGGGGTTGTCCGGTCAATGGCACTGTACGGTGCACCGGTGTGGGCGGCGGCTCTGACCGCCCAGAATAGGGTACGCCTCTGGCGCCCTCAGAGGGTAATGGCGGTCAGAGCCATACGCGGTTACCGCACCGTTTCGACGGAGGTGGCGTGCGCGTTGGCCGGAACTCCCCCGTGGGATTTGGAGGCGGAAGTGCTCGCCGAAGTTTATCGGCGAGTGGCTGACTTCCGGGCGGAGAGCGGATTTCGCCCTCCGCCCGAGGATGTGCGCGAGTGGCGCGAAGCCGCTCGCCGAGCCACGATGGCTCGTTGGTCGTTCCGGCTGGAGACTCCACGCGCTGGCTTCGCCGCCGTGGAGGCTCTCCAGCCGGTCATCGCCGAGTGGGCAGGGCGGCAGCACGGGACCCTTTCCTTCCGACTGACGCAGGTGCTTTCCGGGCACGGTTGCTTCGGGAAGTACCTGCACACGGTCGCTAGGAGGGAACTGAGTCCCGCCTGCCACCACTGCGACTGCAGTGAGGACTCGGCCCAGCACACGCTGGCGGTCTGCCCCGCATGGGCGGCGCAGCGTCGGGCCCTCACTGCAGTCATCGGAGTGGATCTCTCGCTACCGGCCGTAGTACGCTCCATGGCCGGTAGCGACAGTTGTTTTACCGCGGTCGCAACCTTCTGCGAGGTAGTAATCTCGCGGAAGGAGGCGGCGGAGAGGGCCCGGGAGGACGACCTCCACTCGGACCCGATCCGCCGCCGGCGAACCGGGCGGCGGAGGCCCGCCTACCACAGCCTCATGCCGCCCTGAGTGTGGCCGCGGGTGGACGGGGTGGGTTTCCCCTCCACCCGCATTAGTTGGCCAGCCGCGAGGGGGCGGCGTCCGCGTGTGCCGGACGTCGCCTAAAGAGAGGAACATCCACATTGAGACGGAGCCCGCACCAGGAGCGGGCTGGCGCTAGGAGGGGTCCGGATGTCTTAACAACAGCTGTTCCCGGATCCCTCCTGTTACAGGCGCAGAGTGGCACACCGTGTGGTTTTAGTCGGTCCGAGTCCGACACACCACCCCGCCGCAAACCCCGGAGGGGTGACGGTCCGAGGGGATTTCCACACGTTAAAAAAAAAAAAAAAAAAAAAAAAAGGGTTTGTGTCAAGTTTTTCTTCTCTTTGCAGTGCTGTTGTTTTGTGTGGTTTGCAAAATTCAAATTTCTTTTTTTTTATTTCATGTAGTTAGTTCATAATTGCATTTCACTGAGCATCTTCTAAATTACCTACTATTTTTTTGCAAAACTACTCATCAATTTAGTTTTAATTTGAATTTAAACAAGCACATCGGTAATAAGTAAAATAAAACGGATTAAGATTTCAATGCTACTAAAAATTAATATCTACTAAACAGAAAACGGAGAAGTGCATGAAAAACAGAGAAAAGGAAGATGCCGCACTGTTTTGTCTGTATATTTAATAATAAAAATAAGTATAATTAGATGATAAAATAGCTTTTAAGTACTGGGAAAGTTAAACAATTATAAGTCCTTAGTTAGATATCTGTTATATGTATATATTTAACTAATAACTATTTTGTATATGTATATGATTTAACATTTACGGAAAATTTTGACCTGCCTTAAATTTTGGATATGTTTTAAACGTTTCTTTGATAGATATATAATAGATACGTAGATGTATAGCCACTATTGAATTAAGTTTTATATGTGTATCAGTTGTTGAGGACTTATGAAATAAATAAATATTTATAGGGGACTAAACTCGATCAATAGGTATTTCTCTCTGGATCAATAGCTTTCATTTATCTGACTTTTAGACCGAGTTGCACTAGTTAATGTTCCAAACTGCATTGCTATGGATCACGTTAACTCTCGTAAAAATATATTTTAGTGATAAGCTAAAATAAAAGCTGTTTAAATATATACCAGGTTTGGTGCGTTTTTTGTGTGGTTGCCGAAAATTGCAGACCAGTTCGTGCGTATTATACAAACTGGTGACAAGGCAAACCTCACCATGTGCCGTGTATTGAACATGAAACCTCGTATTGTTAATGTAAGTATATTTAATGAGATATCACGTTTGACCAATTAAAAATACTTTTTCCTATGAAATAAAAAAACATAGAGTTCGTTAGTGAGAGCACGCAGCACACATCTGTGACAATCGTTACGGTTAGTTGGAGCCCTAAATAGTCCGACAAGAGTCTTTCTAGAGAACTTTGACATCGAGAATTTGCTTTGCGAAGATTTGATAGCAGTCGCTCCGCTTAAAAAATCCAAGTTCAGCCAAACCGTAGCAGATTTAAAGCCAACGCCAACCTAGTTTGGGAAAAAGGAAGACTAAAAGTTCGTTAGTTTGGTTGAACATCGTTGTTTTCGAAAGAAATATGTATGTTTTAAAATTGTTTAATGTAAGATAACTTAACCTTAAGCGTTTATCTCGTAAAGCACAGATTTCTTAAGTTATTTGAATTTTACTCTTCTGTAAGCAACCGGGAAAATGATGGTTCGACCGTCTGTTCATTTGCCCCCTATATCATAAAAAAGTGTGTGTGAGCTCCGACACATGACTGTAGTTTACTCCTTAAGAACGATTCTGCTGCACGCAAGTATACAAGTTTTACACACACATGTGAAAGGTGCGCACGATAGGTTGCGCACAAAAAACGTAACGAAGTCATTCGATCACTAAATTCTCACTAAACTCTACATATTTTTTCATACAGGTGCCTTATATTAAAATCGATTCTTAAGGAGTAAACTCTAAAAATGGGTAAACAATAAAACATCGGTGGTTTTTTACCATTCCACTATTTCATAACCCATATGCCATATACCGCCGCCAATGCAACTAAAGTGTTATATTTTTTGAGTCCTCTTTCAGAAATCGGAGGGGTGGGGGAAACAGGGCTCTAGTAACCTCACTCACTAAGTGAAAAGCAACCGAAGAATTTAATAAAACCGGTTTTCTATGACGCCGTGGTATTACTTTAATCAAGTCGTAGCATAGCTCTGCCCCATATTAAAGACAATATATTGACCATTTTAAAGTTTAAGATATTCTAAAAGTACAAAAAATTATTAAGAGTGTTGTGGAGGAACGGATGTCTTGTCCCTCCAACATAAACGGACGATCCTCCGACCAGGCGAGGTGATTATACCTGGCGCGCCGCGGCCCAACGGTTGATGTTGGGAAGTTATATATATGCTAATCCGCGAGAGAATTTTTCATACCGCGATACAGGATTAGCGATTCTTATTCAGGAGTTATTCCGTAGTTCGGTGTGTCTTCGTTAGATGGCGCTGTAGTATGTTTCTATTCTTTGTATGGTGGAGTCGCCACAGTACCTTTCATCCAGGAAAGAGTATTATTTAAGTGGGATTATAGGAGGATTAATATAATTTGTATTTGTATTACAGATTAACGAAACGCCCTGTTCCCTTGATGAGACGTCGCTTTTGATAGTACTTAGTATCGGAGTGTTGCAAGCTATCTTTAACTTTTGCGTCGGCTATGTAAGTAATATTACAAATACATTTACTTCTTTTTTTTTTTTTTGTCCGTGTGGTGACGGATTAAGAATACAGAGTGTCACCACCCCTATTCATCCCGTGGGTGTCGTAAGAAGCGACTAAGGGACCAAATTAAGCAGGGCAACAAAACTGCTGAGAGAAGGAAAACTTGGCACTAACCCTATACCAACCCGTCTGGCCAGCGTGGTATAGTAGGCCAAAACCTCCTTTCTAAGGAGAGGCCTATGTCCAGCAGTGGACTAGTAAAGGCTCTTGATGATTTTCTTTTTGTCTCTGCTAAGCTAAGGTAGATACTAAAGATTTCATAGAATAGGTCGGCAACGCGCTTGTGACTCCTGAGCTGCAGTCGTTTTCCATCAGATGACACGTCTGCTCGTTTGCCCCCTCTTCAATAAAAAAAAAGTGGCACTCTGAGAGTGGCGACAGAAGTAAAAACTTGAACTTGTGTTTTTTTTGTTTTTTTTATTCGAAAAGTTACGACATGAATATTTATCTATCTTGTACGTATATACACAATATATGTTTATATTATATATAGTTATATTATCAATGTATTTCAACCCGAACTCAACTCTCGTGTAAACGGGACCAATATATGTATATATATACTTATATACAGAGGTATCGGTAATGGTAACAGTGTCGCGAGTTAATGGTTTTTCCTATCTCAAAGAAATACATTCTTTTGTTTGTGGTTCAAAAATGCCCAAAGCGCCTAAAGATGTTAAACAAAGAAGTACAGTGAACCTGTCATCTGACAGGGATTCTATTTAATGGAATAGAGAGAGGGGTGGCAACAAAAGAACTGATAAACACCGGTTTTCGTGGTGTTACTGCGGATGTGCTGAAGTAGGTACTTCTCTACCACTCTCTCTCTTTAAAGGTCATGCAAACAGAGCTCGCTATTTCTACCTACTTCCTCATTTAATTAATACCAACCTATATATTGAGAGGCCTATATCACGCAGTGGGCTGCTAAAGGCTGTTGATGATATAAATTGAACGTTTCTTAAATAGGCAAAAATATCTCTGTCAGATATTTTTTATAACTTTTATTTGTAGTCCTGGCAGGTTTACTGAATCTATGTTAAAGTGACGTTTACGCAAACATAACTTTAATAAACACATAACGGTATAATTATTAATGTACTTAAGGATATAATAGTTTAATTTACCTCATAACCTATTGATATTATTAGATTATTATACAATAAACAATGACAATGTATACTTAACTTGTAACTAACAAATGCATCAACAACAACCTGATGGCTTAACTCTCTGAGGCACGGAGGGTTCTCAATGTGTTAAGAATGGTCCCATCCATAGACTGACCTAGCTAGGATAACTACTATATACTTAACTATGTAATTTTACTTATTTATACATCATGTACTTTTGGTGCATTGGCAGACTTAATGCCTAAGGCATTTTCTAGAAGTCAACCATTTGGTAAAAGTTTGTTTGTAGTTATAATATCAAATACGCGTACATAAACCTATCATACACTAGAACCCATACACATTATACATTGATACATACATTTATTTATTTTAAAGACAACTCCCGCACTAGGAATAAATCCTGTGTCCGTTTAGAAACATACATGAAACGGACACAGACAACACCCAGACTCAGAAAAACCATTTGTGAATCATACAAAGTGTCGACCCATGTGGGGATCGGACCCACAGCACTCAGCATAGTAGTGAGCGGCGTGGCGACCGCTTAAACCACTACGCCATCCGTGCAGTCGCATATAAATACTTAAATGCATATAAACTTTTTCCTACTTATTTGCCATTTTGCCACGAGCCTCTTAATTAACGGATTTAGTACAATAATCATATATAAATCACAATAAATATGGACAAATAGTGAGATAACAGATTCAGTACCTAATATATTTCTGACAAAGCTCATTCAAATCTCTTTAACAATTATGTTGTAATTGATTAAAAAATGACTTCACGTGATAAAACAAGTAAACCATATTTATTGTGTTTCAAAAGAAAAGGATGAAAGGTTTCCCTCTATTAACATATAGATTAAATTCTCCCTTTCCCTTCACATTATATCCTATATTTTCAAAATTTGTCATCATGTTCTAGATTATTAACTTTGTTGGCCGTCGGAACATGACCATGGTTATGTTCCTGGCAAGCGGAGTGAGCAGCATTCTAGTAAATCTTGTGCCACACACCATCGGCAGCGCGGCGCTCTTTATATTTATGTCAATGGGAGGCATTGTATATGGTTTGTGCACATCCATCTGTGTTGACCTGTTCCTTACTAATTTAAGGTAATTATGGAAACATATACTTCATAATAAAAATTTAATACATAATAATGAAACTAGGCAGAGCCTGTACTAACCAGACTAAATATAATAAATTAGTAATTAAACTAGGCAGAGCCTGTACTAACCAGACTGCTTGTAAACATACTTATATATTTCTAAATACATACATATTACATAAAATTTACATCCAGGCACAGTACGATTGACCGTGCGTATCACACAATTATTTTTCCTAGATGGGACTCGAACCCACGACCTCTGGCACACTGGTTCACTAACTACTAGACCAACAGATCTGTCAATAATATACAAAACACCGATACCCAATACACATACACACCCACGGCTGTGTATCCGAAGAGGCATGTAAAGGCGTTTTAAACACCCAGTTTTGCAAACTATGCGTACAATTTGTCTTCCATAATATGGGGGCAACGCTATTATCATGAAACGGGCATTTGTTACTTATGTAAATTCGTAAGGTAGCAATAGAAAGCAACAGAAGGAAAGTGGTATAGCTTTTAGTTAAACTGATGAATTGAGAAGCAAGAAAAGTCGTGTAATACAAAGTGCATTTTCTTAATAATTTCTATCTTAGATTTTCATTATAACCAGCCAAACATACATTTATTATTTTCTCAAAACATCTAAGTAAGGAACAGTATTTTTTTTTCAGGACCCTTGTCATCGCCATGACAATGACAACCCATTATGTAGGCACAGTTGCATCTATTCAAATCTTTAATTTGTCATTACTGAATCATTGCGACACATCGTTTTACCTGTTCGGCTCTATACTTGTATGTAAGTATTGCAACTACCATTTATATCTTCTTTACCACATATAAATAAAACATTCCGTGTGGTGACGGTTAAAGAATACAGAGTGTCCAAACCCCTATTCATCCCGTGGGTGTTGTAAGGGCCGACTAAGGAAGAAAATTACGCAGGACAACAGCACTGCAAAAAGAGAACGAAAACTTGAAATAAACCCTATACCAACCTGTGTGGTCAGAGTGGTTTAGCCTATGTTATTAACAACCTATAACACTCCACTGCTGGACATAGGCCTCTCCTTAGAAAGGAGCCTAGAAAGGCCAGAATTAGGAGGAAGATGGGTTTGGACTCCTTACTCAGTACAAAGCAACGAAGGAATTGCTTAACCCAGTTTTCCTGTGAGGCCGTGGCATAACTCCGGTCGCTTCAGCCTTTTTAATCCGAAGCATGGCTTTTCTCCACGAACTAAACAAACAATTAAAAATAAATACTACTTTTCTGATATATCAATTGCAAGAAGGACTGATATTATATCAATTGCACGTGAGACTGCACGGATAGTGTTGTGGGTTCGATCCCCACATGGGACAACACTTTGTGTAATCCACAAATTATTGTTTTCAGTCTGGCTGTTTTTTGTGTCCATTTCGTGTAAGTTTGTGAATATATTCTTAGTGCGGGAGTTCTCTTTCTTTTAGGAAAGAAATTTTAGCCTGACAATATTTTTTTTATTTTCTTTAGTAGCTGCAGTAGTCACGTCGTTCCTGCCAAACGATCTCCAAGTTAGGAAGCAAACAATACAGCTAGAACTAGTCGACATAGAAAGTTTAATGGACGAACCAAGAAAGGAGAATTAATTTATCTGTATCTTAACCTCCTTGATAGATCCTCTTTATGATATTTTGTTCCTATAATTACGGGTATACAGAGAATTGTACATATTAAGGTGTGAGACAGTCACTGAGACTAGGGTTAGTACCTAGTGAATTTAGTTATACTCAAATTACTTAATTTTTAAAATGACATTCTGTGAAAATCTAAAATTCAGCCGTATCACAATAGACTTAAAGCCGACCCCAACCAACATTTGGAAAAAGGCTCGAAGGAAGGAAAGGAAAGGATTCTGCAGTTCGAGATGGCTGTTTTTGATGTGTGTTTCTAATACTTATGTATTCCGACCGACTACACTTAAGTTTTAATGCACCGAATTAAAAAAGAAAGTAAAGTGGTGCGTATCGTATTTACTTTAAAATAATATTAAACAAAACAAGTGTATTTTTTGGGACATGTTTATATTATATAAATGAAATATTTGTATTTTTATTAAGATGTTATTATTTATGCAATATATGTGTATATTTTTATTACTCTTAGAGCTATTCTTATACTTTTAATGTTACGACAGAAGCTGATAATAATATGTAATGTAATTGTAGAATAGGATTAGATACAAGGAAAATTATTGTACCTAAATATACCTACTGTATTCGCATGACCTGTCGTAAATAGATATTTATATAGCAATGTAATGATTTTATTTTTAATAAAACGGTATTAATAGCTTAATTGTATGTCTCTAAATAAGAAACTATTAAACAGTATGGAAGACAATCGATGTAGCTAATCTTTAATCTTAAAATCAACCGAAAAAAAAAACCGATATCGAAAGGGTGGTGAGTGTCAATAGCACATGTTATCTGAAAACAAATACTATAAAATTAATTGTAAGAAATATTAAATTAAAACAATCTTTTATAGACCCTGAATATTATGTCGTATCAAAGTACCTAGACAAAACAAAAAAGCCCAAACTCGATGGCTTTATCTTGTTTAGTTAAAAAGTTTCTTAGCCGTATTCCTCCTCTATCAACAGAACAGCTATATGGTCCTATATTATTGTATTGTCAACAAAAGATAAATATGTACACCAAATTTGAGTACAATCGGACGTCGAGAAGTGCCGTACACACATACACACATACACACACACGTACACACATACATGTTTACATAAAAACATTGCGAGTTAAATAAAAGATTGTAAAATTCAAGTTATTTTATTTTATCATCGATCATAAACTGACGTAAAAAATTGCGTCAGTTTAATGCTTTATTACGTCTATGACCACAATGAAAGACGTACACATCGGTATCTGCCTATTACGAAGCACCTACACCGTGCCGTACAGCGCTAGCTTACATCTTTACTATTATTATAATTATTAATTGAGCTTGTTTGTTTAATAAGCTTTAACTTTAAAGTAGTCACACATGTGACCAAGCCAGTCACGTCTTACCCTAAACTTACAATGTTCTCATCTATAATTTAACTTAATTATAACTTAAGTAGGAAGAACGTACTTTTTGAACAATACCATTACATAGGCTTATAGTTCAAGGAATTAATAACTAATAACGCTGCTTCTATTCTTAGTCGTGGATACAGAAAAAGTCAAGGAGGAGTGTCTCCATGGTATAGCGAATTGATTGACAAATTTTACATTCAGGTGACCGAAGCCGCGACCAAAAATATGGAAATAATTAGATAGATGTGGATGAAATATTTTTAGATAAATTAATAAAATTAATATTCAGAACTGAAAGCCAAATCTCGTAATAAAAGTTGGGTCAAAATTCAGTTCCATCTCGTAACTGTCACAAAAGATATTTTCGTAGTAAAATAGTAAAGTATTAGTAAGACTAGCAGATTACCAATTTACAATAGAAACAAACTTTACTACGAAAATACGTTTTATGACAGTTGTGAGATCCAGAGTAACTAGGAACTGATTGTGACTAAACTTTTATTACGAGAGTTGACCTTCTGGGCATTTACACCTTTCTCTGACAACTGCATGCTTTGGCGTGTGAATACGCGTCTCTTTTGTTTTTCTTTTTGTCAACACAGGAGTTAACTAACAAAAACCAAAAAGTTCTTGTTTTTTTTAAATAACTTAAATCTCTTTACGTTTATAATAATAAACATAGTAAGTCTCATACTATAATAATACTTTATTGTGTTTCTTGAAAGCCACAAGTTCTTTTTCTTCCTGTTTACTACATTACGTAATTATTTATTCAACAAAGTGATTCCTTACCATAAATTTAGTACGTCGGTTTTTCTATTATGATTTGTGGTGTCTAGTGTCTAGTTGAGGTGCTCATTTGAATGGTTAAATGATATTCTCAAAAAAAAATTAAGCGTTTGTTCATTTGGTCCACCAAACACCCCTGCCTTGTTTCTTCTCCGTTGACATCGAAAACATAATAATAATGTTAGGCATAGGTTAGGCGTACTATATTACGGAGTAGGGCTGGTGTAGGGCTTGTTTGTTTTATTTTTCATGTTTGTTTAAAATACATAACCGAAAATGACTGTAGGCCCTATAAGACATCATAACAGTTCTGTATATAAACTACTTAAATGATCATTTTAAAATATTACGAAAGTAGCACACGTCTGTAAAATTTTACGAAGATGGAGTCTCCCTGGGGTAAAGTACAATCTCTTGTAACTTCGTTACGTTCGGAATTTTCAGTGACGGAGAATACACAGGTTCAGTAGCGCAAGTTCAGTTACGACTATTAAATATAGCTCCTGTTAATTGTGTCACACAATCTACAGGTGCTAATGTAATTATGTTGCCGGGGGATAGCCAAGTTATTTCAATGACTCTTGGTCATCCGGGCCAAACCGGCCGAGTCGCAAATTACCTTATTTCATAGTAGGTCGTAAATTAGTCTAAAACCTCAAAACACAATCAGATTGTATGAGAATTTCACCTGTTGAACTGTAGTAAACTAAACATTTTCTCTGTCTTTTATTTCTAATATGATATTTTAATATGCTAGTTAGTTTATAGAAAAGTAAGTAAGTAGGTGCTGAAAATTTTACTGTTAATAATATACGTGTACATTGGCCTCAGTTTGGTCGAATTTAGATTTTGGTTTTAAACGACGTTTCTGTCTCACTCCTTTGCTGCCCTCGTTTAGAACTACACAACGGAGGCGGTCAGGTTCATAGAATGGCAGTTAGGAATGGTGCTTAAATGCAGTATAAAATAATTTTCTTAAAAATATTCCCTGTTAAACCATTGGTGTAGTATAGTGGTAGCACAATTTAACGGAGGACTCAATCTGTGACGTCGCGGATTTATTCCATTGTTTTCCTGGTGGGGTTTTTCAACTATTGAATTCAACGCTTTATTACGAGCGCGATGGAGGTAAAACAACGCAGTCATCTTCTGGTCCTCGTATCGATATCGAAGATCTCAGATAAGGTTACGTTCTAAATACGCAATTGTTTTATAAAATAGATATTATGGCCAACTTATAATAACATTTACGAAAAAGAGTTGGGGTTCTTAATTAACATTGATTTACAACTAAATATTCAATATGAAAATACGAAATAGTGTCAACATGTCATCTGAAAAACTGCCATTCGAGGCAGCTATGAACAAAGCTGGTAAGTATTCGGAATAATATAAATCTGTGGTTGGTTTTATTTTACTCTGACTCTTTAATTTCAACAAGAAGATAATCATAGTTATTATGCAGAAGAAATAAGGCTAAGTATCTCAGTCGCGTACTTTGATCGTCTATTTAAGTCTATTACAAGAGTATAGTAATTTTATGGCTTGGCATAATGTTGTCATCCTTACTGTGATTATAAATGCTAAGATAAGCTTTGCTTTTTACTCATTTAAGTACAGAGAATGATTTAAGCTTTTCATAATTACTTACTTAATATACCTAGAGATTGATGATATTTTACGCAGAGGAAAATGCTGGCATCTGCTATATTTTTGTCTGCTAGATTGTAAAGTGTACAGAAATTGATATAGCAATATACTCATTTTTATGTCGATTTTCATTAATGGCTCACATACCATCACTTACCTACGTCCAGCCTGGACTATTACAGGCTGTTGATGTGATGTGATGTGATACCCCCCCCCCCCCTATCATTACGAAAACTGTAAAGATTTTTTATTATATTAAAAATACTTCGAGTGTCAATGGGGAATCCCCCTTTACTATTTTATAGGTGTAACACTTTGATAAATACCAAGGAAGATGTGAGTGATAAATATATTTTTTAACATAAAATTGTTGACTAGGTTTTGGGCTCTACGGAGTCATGACGACCGTTGTCTCAGGATTAACTATGATCGCATATGCCAGCATCATCTACGGCGGTACTTTCATAGTGCCGACGAGCGCCTGCGAGCTAGGCACTACCCCTAGTCAACAAGGAATTTTAGCTGCCGGACCTATGGCTGGTAAGAAGTTTATTTAATTTAGAAATAAGATACCATAGATAAATGTGGGACCAAAGCTGCTGTATTATATTCATTCTATAACCTTAAACCAGGATAATTCGAATCTCATAATTTCTTTTTTTTATAACTTCACACATGTCACACTGTCTGATTCCAAACTAGGCAGAGCCTGTACTATGGTAACCAGACTGCTGATAAATATATACTTATATATTTCTAAATACATACATTACATATTTTAGATAAATTACACCCAGATACAGAACAAATCATCGTGCTCATCACACAATTATTTAAAAAGGGTGGGAAACGAACCCACGACTTTTGAAGGCTCAGAGAACATTAGTTACTAGAAAAACGTTGTGTAACTGATATTAGCAGCACTTCTTGCCTTTATTTTCTGTATTCAACGATTTTGGATTTAATGCCCCTTAAATTTTCTTGGATTTCAGGTCTACTTCTTGGTTCAATGGTATGGAGTTACTACGCCGATAAACGTGGACGACGCTCCATGATACTTATTGCACTTATTCTCAGCGCAGTTTTTAATACCATCGGCACCATTTCTGTTAACTGGATCATGCTGATGATCTGCCAGTTTATAGCGGCTTTTCTGTAAGTTAGACATTGATATTACTAACATAGTATACCTACTTATACCGCAATTTTGGCCGTGATCCTGTGACATATTATAACTGGTATTTAATAAAGAATCAAAGAGTGCGACCCAAAGAAGTTATCAATTGTTAGATTTTAATTTAGTCTTGATAATTTTGTAAAATCAAACAAATACGGGACACGGGTTTTCTATATCGACGACCGGATGGCATAGTGGTTTGTGTAACGGACTGCTATTCCAAAGGTCGCGGGTTCGATTCCCGCTCAAGTCAAGCATTTGTGTGCATGAACATTTGATGTTTGATTTGGTCTGGGTGTTTCTATGTATAATAAGTATGTATTTACAAAAAAAAAGTATATATGTATTTATATCAGTTGTCTAGTACCCATAGTACAAGCTCTGCTTAGTTTGGGACTAGATGGCGTTGTGTGTATGTGGTAGAATATTATTATTATTAGAATATTATATACCTATAGAAAACTCACACCAATGTAATTTATCATCATTTTTTGATCTCTTTCTAATTATATTTTGGATCTGTCATGTCATTTAGTACGGCCCCAACTTTCCTTCACGATTGTAGAGAATTTGCGAAAACAATACAAATAAACCTGTTAATTTCTAAAATTACCTATTTGTACGCGCGTGTTATTTCACCCGCTAAATTGGTTGATGAAAAATTTGGTTTAATTCATTAATTACTGTTTCAGAGCTTCAGGATTATATTCAATGTCGATGACCTATCTCAGCGAGAGCGTCCCCATGTCTAGAAGACGCTCCGCCATACTTATTGTATCCAGTGTTTTGCTCTTAACACAAGGAATTTTGGCCTGTAAGTATATTGGTTTTTAAAACTACGTAATAATTAGCCTCGAAAGCTTGGTCTTAACTAGTCAAATCCCATACATTATATATGTATTGGATTATATGATAATGATGACTATATGATAATGTTGCGATGTATAGCTAGATTATTCGAACTCCTTAATAGGTTGCCTCCCTTATTCGCCTCTATTGATGTTGCTTATAAATTCATTAAGTTGTATAAATATAAGTGCGAAAGTAGTCAAATCTTTTCCAATTAAATGACTCAGAATTAAGACTTTTATACAACAGCCGTAATATACAGGTTCAATTACTGTAATGGAAAATTCAAATAAATGTTACAATACTCGTACAAGCAGAATTTATCACTTAAATGAAGCTGTGTGAGTATGCTTACTCACACCACAATAAAGCCTAGAACCGACTATAATACAAAAATATATTATATAAAGGTAAACTTTATAATGAAATGCCTGATGATATTAATGAAAGTGATAGCGTGTGTAAATTTAAAAAGAGTTTACAAAGAACAATGGCAGAAACATATTTACCTAAAACTTAAGCGTTTAAAAAATCGAGTCACAGTAAACTTAATCGGCACATAAATAGACATACATCGATATTTTCAAAATGTCGATACGTCGTCGTTTAGATCCTGTCAAGTTCCGGACTCACCACGTTTGTTATTTTATTTTTGTTCAATTTAGTATTAAACTCGAATAGATGCTATGCTTTTATTTTATTTTTTTAGTAATAATAATGAAAATAATATTTTTGGCTACAATACAATATGTTATGTTATGTTACTTACAATATGTTAGTATTAAGTACTAACCTCGGAACATTCAAAATCCAATATCTTTTTTCCTAGACTTCTTTCGCAAGTAATTTTGATATGAGAATGTTCAAGAAGAAAGCTAAAGCCTTTGATCGAGTTCCACACTCCTTCCTATTAGAAAAGTTATTAGCATATGGAATCACCGGTACCCTCCTGAATTGGATAAAATCTTACCTTGACAGTCGCTCTTTCTTCGTGGCGGTAAACGGTTTTCAATCTAGCGTACACAAAATTATTTCTGGTGTCCCGCAAGGTTCTCACATTGGTCCCATTTTATTCAATTACTTTGTTAACGATATCCCTTGCAGTATTAATTACTCTGAGATTTTCATGTACGCAGATGATCTTAAATTGTGTAGAGTTGTTAAAACAAACGACGACATAGATCTACTTCAGAAAGATATTGACGCATTGGTAGAATGGTGCAACATTAATGAAATGAGCATGAATATCAATAAATGTTTTCATATAAAATTTTCTAAAAAAATTAACTCTCTAAAATCTGTTTATCGTATTGGCCACAATGCTTTACAAAGCGTCAACGAAATCAGGGACTTGGGTGTTACTTTTGACAGTAAGCTCACATTTGTACCACACGTAGAAACTACAGTGAAAAAAGCTTCAAGAATGCTAGGTTTCGTCTTAAGAAATGCCGTTAAGTTTCGATGTAATAAAACTAAAATTCTTTTATATAACTGCCTAGTACGTGGCATTCTGGAGTACTGTAGCCCTGTATGGAGACCACATTATGCGACTCATAAATTAAGACTGGAGCGTATACAGAAGAGGTTCCTTTGGCACCTAGCATATGCCTCTGGTGTAGCTAAAAAGATAAAATCTTATGAAGCGAGATTGATAAAATTTAAGTTACACACACTAGAAAAACGAAGGAATATAATTGACTTGTTATTTTTATACAAGCTTCTGAGACAAAGGCTAGATTGTCCGCAACTCTTAGGTAAAATAAAGTTCCAAGCTCCAGCTAGATATCCTCGTTTTCCTATCAACCCCCTGCATCCTCCAATTCGCAGAAGTATTCTCGGTGCGAACTCCACCATCCCACGACTTTGCAAGCTGCTCAATAGTTGCAGTGCCCTGGTTGATATACATGTTGATTCACTTACCAAATTCCGCAGTGCTATACAAAATGCTTTTTAAATGTACTTTACTTAATTCTATCTGTTTTTGCCAAAACCTAGTTGTATAATTTAGTATATTTAAGCATAAAATAATTATTGTTTATAGCACATGAGGTGCTTACCTATAAGTAATTGTAACACTATGCCACTTCATACTCATTGTAATATGTCTTTCAAATGATAACCAGTGTATACAATTGTTGGTGAGCCAATTAAATAAATAAAAATAAATAAATAAATAAATAAAATAAAGAATAAATTCTCAAGTGTTAAGGATTTTTTGATATTTAAACGCTAACATTTCAGTTCAAATAAAATTATGTATGGGGACCTGCCATTGTCCTTTACATTAGAAAAAGTACTAGCACCAATTAAATTATCTATAATTTTATATTGCTGCATAGTGTATTGTGATCACAGATATACATAATTTATTTTTGTATAATTACATTTTCTCATTATGTCTCTTAATATATTTTTTGAGAAAATAAATGTCTTTAAACGGAAGAGAGAGTTTTACACTATACAGAGCGTAAGGAACGTCGTAATGAATACTGAAAAAGTGTATTCAGACCATCGTTCTGAGTCGAAAATCATTTGAATTGTTTGCAAATGCTGACAAAAGCATCACTTTTTCTTTCCATGTTTATTTTAAAAAATGATGAAAATTGGTATCACAATGAGTAAAACTTTTACCCAAAATAATTCAATGAATACCGTGTACGTTCAATAACTGCAATGTAATTAATCTAACAGCCGAAGCGCGCGGGGCTTCCCCTCCGGCCGCCATCTTGTGCTAGTGTGCGAAAACTGTTTGCATGGAATACAAATATAGTTATTACTTTTGTGCGATATCTACGGGGAATGACCTTAACCTTTGGCAGCTGATTGCATAAAACGTTTAATTTTCAAAAAAATCCAATGAATTTCGACTCAGAATGATGGTCTGAATACACTATTTCAGTATTCGTTACGACGCCCCTTACACCCTGTATTTTATTTTTTTATTGCACTGTATTTTGAATACAATTTTTCCTGAATTACTTACTTTTACGAGAATTACACGTACATCTGACGTCTCGTATAGCAATGATTTTAACAATTCTGTAGTTGTATGTTTATACATCTCTTTTGTTCTTATATTTACGACAATATTTTATTTCAGTAATGGCGATGCCCATTGTTCCCTTAAGATTCTCATACTATTTATCGGGTCTTGGCATCTATTGGAACTCATGGCGTTTGCTAATGTTGACATTCTCCGTACCGCAAATTATCACTGCTATTTGCTACTACTTCATGCAGGAGAGCCCTAAGTTTGTATTCACAAATGGAGATGAAGCTAAAGCTCTGGAAATCTTGGAAGCTATTTATCGTATTAATAAAAGGAATTCAAATGAAGAGCTGCAGGTATGTGAAATATCTACTTTTATCACTAGTTTATAAATATTACTGTGATAAACATGTTGCCTAATCGGGCACATAATGTACATGATCTTACACTTTGAAAAACCTAAGATAGGTTGTCTTTTAGTAAGTCTTTGACTAAACTATAATTCCATAAGCTGAAGAGATATTATGGAATCCGTGGAAAAGCACTAGATTGGCTTTAAAGCTACCTAGATAATAAATATCAATGTGTAGAGAAATCAAGGATTTCTGGTAAATATAATACATCCTCTACATCCGATTTAATACGACTAAATAGTTCTGGGGTACCTCAGGGGAGTATTCTAGGCCTCTATTGTTTATTTTATATATAAACGATTTACCGAATGTGACTGAGCATAAATGCGTACTATACGCCGATGATATTACCTTAATTATAGAAGATAGCGTTAAAAATTTTTAGAATAGAGAATAATATAAACCATGAACTGGGTAATATTTATTGGTTAGAATGTAATTACCTTAAAATAAGTCTAAATAAAACGCAAAATATACAATTTCAAGCATACAATAGTAAACCAATTAAATTAGATATTAAATATAATGTTAAGGTAGTTGAACAAATGCATGCAACGTCATTTTTTGCATGTAATTGGAAGTAGCATATTAAGAACCTTTGCATGAATTTGGATAAATTTGTTTACGCTATTATTTACCTTAAATAAATATCGACTCTGGGCACTACTTTAAGTACATACTACGGCTATGTGTCGTCAAAATTACGATATGCGATTATAATATGGGGCAATTCAGTTGAGGCAAATAGGGCATTTCTTGTACAAAAAAAAAATGCGATCACTATCCAGCTTACAGCAAACAAATAGTTGCAAAGAGCATTTCAAGAAATACAACATACTACCACTACCTAGTCTGTATATTTACGAAATCTGTGTTTTTGTGCACAAACATCAACGGCTATTTTATAAACATAACGACGCCGTCGCCAGGTCAAGCAGAAATACACATAAACTCTTAGTACCCAGACAAAGAATAAATATGTATAGTAAGAATGTATACTGTACGGCTATACACATTTATAACAAGTTACCAAATAGATTTAAGGAAGATACTATTAATATTTGTAAAAGAAAATTATTTACGTTGCTTTTCGACAAATGTTTTTTCGACGATAAGTAATTGTGACAATGCATGATAAAAAAATAAATACATAAATTCACTCTACTAACATTTTTTTCACCTGGCAATGGTAGAATGTGGTTAGCATCTAAAATGTAACTACTAACCACTCTGTATACCCATATTCTGACAAATAAATATTTTATTGTTGTAATAAATTCAATTTCGTTACTGGAAAAATTATTATAAAAATAAAGATGCCAAACATCCCGTATTTAGCATCTTTATTTTCGGCAATTAATTCAGTTTAGCCGTGATTATAGCGCTTGCAACATTGCCGCAATAACGGCAACTAATTTCCGAAAATAAAAATTGTAAATATCCGGTTTCAGTTTTTTTTAATGTTACAAATTAATTAATTTGTAACATTAAAAAAACTGAACAAAAAATATTTTGTTAAAGTAAAAGTAATAGTTTTTGATGAAAACTTTTCTACTAACTACCTTTACTTCGCAGGTTAAATGTCTACTAAGAGATGAGGTTTCAGTAAATGACGAATCTACTTCAGGAGAGAAAGTATCGCTGTTCAAGATGCCTCTCCTCAAGTACACAATTATTATGCTCACTCTCAATATTGCCCAACAGTGAGTATCTCTTAATAAAACAATCTTTTCTTTTATTTGATCACTTACACCATAGATATTTATTAGATCACACCTAGATATTAAATAAAGTTTTCTAAAATTATTTGCATGCACCGTTTTCCTATCAGATGCTTAGTGATTATTAGAGATTTCTTAAAAGGACATGATACAAAATACAAAATGTCTACAAAGTAATATAAAATACAAGCATTTAGGTATCTACAAAGCCTACACCTTTAAATATTTGTAACATGTATGTGTATAATATAATAAATCAATCTGACTGCACATATTAATAAGTATCTATTATTGTATTATTATTATTCTTAGTGCATAGAAAAAACACCATACTTTACTTTAAATAAAAGAAATAAATGAATTTACTTTTTTTTGTCTCAACATTTGCATTATAAAGAACATTAATGGCTCTTTAGCAAGCGAATATTTGAAAAGTCAGTTACTTAAAATGCGGAGCTTACAACGCTATTCATTATACAGGGTGTAAGGGACGTTGTAACAAATACTGAAATAGCATAATCAAACTTTCAGATTATCATTCTCAGTCGAAAATCGTTAGAATTTTATGCCAGAAAAACTATCAATTTATATCAATACATGATGGCAAAGCCATAATGCCATTACGAATAAAATACAATAAATGATATAAGAATATATTAATATTTATATGGTTTTATCAGGATCTCTTCGTTCGTGATATGGTTACCCAAAATTGCAGACCACTTCGTGCGTATTTTACAAACTGGTGACAAAACAGATCTCACCATGTGCCAAGTATTGCATATGGAATCTACTCACCTTGATGTAAGTTTAGTCAATCTCTTAGGTACTTACTTTTATTAATGTAATCCAAACTTTCTTATCAACAACCTTTACTAGTCTACTGGTGGACATAGGCCTCTTCTTATAAAGAAGCTTTAGGCCTACTATACCACGTTGGCCAGACGGATTGGTATAGAGTTTGTTTCAAGTTTTCTATTTCTTAGAAGTGCTGTTGCCCAGCGTAGTTTGCTCCCTTAGTCGGTTCTTATGCACCCACGGGATGAATAGGGGTGACGACACTCCGTATCTATTTTATATACTTTTTTATACACTATATTTTTGATACTATAAATGCGAAAATTTGGTGTTAAAAATCAAAATAGTATTGTATAATATATATATAATTAATAATATGTAAGGGTTTTTTATGGAATAGGGGGCAAACGAGCAGACGCGTCACTTGATGAAAAGCGACAATCGCCGCCCATGAACGCCTGCAACTCAGTCAAGCGCGTTGCCAGCCTTTTGTTTGTTTTGTTTTCAAGCCTTACCTACTTAAGTGATCCTTATGTAACTTTGTATACTTTTCTTACAAAAAAATATGCTAATTACTAGCATAATTTCACATGCTATGTATTTCATAGATTTGTGCGTTTAATGAAACGGGGTTTGTAGTCTATTATATTGTGTGTATGTGTCTGTTAAGTCCTACAAGAAAAATTATGTTTTATTCATATTTTTCAGCCTAATGCTACACCTTGTGCTCTGGACGTGACTGCTCTACTGATAGTACTAGGAAATGGAGGCTTGCAAGTTGCTTTTAACATATGCATGGGTTTTGTAAGTGACCAAATCTTTTCTTCAGAGAACTTTCACTTATTACATACCTACTTAGGACTTACATATTAATAACGTGTTGGTTGGCTTCTAACCTACACATTAATTAAGCGTTATATTTCTGACCCGCGCATTACTGAGTCGGTTTACTATTAACTGGCGCAATAATGAGGCGGTTTACTTCTGACCGGCGTATTACTGAGGCGGTTTACTATTGACTGGCGCATTAATGAGGCGGTTTACTTCTGACCGGTGCATTAGTAAAGCGGATTACTCCTGACCGGCGCATCAGTGATGCCGTTCATGCCGAAAAACTGTATGTAGATTTGAACAATTTTGATTTTAAGACTGACCTTCGCATATGAGTCAATTAAGTAACCAAAACATATCAATAAAGTCGTTTGTACTTGTACATTTACAAGTCAAATGCAGTCAGAATCAGTGTAACTTGAGTATCTCCTAATGGCTCAAATTTGAATTCAAAGATGTAAGGATGCCCTAAAATAGTCATATAACAAAACGTTTTGTGTAGTTTGACATTTATGAGTGAGTTTTTAATTATCCTCATAAATATATAGTGTCCTGTAACCTCCACTCTGTTGGTCTAGTGGAGGTGCTGAGCCAGAGGTCTAGGGTTCGATTCCCACCCATGACAAGTAATTGTGTGTTAAGCACGATCATTTATTCTAATGCAAACGTATTTTGAAATACATAATTAGATAATATTTACTAGCAGTCTGGTTACCATAGTACAGGCTCTGCTTAGTTTGGGATCAGATGGCCGTGTGTGAGGTTATAATTATATCTGAACCCTGAATCATCACATCATCAGTTCACTGCTGGACATATTCCTATTCATAGAAAGGAGGTTTTAACCCACTATAGATGATATAGTATAGATGATCGACTAAGGGAAAAAACCACGCAGAACAACAGCACTGCAGAGAGAAGGAAAACTTGACACAAACCCTATACCAACCCGTCTGGCCAGAGTGTTATAGTAGGCCAAAACCTCCTTTCTATGGAGAGGCTTATGTCCAGCAGTGGACTATTAAAGGCTATTGATGTGATGATGTGACGATTTCCTGTGTTAACAAATCCGTAACATATTCCAGCTGATCGACTTCGTCGGCCGTCGCAATATGGTCATGATCATATTCGTATTGTGTGGAGGGAGCGGCATCCTCGTGAACCTGGTCCCAAATATCATCGCAGGTGCTATGCTATTCATCTTCATGCTTATGGGAGTCGTTATTGTTGGACTGTGCACGACCATCTGTGTGGATTTATATCCTACTAATTTGAGGTAAGTTTAACATAATATCCTTTAAGAAAATTTTCACTGACTTTACTGAACCAAACCACAAATAAATTGATATAACCTGTATTCTTTATCACTTGATTTTCCACGCTTAGCAGTAGAATATTTTATTGAAATTTGACTGAAACTCTTTACTACTCTTTAAAAAGCAACAGAGGGAGAGAGAAAATTGTGAAGCAGCGGTTTGCTGTAAGGTCGTTTAATCACTATGGTCGAGTTGGTCCATTTGTATCGAAGCATTCCTCTCTTATTCTCAAGAGTCTTAAACGAAAAACGTATATGTATTTTATTATCTGTATCATACGATATCTACAGAACATAAAGAATCTGAAAAATAAAACATCCAACCAACCTGTACTACAATGATTAGCCCGTATTTTTTTTTTGGTTTACAGTCAGTTCAAAGTTATATATCATCATCAGCCTATCGCAGTCCACTGCTGGACATAGGCCTCTTTTTTGTTAAATAAGTTATATATAGCGTGTAATAAAATGGCTACTCTAATTTTGTTTCAGAGCACTGGCCATCTCTGTTACGATGACAGCTCAGTCTATCGCCATGATCGCATCGATTCAGATACTCAACGTACTATTGCTGAACCACTGTGACGCTGGATTTTATTTCTTTAGCAGTTTTTTTGCCTGTGAGTATTAGAAAGATTTTGAAAAAATATTGCACCAATCTACAAGACCATAAACCGTTCTGTAGCCAGTGTGCCTTCATTCTTACTCTACTTAGCCCGTTCGGCTCTAATTAGCCCGTTTTCATGATCTGATTGCTTATATGATATCTTAGTAAATTACATTGCATTATATTTTTATTATTTATTCAGAAAATATTCTGGATAGAAAGCAGGATAATTTAATTAAAACCGAAAACAAGTGCTTAAAAAAATAAGATAAGCTCATTCTTCTTATATACATATCTATACAAATAAATAAAATTGGAGTGCCTGTTTGTAATATTAAAATAACCGCTTTTTACTAAATGCATTTGTATGTTTACACGGCACATATGCCAAAATAACATTTTTTACAATTTTTGTCTGTCTGTCTGTCTGTCTGTTTGTTCCGGGTAATCTCTGGAACGGCTGGACCGATTTTGACGGGACTTTCACTGGCAGATAGCTGATGAAATAAGGAGTAACTTAGGCTACTTTTTTTAGACAAGCTTCGCCCCGCGGCGTTGCAACACCGCGGGTCTCAGCTAGTATTTAAATACATTTGCAACGCTTCCTACTGCTATCATGCTAGCTACCATTAAAAGCATGGATGATAAATTTGCTTCGTTTTTGTATCATTTTTCATTATTGTTCGGCTGCTATTAGTCGTAGCGTTATGTTATATAGTCTAAAACCTTCCTCAATAAAAGGGCTAACCAAAACTAAAATAATTTTTGAATTCGAATCAGTAGTTCCTGAGATTAGCGCTTTCAACCAAACAAACAAACTTTTTAGCTTTATAATATTAGTATAGATATAATTTATGTTTAACTTTTCTGTATTAAATATTACAGTGGCAGCAATCGTGACATCGTTTCTGCCAAATGACCGAAATCCCGTCAGTATGCATTCAAAAATGTCCGACTTACAAGAAAATCATCTAATCGAAAGGCCACGCAGAAGAACCTCTATTTTCGAATAATTTACTTCTTTTTAACTTGAATATAATTTTAGAAAAAAATGTAATGTTGAAGTATGTAATTGTGTTGATATTTTCCTTCTCAGAAATTATATCATTTTGAGGAGATAATACTTAAATATTAAGTTACATGTGCTATGACCGGCGTAACTACTGACCATCACGTGAGTTTGACTGGGAGAGAATGCCTCATGGTTTTAAGTCCGCCTTTGTACAACATAATTGTTAAATAAATAAACAAAAAATAAAACATACATACACACAACACACACACACACACACACACACATACTAACACACATACACATATTTACACATACTTATGCATAATACACACTCACATCATATTTACACATGCATGCATGCATGCAAAATGTTTAAAGATATTTAATACATAATAAATGTAAGTTTTAGATGAGAGAGGTACCTATTTTTTTTTCTTAACCAATCGGTCAAAATCCATTCGGATCTCCTCGATGCTCCTCGGGGCCTCAGGAGCCAGGAGTATGCAGTGATTCCACTACAAAACACCCCGACGGCCGGCCTCAGGTGTCCTACTCTGGGAGGACCCGGACCATGTTATTTTAGGTCCTCCCCGGATTGACAACAAGCCTAATCAGGCCCTATCCCAGGGAAACATGCAACGTGTATTGCTGTTCTTTGATTGTTTTATATTAGTGTTAATAATAACTTTACTTTTTCACACATATTACATATGGTTGTCTGTTTCCATACTAGGTAGAGTTTGTAGCATAGTAACTGCTGATAAACATACATAATATAAATATATTTTTAATACATATATATCATAGATATAACTAATTAACAATTAAACAAACAGATCAATTCGAAGTATGTTGATGGTAGCCAATATGTTAGTATACTTACTAATTAAATAAATTAGTGATAAAATATCTCTAATGCTATTTACGATTAAGAACTACTAGCTACTAACTACTTTTCTTAATAAATGGTCTTTCTAATAAAAGATAACTTTACAAATCCTAATAGCACTTCGCGATTAGTGCGCTGAAACAAACGATCAATCAAACAAATCTCTCCAGCTTTAGTACTCGTAGAGTGTAAATGTGCGTACAAAACTTTTACCAAACCATATTTTATTTGTGTGCAAACACATGACTCACACACTCACAATTGAGTTAGCATATAGAAAAATATGTAGCTCCGAGAAACGTCTTAATTACTATTACTTTTTTGTTTCTAAATAAATTACATGGCATCTTAAACAGTAAGAGTTAGCTACTATACAATAGGAAGGATAGATAAGGAAAAGTACAAAAGTATTACAGTATTTATATTTATATCGTGAGAGACAGGATAACGGGTGATTCGATACAAAGATTTTTATACAAGCAAATAAAACCTTTTTATTTCTGAGAACGAATGTAGAACTTACTGGGATATATTGTTCAGGAAAATCCACCTCAGGTAAGATTACTGTTTAGTAATCAATACCTACCTATGTAAATGTTAGTTTTAACATTTACATAACCAACAAATACCTATGTAAATCTTAGTTTTAACATTTACATAGGTATTTGTTGCATTGTAAATCCCATACACGTCCCATATACATTGAATATACTTTGATATACAATGACTGACCTGTTGGTCTAGTGGTTAATGACCTTGACTGCTGAGCCAGAGGGTTTGATTCCCACGTAGGGCATATAACTGTGTGATGAGCATGATTATTTGTTCTGTGTCTAGGTTTAATTTGTTTATTATATGTTTGTATGTACATGACATAATTTAGAAATACATAAGTATGTTTATTAGCAATCTGGTTACCACAGCACAGGCTCTAGGGATCAAACGAGAGACGTCTCATGCTTCGGGGGTTTCGAAAGTAAACAAACATCGTCGTCTAAAAATCGAAATCGAAATCCAACCTTAACTTTGCCGTTTTAAAACACTCTCCTAAACGAGTAGGCGTTTTGAAACTACAAAGTTATAATATTGAAGATTTTTCAATTGTAAAATTGTATTACGCCTATAATTATGACATCTCTAGGACGCTGGATGGAGTTATATTTCTTTGCAGGGCGTACGAGTACAATATGTTACCAATAGTTTCTTGTTTTTTTCAACTCTCTACATTAGAATAAGCTATTATTCTCATATGCTGAATCAGCAGCCGTGCCTTACACGTGTTAACTATTTAACACGTTCGGTGCTATGCAGTGCTAACTATAAATTGTTATTCGGTTTGCATGGTTATGTCTTTGGCTTATTTATGTTTTTGTTCTTTGGTGACATTATTCCAAAACGACACAAGAAAATACCAATATCAATCTGCTATAGATGAAATCTGGATGACACGGACGGTTTTGAGGTTGCTCAAGGACTATAGTTGGAAAAAAATATAAATTATTTAAATAGACTACCCATTTTATTTAATCGTAACATATTTTATTTAACCTTAACTAGTTTAATAGCTGTGTCGCTCCGTTCAGAAGCACAGCAGCTTCCTAAAGTGTTAATAGGTTTCTAGGAGCGATGTGGCACCTGCAAGGCAGACTAATGACTGCGACTATTTCATGGTTTACTAAGTCCCCAAGTTTACCCTCTTATGTGTTTCTCTATCATCTTTTTGTGTGTGTTTGTGTTTAGTGTATGTGTGTGTTTGTGTATGTTTATGTTTGGTGTATGTTTGTGTGTGTGCGTATGTGTGTGTGTGTATGTGTACATTTCTTTGCCACGCTTAGGGCAAACGGCTTAATGGATTTTGGCTTGGGAGGTATCGTCAGATTCGTCCTAATTGTTAGAGTTGTTAGAGTATCGCTTTGTAAATTTGTACCCATACATTTGCAGACAGTCGGATTTGTTTTTTTTTCCAAGAATTAGCTGGTTTAATTCATACAAATTGTATTTCGCAGTTTTATATACATATATGGGTACCTTCATATATTTCACAATAGTGGTCATTTATCAGAATAGAGCTAAAAAATGTTTTTCTTAACACTAGGTCTACGTAACACAAAAACTCTTTCCTTAAACTAACTTAAAATAACCTCTTCATCATTCACATTAAACACAGTAGGGCTGAAACTCAAAAGTATCCTTATAAGCTGAAAGCCACAAATACATTTTTTCCTATTTAATTATGTAAATTATATCATCAACAAACAAAATCCTTTTATTGAATTAAGTAGTCAATTATTGTATTGTGAGACTTCACTGTGCACTGATTGTAATGTCTAGCTGACTCATACGACATCATGAGTCATTTATTTAAATTTAACGAGATTTGTGACAATCACCAAGTCTGTTTTGTCGAAAAAATTTAGCTTACCGTCAATGAGGAGGAAAGACGCACTTTTCCTCCTCATTGACGGTAAAAGTTAAATACAATTGTATTCAAAACAAATTAGTTTAAAAAAAAAACAAAAAAATATATACGTTTTTGTAGCAAGCCGCACTAAAAAGTAGGAAATAATTATCTATAAATTGGGGTGATTGATCTCAAAAGTTAAGTTATTAATAGATAATAATAATATTCTACCACATTCACAAAACGCCATCTAGTCCGAAACTAAGCAGAGCTTGTACTATGGCTACTAGACAACTGGCTTAAATACATATTTACTTTTTTTTTGTAAATACATACATATTGTACATAGAAACATCCAGACCAAAGCAAACATTAAATATTCATGCACACAAATGTTTGACTTGAGCGGGAATCGAACCCGAGACCTTTGGAATAGCAGTCCGTTACACAAACCACTTCGCCATCCGGTCGAAGTTATTATATTATAAAAGACATCGTAAAGCACCCCACGCTTTTTTACGATAAAATGGTTTTTCTTTTTGAACATAGCAAATTATTTTCTACTTTTTACGTTATTTACTATTTACTACTTTTTTTTAACTAAAATTTATTTTTCCTTTTTTAGTCTTTAACGGCGATTATTATCTTATTAATACAAAAAAAGAACAAGTAAGTTTATTATATATGCTTCAGCACACGCAGCAGTACGTTTCATACCATATTTTTAGGTACAGAAAAATACCTGATCAGGATAATGAGATAACATATTTAAATTATAGAACTTAATTCGGTCTTTGATAAGTGTGCAGGGTTTCCATTTCATTCGATGTTTCGAAGTGAGTCAAAATCACGTTCGAAGATTCCGTTACATGCATACACAACCTAACAAAAGCGTGTTAATAATATCGACATTATTCTTGTCACTTTTAAGATTAGGTTTCATTAAAACATTTCAACGACGAATATGCAAAATTTCACGAATAATTGTCTTTATTCCATGGTATAAAAAAGTACGTAGGATTCCCTTAGACGAGGATAAAAAGTACTACTACCTAGGGATAATGATTCAGGTCACCTGATGGTAAGTGACTAGCGCCGCCCAAGGAGACCTGCTACTCAAGAGTCACAAGTGCATTGCCACTTTTTTGAGTCCCCTCCATTTTTTTTTGTTGACGAGGTGGAAAATTCTATGCTGTGCTATGTGTGCTATGGTAACCAGACTGCTGATAAACATTCTTATATATTTCTGAATACATACATATTATAGATAAGCTAGCTGACCCGGCAAACGTTGTTTTGCCATATACATTATTTCTAGGAAATATTGAAAAAAAAAATAGGGGTGGGTCACCCTTGTCATTTAGGGGTATAAAAAACAGATGTTGGCCGATTCTCAGACCTACCCGATGTGCACACAAAATTTCATAAAAATCGGTCCAGCCGTTTCGGAGGAGTATGATAACTAACATTGTGACACGAGAATTTTATATATGACTAGCTGACCCGGCAAACGTTGTATTGCAAAACAAAAAAAAAATAGGGATGGGTCACCCTTACCATTTAGGGGTATGAAAAATAGATGTTGGCCGATTCTCAGACCTACCCGATGTGCACACAAAATTTCATGAGAATCGGTCAAGCCGTTTCGGAGGAGTACGGGAACGAACATTGTGACACGAGAATTTTATATATAAGATTACATCCAGATACATAACAAATCATCGTGCTCATCACACTATTATTTGACCTGGGTGGGAATCGAACCTCCGGCTTAGCAGTCAGGGTCACTAACCACTAGACCAACAGGTCCGTCAAATAAAATTGTTTTAATTATTAATCTTGGTCATTGCCCACTTTTAAAGTTGTTTGGATAAATATTTCGATGCAGCCTCTGCTGCTAGCAAACTGTTCAATTTCTTTTGTATTGGGGAAATTGGAGTAGGTGCTACTTGTAGTTTTTAAAACTCATTTTTCATCTCTAAGATGTTAAAATTTATTTTTATTTATTATAAAAAGACAACTTCCTCTAGGAGAATATGTATCCTGTGTCACGGTGGACTTTACAGACTCAAAACAACAATTTGTGGGTGTTGTCCCATGTAGGGGTCGAAGCCACAACACTCAGCGCAGTAGGAAGCGGCGAGGTGACCGCTTTAACCACTACGCTATGCAATTCATATCGTCTGAAGAGTGAATCCTTTTTTTATGGGACTAACCCCTACCGCACAGAATTGATTCTTATTGCTAGTAATTACATTAGCGTTGTTTGGTTAAAAATTACAGAAGGAATACAATAAAACAAATATTTCATACAGAAACTAAGTCGGGAATTTCCCGTTACTTATTTCTGCCATTGTCTGGACAATTTATTTGGCCTCTAGTATAATTGACATCTACCTGCTCATCCGCGTACCATTCGTCATCTGGAACGGCCCAAAGGAACTTTCAATTGAGCTGATTTTAAATGAATCTGACTCTTTATTTGACTATAATCGGTTACAATACTAATGCTAATGTGCGTATTAAGATTATTTCGTTGGAAATGTTTCCTTCGCAATTGAATACGCAGAACTCAAAACTGGTGAAACATTTATTTTAATTAATCTGTTGCAGTTTTTATTCTGTTTTCGGATGATTTCACATCACATCATCACATCAACAGCCTTTAACAGTCCACTGCTGGACATAAGCCTCTCCTTAGAAATGAGGTTTTGGCCTAATATACCACGCTGGCTAGACGGATTGGTATAGGGTTTGTGTCAAGTTTTCCTTCTCTCTGCAGTGCTGTTGTTGTGCGTAGTTTTTTTCCTTAGTCGGCTCTTACGACACCCACGCGATGAATAGGGGTGGTGACATTTGGTGGTATTCTTAATCCGTCACTACACGGAAAAATTCTTATAATAATACTATGCCTCAATGACAATTTTAGTGTAGTAATGTAGTCATTAAGAGTTGACGTATGTACTATGCAGCTATTATTATGAATAGGGGTGGTGACACTCTGTATTCTTAATCCGTCACCACGCGGACAGTCACAATGATTTCAAATCTCTTTTAATAGCGATTGTTTTTATTACGAAGTACAAAACAAGCATAGCCCATCTTATTAAGTAGTAATATTGGTTATTAGGTAACTTTTGTGTTGCCAACCCGTTTTCCTCTTTATGTCCTAGCGACCGATAAGGCTACCACACCCATCATAGTAACACACAAAACCATATTACTTTTTCTCTTCCTCGGAGTCCAGACCAGGTTGGGGTCCGCTCTAATTCTACTACGATACTGCTGAACTTCGATTTTTGACTCCACAACCCAAGTACTTGGCGATTTTAAAGTTTAGTATACAGAATACCACAGATGTTTCTATGGCAACCGGAACCGACGCGATAGCTTAACGTGCTGTCCGAAGCACGGAGGGGTCTCAATGTATTAAGTATGGTCACCCATCCATAGACTGACTTGGATACGATTGCTTAACTTTGCAATGTGTTAACCTACTCGGTTACAACTTAATAAGTATGTTATAATGAGTCATAATTTACCCGTGGTTTTCCAGCTTAAAATAAATTAGCCTTTGCACATTTCAGGACTGATTTCTTTTATAGTTCCCCTTCCTGCTTGACGCTAACACTCCTTGAGAATGTAATTATTTCTGGACAACAGACTGTAAGAAGAAGAAGAAGTCAAGAAGAAGAAAGCCGGTGTCAAGTACCCATATACCTACCCTATGATTGGATAACGTTACAACAACTGGATTTTGATGTAATGCGATGTAACAAAGAATAAACTAAGTAATCTTTACATAGTATAAATTGAACTCGCTCTTTTGATTTGTACGCTTAGATCACTATCTATACCAAAATAATGTCCTACTGGATTGTATATTTAAAAAAGATCTACAAAAAAGTTAAAATGATAGATGTCTATCTCCTAAGTATAACCCACAGTAACCATTTTCATCTTTCAAATATTACAAAAAATAATGGTTTATTTAGGAAGCTATTTTAAACAATACATCATTGATCCTTATCCAACTACATACGTAAGATACGTTATATATTTAATATAGATTATAAATGCTTTTACATGATATTATTAAAAAGAATATTTTAAAAGATATTAGAGATTTAAAATGCGGGGGCAATTCGGCCGTCGTCGCATCGGGCCGTACGTTCGTCACGGGTGGCAGCGGCAGCATCGGAGCAGGCCTATAAATATTGCACATAAAAATGCGCTGTAGTATAGTCCTATCATAATAATGATATCATTTCATTTTGAAGTGAAAACTTTTGAGGCGCGTTGGGCATTTTTAAACAACAAACAAAAGAATGTGTTTTATGAGAAAACTCTATTAAACTCGCGGCGCTATTACCGTTACCGACACCTCTGTTAATAAGTATGTATATAAGTTTTTACTTTTGTGAAGCAGTGAACAAAACAGTAGGAGTGTCACACTGTCAGTTTTTTATGATAAAGAGTGGCAAACGAGTAGACCAATCACCTGATGGTAAGTAACTATCGTCGCTCATGGATATCTGCAAAGAATTACAGAAACAAGTTACAAGCAGTAGTTCACCCCTCAAAATTAGGGGGCGGAGGGGTTTGGGCTCCAATAACTTCACTCACTGGGTGAAAAGCGACCAAAAAAAAAACAGTGTCACTCCGGGAGTGCCGACAGAAGTGAAAACTTGTTTTTTTTTTTAATTTTAATGTTTTTTTTTATTTTAGGGAATTTAAAGTATATCTTTTGGTCCCACAAAAAAAATTCAAGAAATAGTACATTTCCTAAAGGTGACAATTAAAGAACAGGACCGACTTTAATGTGCCTACATTGTGATGAAGTCGGTTTTACTTTTTTAAAGTTGTTATTTATGAATTTATATTATATTTATTAATTTATATAAATAATTAATTATAACATTTCCAATGACCAACCAGACTATTTGTTAAATAAAGGACATCTTATTTTCCTTAAAGTTGACGATATTTTTTATTAACGATGAAATTATGTTTAACATTTATAAATTTTATATTTTTAATATAAATAATTGTGGTTTGAAATTACGTAAGAAAGTTATACGTAGGACTTAACCCGTAACGTCACGACCTTAATATGTTATTTTCCTGTGATGTAAGTAAGCTATGGGGTTTTTTAACAAGACAATTCAACTCTTTATTACGAGCGCGACATGTTTTGAGCATCGCATTCATCTTCTGGTTCCCGTTTAAGAAACATTGCAAGACTTGGACAAGATCTCCGATAAAATTATGTTTTTTATACAGTGATTGTGTAACAGTTGGACCTTATAGCTGAATTTTGTTATTAAATTATTTATTAAATTTATGTTTAAAATCTGAAATACTTAAAACAAAATTCTAATTTTTTTTAAAAGTTTTAAAATCTGACAAGGGATCTTCAATATGAATATAGCAAATAGTGTCAAAATGTCATCTGAAAAACTACCCTTTGAGGCAGCTATGAATAAAGCTGGTAAGTACTTAAATTAACCTTATACTAAATTTAAATTAGTTAAAATTTGCCCAGAAGGTTGGCCTTGTTTCGGAGAATAGGATTTGGATTCTGGACCGTAGGATCAGGATTTCATTGGCAAATTTTGCTAGTTTTCTCGAAAGGTTTAAAATGTTTAGGAGGAATTTTTGGATACCCATATCTCTTCTAAATCGGTGAAGTGTGTTCTATGTATTTAATAAATAATCGTCGAATGTTATTTGTACTGGTGTTCATAACCTGCGATTTACCGTTTTCTTATTTATTTTATAAGTATATAAATCTGAGAGTATTAAAAAACAACTATTTAACAACTTGGGCAATTTATTGATGTACTTAGCTGTAACAGATAACTGAAGACTCCCGTGGGTTTTAGGAGAAAGATCTTGGTCCGTTAGCTATATGGACAATCTATCTTATTATACTTAGACAACGATACAATGAATAAACCTGACCTAGGAAACCGTATGGAACTAGTCAATTCAATTATGATGTAACAATATTCTCGACAGGGAAAATACAAACATATAATTAGAAAAAGTAAGCGGCACAGAGATGTAAAATATCATATTTTTGTCGGATTTTTCTTTTATGTATTTTTTTATTATTATTTTTGTGTTTCTTTACTGATTGCATCTAGCGTAGTATATCACTTACTTTTCTGTATAAAGCTTGGTGCATACTCAGCATTAACTGTCTCGCTTCCTAGCTACATATGTTATTCGTATACTCGTATAGGGAAAATTTATATCAAGCAAGCAAGATCTGTTGTGGCTCTGTAGAATTTAATACATTTTACTACGACAAACGATGCTATATTCAATGGTAAATCTTGGGATATACCCATTAAGGATCGTTATCTAAGCTCAAAGCTATGCAATATGTGTTAGATAAAAATAAGAAAAAAGTACATACAAACGTCTTTTACATAAACATTTAAAAAAATATATAAACACACTTTTCTTCACTCATAAACATACGAATGATGAATTCAGATAGTTTAAAGCCAAAGGAGTTACATCACATCCCATCAACAGCCTATAATAGTCCACTGTTGGACATAGGCCTCTCCTTAGAAAGGAGGTTTTAGCGTACTATACCACGCTGGCCAGACGGGTTGGTATAGGATTTGTGTCAAGTTTTCCTTCTCTTTGCAGTGCTGTTGTCCTGCGTAGTGTGCTCCCTTAGTCGGCTCTTACGACATCCAAGGGATGAATAGGGGTGGTGACATTTGGTGGTATTCTTAATCCGTCACTACACGGAAAAATTCTTATAATAATACTATGCCTCAATGACAATTTTAGTGTAGTAATGTAGTCATTAAGAGTTGACGTATGTACTATGCAGCTATTATTATCTATGACTATAATTACTATGCAGGAATTCTCTAGTTCACTTCTTAAAAACCACTATTCTCCTCTACAACCCTTTCAAAACTACAAGACTGACGGGATGAATAGGGGTGGTGACATTTACCAGGGACTTCCTTTCTAGGGTATACCTGGTTCCCCGGCTATTAGTACCCGAGACGGCGTGCGGATTTAGTCGGTTCGAGTCCGACATGCCACCGACAGGTGGTATCCGAGGGGATTTCCGCACGGAAAAAAAAAAAATAAAGAAAAAGGGGTGGTGACATTCCGTATTCTTAATCCGTCACCACACCACACGGATTAAAGCCAAAGGAGTACTTAATTATAATTCCGGGTCAAATGATGACCCGTTGGGATTTTCACGCGCAAAGAAGAAGCAAGCTTGTGCCTATATATTTTGTATATATATTGGATTGGCTGTCCCTAATTTAGTCGTTTTAACTTTTTTGTAACTTCATTATTGAACTGATTGATATAAGAAGTTGTTTCTACAAAATAAATTGAGAAGAGTACAGAAAATAGTCTGCTTGATGACAAATGACATTATGACTAGGTTCATGCAGAAAATTCAAAAAGACGACCAACAACCTCACGTTTGAATTTATTATTACTACTTATGAACTTAGGATTGGATAATTGTGTAGCACCGCATAAATTTAAACACAAATACCGACCGTATCATTACAAAACTTGTGAAGAGTGCCTTTGCTATGCAATTGCTGTGAGTAGGGAATCCCCTGTCATTATTATATAGGATTGACACTTGACAATAAATAGGCATATAAGTGATTTAAATGCGAATATGTTGTCCAGGTTTTGGACTCTATGGAGTTATGACGACGGCTCTCGCTGGATTAACTATGATCGCTTACTCCAGCACGGTCTATGGTGGTACTTTCATAGTGCCTACCAGCGCCTGCGAGCTAGGCACTACCCCTCATCAACAAGGAATCTTAGCGGCGGGGCCCATGGCTGGTAAGAACTTTGTAAAATATTACTTTAAATTGTTTTGTTTTAATCTTTACCATAAAGAGAGAAAGTAAAAAGTTCTATGAGAGGTATTTTTAGTTATTAAACTCTAGCTTCTGCACACAGTTTGGTTTCTCTCAGTTTGTCTCTCGATTGTTCATGAAGTAACGAATTAACACTAGAACCATTTAATCTTATGGCGCAACACTATTTTCGAAATTCGAAAAATTGATTGATTCGTAAAATTTAAAGTATATTGAAAGAAAATGTAGACAAAACGGGCAGGCAATGGTCGCAGCTCTTTAAGACTTCTTCTTTTTCAGGTCTACTTCTTGGTTCAATGGTATGGAGTTACCTCGCCGATAAACGTGGACGACGAACTATGATACTCATTGCACTTATGCTCAGCTCTGTTTCCAATATTATTGGCACCATTTCCGTTAACTGGATCATGCTGATGATCTGCCAGTTTATATCAGCATTACTGTAAGTAATTACGTCACATCATGGTCAGTTTAACCTGAATTTTCGTAATGGATTCTCCAAAGATTGGACTGATATTAATCTGCTTAAAACCTAATAGTGTTAGGTAAAAGCAAAGCAGATTTTTCAAATCCGACTGCATACTCCAGAGACTAACGCAAATAACCACAAATAAAAATCTAAAATCTTTGCCCAATTCAAATGGATTCGGTTTGCAAGGTCCTTGTATTGCCATCAACAAAAAAAGTAAAACATAAGCTAATAATACGTAGTAGTAGTCAATAATAAACGTAATACAAAACTACAGATGCAGGATATTTAAAATCACATTATCAATAAAATTAACTAAAAATGGACGGGCCTGTTGGTCTAGTGGTTCACTACCCTGACTGCTCAACCGGAGGTCGTGGGTTCGATTCCCACCCAAAACAAATATTTCACTTCACGCACAAAATTCAATTCACTCGTCCAGATAATAATATTAGAAGTCCTTAAATATATTAGCAATTTCTAGGCCAAAAGTAGCTATTCATCAGTATTAGTATTAGCAGTATCAATGTATTAAAAACTACGGATAAACAAACGAAGATATTTTTCTTGTAAATGAATACATTATATGTATATACTAACACTAAGTTTGAAAAGAACTTATGATTTGATATGATAATCCAGTGCATTATTGCCAGACATCGAAGTCGTCAATGAAATCATAATTGACTTTATAATTTACCATTTCAGAGCTTCTGGATTGTATTCAATGTCGATGACCTATCTTAGCGAAAGCGTGCCAAAGTCTAACAGGAGTTCCGCCGTACTTATAGTATCCAGCGTCATGCTTATCACTCAAGGACTTTTAGCCTGTAAGTAATAATCTCTCTATATATCTGATAAATGGCAGTCTGATTCCAAACTAGGCTGAGCCTGTGCTATGTTAACCAAAATGCTGGGTAGTGGCAGTCGGTCCCCGCCCAAAGAGGTACGAGGAGGTCACATTATTAAACATGTACAATGTATCCTTTTTTTGATTTATTACACAAGCCAATAAGACTTGTATATAGAAACTGATTTTCTTTGTAGGCCTTTCTTCTAGTATTATCCTTACGTATATATTATATTTGTTTTCAGTGCTGGCGATACCCATTATTCCTCTAAGATTCTCATACTATTTACCGGGTCTGGGCATCTATTGGAATTCGTGGCGTTTGTTAATGTTGATGTTCTCCGTACCGCAAGTTATCACCGCCATTTGCTATTACTTCATGCAGGAGAGCCCTAAATTTGTCTTTACAAAGGGAGATGAAGCCAAGGCCCTGGCAATCTTGCAAACTATATACCGCATCAATAACAGGAATAAGAATGAAGAGCTGCAAGTATGTGAATTATCTGAAACTTTGCTGAAGTTTGGCTGAATAATATTTTGCAAATTTTAAAGATTATTTTTTAAATTTTACTGAAGTATTACTACCTTACTAGTATTAACCATAATGGCTTATCAAACAGAATTTAAACAAAAATCTCTTTTGCTAAAAAATGCTATTTTCTTGGCACTTTTCTAGAATTTCTTTCCATAAAGCTTATTGGATTTTTTAAAATGCATCTGTATTTAATTTTTCATTTAACCCTCATCTTACAGGTTAAATGTCTTCTCAAAGATGAGGTTACTGTTATCGATAAATCTACTTCAGCCAGAAAAGTATCGCTGTTCAAGATGCCTCTTCTCAAGTACACAATCATAATGCTCGCGCTCAATATTGCCCAACAGTGAGTATATCTTAATAATGCATTGAATTGACATACAAATATTAAGCGTCAAAAATAAGTCTCTACGCTGAATTATCTTCTGCTTTCTGTAAGTTGCATGTGGTAATGATAATCTCACACACATGTCACTTACTGCCGTCAGATCCCAAATCAGGCAAGGCTTTGCTATAGTAACTAGACTGCTGATTAACATCATCATCAATAGCGTTTAATAGTCAACTACTGGATTTAGGCCTTTCCTTGGAAAGAAGGTTTTAGCCTACTATACTCGTACCACGCTGGCCTGACGTGTTGGTATAGGGTTTGTTTCAAATTCTTCATCTCTACGCAATGCTGTTATTGACTGTTATTGATTGATAAATTCTTTCTTTTATATTTTATTCTTTTATTACTAAGCTTTCCGTGGCAACCTGTAATTAAGGCAGCACTAATTTTTGTATATCACTGCCATTGTATCTCTTGCTTTTTATTTGTGTGTTCTTGTTGGTTGTCCAAATAAATAAAATAAAATAAAATAAATAAAAAATAAATAGGGATGGTGACACTCCGTTCTCTCAATCCGTCACCACACGCACGGATTAATATACTTACAGTATTACTGCGAAAATAGACATGCATCAATATCATTGCTTTCTCTTACCCTTCATCTGTAAAAGCTTTAATTTTAGCTTTAAAGCCTTCGACTTGTCAAACTGATTTGACTGCACGATAGCGTTTTTTACTGCGCTGAGTGTTGTGAGTTTGATCCCCATGTGGAACAACACTTTGTGTGATCCATAAATTGTTTTTTCTGAGTCTAAGTGTACTTTGTGTTCGTTTCAAAAGTGTTTGTAAAGTTACCCACCGCGCCGCAGAATGTATTCCCAGTGCGTGAGTTGTCTTTAAAAAAATCGCTTCTTATCTACCTTTCCTTTCAATAAGCTCAAAATTTTACTGGGCCCTGACAGACAAATAGCATTATTTTGGATGACTACGACATCTCAGATTTTTACTTAGCTACGAAACAAGATGGTAAAATAGGCTATAGGCAAAAGGCATAAGCATTGCATTTAAGCAATTGTCTCACACACAAAATCACACTAAGAATCAATTTCAGGCTCCCTTCTTTTGTGGTGTGGCTACCCAAGATCGCAGACCACTTCGTGCGTATTTTACAAACTGGTGACAGAACAGATCTCACTATGTGCCAAGTATTGAACATGGAATCTACCCACATTGACGTAAGTATAGTCAACATTTTGAGTAGCTATATAATCATAACTTCCTGGTAAGATATGTGTTAAAGTTTATTTCACGTTTCAAATTCAAATTATATATTTGCTATAAATGGGGTGGTACATATTGTGGTATCCCAGGTTAAATATAATGGGTATGGGTATGTCGTAACTGCTTACCCGTTAAACATTACCAACTACTAAAGTTTTTTTGGTGATGGGTTGGAAAATGGGTAAGGTGTATGTGGTGTGACCACTAAAACCACCTCGACGGCGGGCTTTAGATGCCCTACTCATGTGGAAGAATCATGTGGTTTGGAGATCCCCCTTGGGAATCGACGCCGCTCCTATCTAAGCAGGGCCTGTTCAGAGGTTTCTTTGCAGCCCTCTTCATCTGCCAGCATGGCAGTAATGACTGTAGTTAGGGATAGTACGGTAGATACTACGACCTCCCTTCGTGCCTACAATTGCTAGGCGTATAGAAAACATCATGGAGTATTTTTTTCCTGAACAGAATATATATATAATCCAGTGTATTGGACAACTAATGTGTTTCCTAGAGTTTGTTGTGTTCGTATGTGAGTGCATTTATACGTATTTCTGCATGCGTATGTGTGTTACGATTGAGGTAGTATCGTATTTTTTAAACTACTGCAATAAAAATTACATTTGATTTACCTTTTTCAGCCGAATGCGACTCCCTGTGCCCTAAATACGACATCTCTACTATTTGTACTCGGCGTTGGAGTGATGCAAGCTATATTTAATTTATGCATGAGCTTTGTAAGTATCCGAATATAATATCTTATAACTTTCGCCCATTATAATTATTCTTAAGACTTACATGTGACAAAGGCAAAAGGATTATAGGTCTGCGTTTCAAAATACAAACTCAAACTAAACCATAGTCATTTTGGATAACATATTTATAAAACAAATTTGTTTTTAAACAAACTCTGCACTAACGTCTGGCCAGAGTGGTATAGTAGGCCAAAACCTCATAACTGAGGAGAGGTCTCATGTCCATCAATTTACCAGTAAAGATTGTTGATGCTGATGATATCCAACATATCAAGTATTTTATTTTAAATTTTAAGATAAATATAAATATAATTCACAATTGGCATTTTAATAGCATAAAAGTGTGAAAAAAATCATATAAATGAAATTTACGTAATTTTAATATGTATATATTTTTATATGTGTTTTTATATATCATATCGTTTTCCAGATGATCAACTTCGTCGGCCGTCGTAATATGGTGATGGCCATATACTTGTTGTGCGGTGGGAGCGGTATCCTCGTGAACCTAGTCCCTAATATCATCGGCAGTGCTATACTATTCATCCTAATGCTCATGGGCATCGTGATTGTGGGACTGTGCACGACTATCTGCGTGGATTTGTTCCCTACACATTTGAGGTAACAATAATATTCGGCGATGGTTTCTTTTATACATAGCCGTTTCGATCCTGCTTGGAAATCGTTTTCAAGTAGGATATCATAAGATTCTTAGGAGGGAGCTAGAATAAGGGATACAGCAAATCTCGGATGGGAATCAGGACTAAAACTGCAGAAGCTTGAAGACTGATATACAAGAGTTTAGAAATATTAGTTATCATCATCAACAGCCTTTGATAGTCCACAGGATGGACTCCATAGGCCTCTCTTTAGAAATGAGATGTGAACCTACTATACCAAGCTGGCGAGAAGGGATGGCATAGTGTTTGTTGCAAGTTTTCCTTCTCTTTGCAGTTTTTTAAAACTCCCCTTAGTCGGCTCTTACAACACCGATGGGATGAATATGGGTGATCCTCCGTATTCTTAATCCGTCACCACACGGATAAAGAATATAATAATACGGATAATATGTATAATAATATTTCTTATACATTGCTTAATAGAAACACAAGTGCCGATGTTAAGATATAACGTTTACTCGTGGGACAGCCATGCTTCGGCACAAATGACCTGTCTCGACTGGAGTGATACCACGTTCATACAGAAAACCGGAGTTAATCAATGTTTTCGTGGCTTTTTACTAAATGAGAGAAGTTACCGGAGCCCTAATCTCTATTCTCCCTGGTTCCGGGAGAGAGAATTTGCTTGCTTGAATAGCAAGAGTTCATGAACGGCGGTAGTCACTTCCCATCAGGTGACTCGCGTGCTCGTTTTCCCCTCTTTACCAACAAAAATATATAATTATTATCTTGTGATTAGAGAGGAAATTAGGACATTATCTGATCATCCAGTCAAATGTAATAAATTGATATTAATTCGTAGTTGCCAAGTTAAATAGTGAAAACATAACAAAATACCGATTATTTTTGGTTTTCAGGGCACAGGCAATTGCAGTAACAATGACGGCTCAGTACATTGCGATCGTCGCATCCATCCAGGTCCTCAACCTACTGTTCTTGAACCACTGTGATACTGGATTCTACCTCTTCAGCACTTTATTTGCTTGTAAGTATAATTTTCTTATGGAGCCATAAAATTATTTACTATTAACTGACAACCGGATGGCATAATGGTTTGTGTAACGGACTGCTATTCCAAAGGTCGCGGGTTCGATTCCCGCTCAAGTCAAACATTTGTGTGCATGAACATTTAATGTTTGATTTGGTCTGGGTGTTTCTATGTATAATATGTATGTATTTACAAAAAAAAAAAAGTTTATATGTATTTATATCAGTTGTCTAGTACCCATAGTACAAGCTCTGCTTAGTTTGGGACTAGATGGCGTTGTGTGAATGTAGTAAAATATATATAAAAATATAAAATATATTAACTAACGAAATATATTAACTAAATATACTAAAAGAGGTCAACTATCACTATTTGACTTATTTGTGTACACATGGCTAGATCATAGAACTGGTTACTTATTGATTTGTTTAACAATATGAACAGTTAAACGCACGAATATTTTCATGATATCGTCAATCTTTAGATCATGTCGCAAAAACCTACATCACCCCTTAGTTAGAGTTGTTTGTGTTAGAGTTCGCTTTGTTTTTGTGATTCATCTGGCTGGCAGACAATTATTTAGTTTTAAGGGTGAATTTTTGGGCAATAATTGATACTTATAGGATATAAGTTTCTTCTTTTATATTTTTTATTAAAACATTTACTCCATGGCTATCGTACAATAATGGTATTGGCCAAAGTATCATTAAACCTTGATGTTTAAACGATAAAGTTAAAGTATTGAATATGTATCAGTTTTAGCTAGTCACTTGATGAAATATGAACATTTCACGAAACCGTTGACCACATCCTGAAGTGACCAATTGTATGGTCTGGCCACGACATAAATAATAAGCAACCTCGTCCTCCTCCTTCCGTCTGCTCGTCTGCCCCTTCTAACATAAAAAAATAATAATAATAATTGGAAACCGATTTTAGTAACTACATAATATTATAAATTTTAAAAACGATGTATTTCACTTTTTTGAAATTTGCAAATATTTACTTACAGTGGCAGCAATTGTGACAGCGTTCCTGCCAAATGACCGCCAACCGCAAAGCGTGCAATCAGAATTAGTCGACAGCGACGCAGAAAATTTTGTAGAACGGCCGCGCAGAAGATCCTCTATTTACATGTAGTTTATTAGTTTATATTTAATTTATTTTACTGAACGACAGACGCAGAAACTATATTTAATTTATTTTGGATTTCTGAAATTGAGATTCTAAAGTGTGTAATTCCTTGACGAACCTTTGATGTTACTTGCAATTCATATTCACGTGAGTAAGCGCTTTCAGAGTGCACTTGACACCATCGATGCCCATACTATTTTACGAAGTAATCTTTCCAATTGTCTTTGCATTTCGTGTTGCATAGTTTTTAAATCGTTGCTAGGTTTAGTAGAGTATTTTTAATAATAACAATATAATATCATTTAACAGTGCAATGAAAGTAATTTTAAGTTATGTATACCTTAAATTGCTTCGGCTAAAAGTTTTATTTTAGTTTCAAGCATATCGTAGTGTAAGATAAAGTATGCATGTACCTTATTATTTTAATAAAAGTATTATTATTTTAATTTAATAAAAATAAAAATGAAAACAAAAGTTTATATTATTTTAAATATATATAACCCCAGTTTTTTATTATTATTAGAAGTTAAGTTTGTTTGCACAAAAGTTTTTTTTTAAAGTCTCAGTATTTGCAATAATCCAAATAATAAAAGAAATGTATTCCTACGATATTAAATATCGTTGAACCCCGATAGTCACTATGGATTCTTAATGATAAGAGACCAAAAATAAATAATGCATGATCACATTAATTACTATGTATTTATAACTTAAACTTATGATTCTAAATTTTTATTTGACTATTGTGCAGAAGTGGCCGCCTCGCTGGGTGCTTCTTTTACTGGTTGTGGTTGCCGATCATTTGGTAAGAAGCAAGCGACTATCGCAGACGCTGAAAAACACATAGAAAACTGTTAAAAACAAGGTTTATAATGTAAAATTTAAAAAGAAGTGGAAATGATGATACCGATAATCCAGAAGAATGAATGGATGTCGAGTAGTAGTCAATTCGGTTTATAGGTCATCATCAACAGTCTTTACTAGTCGGCTGCTAAAAGCAGGCCTCTCCTTAGAAATAAGGTTTGGGCCTTCTATACTACGCTGGAAAGACGGGTATGTATAGAGCTTGTTTCAAGTTTTCCTTCTCTTTGTAGTGTTGCTCTCATGCATAGTTTGCTTCGTCAGTCGGCTCTTACGACACCCACGGGATGAATAGGGGTGATAACATTTTGTGTTCTCAATCCGTCACTACACGGAAAATGGTTTACAGGTATTAGACCTTAACTTGCTCGAGATATTGCTTATATTTTACAATCTAGTAATATCCCTATTTTTACAATACTTTCAATATTACATCTAATTGATTTACCCCCTATTACTGAAGTGTAACTAAAATTGGCAAAATATGAGCATGTAATATGCCTCTACCTATCCTTCTAGGGATCTAGGTGAGTGTACATACCCATGTATGGAAACTATTTAAATATGGCGTACCCCGACTAAAATATGACATCCAGATAACCAATTGTTTTACCTTAACGACCTTGTGTGACTACGGATTGTTGCAAAGCAACTGGTCTTGAAATTTATGTTCCATACGAGTGTTTTGAGCGTGATAGACTTATAATCATATAATAATGTACCTTTTTTTTTTGTGGCATGTCGGATTCGAACCGACTAAAACCGCACGCCGTCTCGGGTACTAATAGCCGGGGATCCAGGTATACCCTAGAAAGAAAGTCCCTGGTGCCCCGACATTCCTCGGGCCATCTACAACAACAGGTAGACGACCCCCCCCCCCCGTGTGGGAACCCCATGTTCCCTCTGCTCCCTGGAAGCGAGCGCGCTTCGCAATACGCTCGCCGCCACCCCGGCCTGCTTCTGCAAGGGTGACAGATGGCCTCACCTGTCACCCCTAGGCCTGCGCTTATGGAGGACGGAGGTCGTTCTGCGACCTCCTGCGCCTGAGACGCCTGCGGTACCTGGCCCGTACCCGGGCCTGGCGGGCCGGGAGAGTTCTAAACCTCTCCCGGTCCCGCTCCGCCGTCTCCTTAGCGACCAGAACGGATAATAATGTACCTATCAAAAACAATCTAGCAACACACGATACAACAAAAGCACTAGTGTTTTTATCCGCATTCTTATCTATATCAATATTATAATAAACAGGTCAAATTTGTGACTTCGGACGTTCGGGGTAATCTTAGGAACTACTGGTTCGAATTGAAAATATATCTCATTATTAGATAGCTCTTTTATCAAGGAACGATATAGGTTGTATAATATCATGCTACGAACAAAGAGCTGAGTATCAATGAAAAATGTTGAGAAAACAGGGAAAATTTACTTCTTTTGAGGGAAGCAAACGAAGTTGCGCGGGTCAGCTAGTCGAAAAAAAAAACGAGTGTGCTTTAGACTGAAGTAAAACTTCTTGGTTATGAGAGAAGGAGAGAAAGAAAATGTATGCTCGCACCTCTCTCTCTTGCCCCTACAGTAATATACGAAACGGAACTCTCTTCCTTTCTATTTGCACTAACTTATATCTCCCTCTAAACTTTCGTTGCCCTCGCCCGATCACACTTTTCGTAACGCTCTCGTCACGCATTCACCAGCTTACTCCCCAAGTTAAGAGTGCGTAAAGAAGTTTTACTTCAATAAAAACGTTAACTGTAAACTCTGACTAGTACAACAGCTGATAGGGAACCGACAGGTAAGTTCACATATAGATAATGGGCCCTGTAGGTCTTAGAGAAGATGACAGAATTAGAATCGAATAAGAACCAAAAAACTACAACACTCTGTTGCCTTGAAAAGTCAAAATAATTGTAAAAATGTTCTGATCTGATCAAGGCCCTTTAGTTTTTCTTTTTATTAAGAAGCCTCGAGGAACGTTATTTTATGATATAGAGGCAAATAAGCAGACAGGTCACCTGATGGTAAGTGACTATCACCGCAGTACAGTCAAGCAGACTAGGTACGTCGTACATGAATGCCTAACGACTCTTAATAATAATATTTCAGACACGTAACTCACAACGCCATCTAGTTTCAAACTAAGCAGAGCTTGTACTACGAAAGATAGAATACCTATATACTTTTTTATTTGTGAATACATACATATTATATATAGAAAATACCCAAAAACTCCGAAACAAATATTTGCATATCATACAAACACTTGGTCCGACCCGGGAATCGAACCCGAGACCTCAGTACAGCAGTCGCATACGCTACCACCACGCCACCGAGGCAGTCAGCTAATAGACCGAAGAATGTATTTATTAGTGATATATTACTAACCTGTTAATAAAGAGCTAAATAAGAAGAAACCGACGTTACAGTGGTGTTCCAATAATAGATTAAGGATCTGGATGGATGCTATTATTCCTATGTATTGAGCAAACATTGTGAATTCAACGGCTATCGCTCTGAAAAAAAATTAATTGTACTAATAAATTATAGCATGCAAAACACTTAAAAAAAAGAGAGAGAAGGCTCTTGCGTCAATCCGTATCTTGTTTTTTTGTACACTACGAACATATAAAAGATATCAATACGAAAATATATAACATCCTTAATTTTTTCGTTTTTTCAAAGTTTACTGGACCAGAAGAATTCATTAAGTACTATATGTCGCTGGATTGTACAATCTGATGTGACTATTGTATACTAGGAACAATATTGACACTAACATTGACATAATTTGGGGACGTATTTTTTTATTTTTAAATATTTAGATTGATTTTAATATGTATAATTTCAACACAATAATTAATGTTTTCTAAATAAGTAAATGAAATAAATATTAACCTTCAAAATTTTTGCACAACACTCATCGTGTCCGAGGAATTGTTCAGTATTTCGAAGAAGTGCCACCTCTACTTCTCTTCTGAGCACAGTCTTAGACATCTGGACTCATTACACTAAATATGTCCATGCATGAGCTACTACTGTTTCCAGATGATTGTTTAGCAGAAAAAAAAAACTTACCTTAAATTAGTAGGAAACAAAGCAACGCATATTGCAGTGGAAAGGCCAACCACAACACAGCCCATTATCATCATGATGAAGAGCACCGCACTGCCAATCATGTTGGGTACTAAGTTGACGAGGATCCCGCTGATACCGGAGAATGAGATAACAAAAATTGTAAGATTCCTGCGGCCTACTAAGTTGATCAACTGTAAAATAAAGAAAATATTACCGAAGTAATAGAAGAAGAACTCTTAAATAAGCTGAATAAGTAATTAGAAATGTTTCTTACAAAACTGATGCATAAGTTGAAGATAGACTGCAATACTCCTATACCAAGCACTATTAAAAGGGAAGTCTCGTCCAGAGCACAAGGCGTTGCATTAGACTGAAAAAAAAAGACAAATTTAATTACAAATGAGCCTTAGCGTAGCAATTACAGTTGGATATATCTGTAATACAAGGAGAAGTAGGCTTAAAACGGGACAGGAATGTTGGGACAATGCTGTGTGTGATCCACAAATTTTTGTTCTGAGTCTGGGTGTTCTTTGTGTCCGTTTCTGGTACCTATGTTGTTTGTTGTTTGTTTGTTGATTGCGGTAGTCATATTTCTGGAGAGTTTGTTGAGGTTTTAGTACGTTTTATCTTGATCTTCATGGTAAAATCTATAGAGAGTTCGTAATTATTCAAAGTTTCATCAATGGACTGGGCAAGACTTTATGGGGCAATTATTTCATAAATTAAGTTGAAATTAATAAAGAACTCAGTTTTACGGATAGAGACTACCAATTGGGCCTTACCCATAAAATATTTGTGAGTCTAAGGACTGTTCCAGAAAATATTTTAGATAAAGTTAACTTATTGTATTAATCAGAATGATGCAAATATGTCTATAAACGAACTAGGGCGCGGCATGCCATTGAAAGGATAACTGGTTTGCATTGCTTATACTTAGCTACTAGCTTCATAATTCTTAGCATTACGTTGTACCCATATAATTATTCTAGAAAATGTTATTTAGAGTCATTTATCTATAATTTGAGTGTATTTAGAAATATGTAAAATGTTTTACCATTGGCATTGTCGATGTCATTAAATTTATCTTTACCAGTGCTTGTTTTGTTGATATAAATTTAAATTGTACTCACGTCAGTCGGCACTGGTGGCATATTCAATACATTGCACACGGTTAAGTCACTGCCTTCGCCAGTTTGAATGCTCCGCACAAACTGGTCTGTGATTTTTGGCAGCCACACGGAAAAAGCTGCAAGCCTGGAATGTCATTTAACTAATGAACACAACATTTATTAAGTGTAATTTACATTTATTTGAACACCGTACAAGGCAACGTCATATTAACAAATTATGAATTAGACCATCTAAAACTGCACTACTTCATAAAAGTATATTCTGCATGGGCCCAAAAATATATAATAAGATACCATCAGATTTGAAAAATGAAAATAACTTAATTTTATTTATGAAAAAGTTACATGCTATTTTAGTTGGTAAAACTTATTATTCGGTAAAAGAATACATGGAAGATAATATGTAGAATGATGTAAATAATGCTCTACTTACATCTTCCTTTGACATACATCAGTACAGAAATTTTGACGTATTAATTTGACATATTATAGTTTGTATTTATTATTATTTGTTTATTTGGACTATTTAACTTTAGAACTGTATTATTATTTAGAACAATGACACTACTGGATATTCTTTTGTTATAATTAATGGCTATTATTTAATTATTGTTAAATTTTGCATGCTGTGACATTCGGCTTAATATGGTGAAACTAGCTGTATCTTTTCCACCTGTTTTTCTTTTTGTATAACCCATATTATCGCAAATGAATTGAATCGAATTGAATTGAATTGAATTGAACATGACTTTGAACTAAATAATAAGTGTTTTTCACACGTCAATGAGGATGTAAATCATACTCCGGAATTATAATATACTTATATATATAAAAGTTTAGTTCACTATGTTAAGAATAGTGTGATACAGAAAAGGGCGGCCAAATGTTGATGGTTTCATTGATGTCAGCCCTTCTATATAGCTATAAAAACACTAGCTGACCCGGCAAACATTATTCTGCCGTGTAAATTTTTATTAAAAAATAGGGGTAGGAGGTAAGTATATAAAAAAACCCATTAAAATCGGTCAAGCCGTTTCATAGAAGTGCGACCACAAACACCGCGACACGAGATATTTATATGTTAGATTAGCTTTAGAATTCTATTAGGTAATGTAATGTAGGTTTCCAAAGAAGATTTCTAAATATTTTTTATTTTGTTATTTATGACGAAGTTCTGAGATAATAAACCAAGTGTGGCAAATTTAGATTTTTTATCTGAAAGTCTTATTTAAATTCCGAAATAAAAAACGTATAGTGTGGAAAATTAAAGGATGACAAAATGAGTTTATAAAAATTCATCACTATGTTGGCATAATGGAGTCGGTGCAAATTAATAACATTTAATTGTTCTACATATGAAAATATTTGTGTGGAGACGGTGGATATTAAGAATGTGGGGGTCGGGGAGCAAACTCTGCAGGTCAACAGCACTGCAAAGAGAAGGAAAATTTGAAACAAACACTATACCAACCGGTAGCCAGCGTGGTATAGTAGACCAAATACTCCTTTCTAAGGATAGTCCTACATCCAGCAGTGAACTATTAGAGGCTGTTAATAATGATGATGATATATGAAATTGATCAAAGTTCTAATCGTTTCGGTGTGATCTTATATCTAAATCTTGAATCTTCCTTGTTCTTATATATAGATAGATATATATGTATCTCTTGTCTTAAATCAACAGCATCGCGCTGAAGCCAGTTCTTCTCTGTGAGCTCCGAGTGTCAATAATAGCAATTATATTAAATAAAAGTTATGTTTTCTAATTAAAACTTTGACAAACTTACTGTTGTGCCAAGTTGAGAATTGTCATGATAATCGTATATTTGAGGAGTGGAGCCTTAAATAGAGGAATTATTCGTTCCTTAGCTGAGATGATCCCGATGGTTGCTGTAACTTCATCCTTTAGCAGACCCTTGACCTGCAAGGTAAACACATATGTAAACAGAAATGTAAGAATGTGTGTAGCTACACGGCAAACTAAATACCTAGTCAGTAGGACGAAATGGAAGTACTATTAAACTATTACTTAGTACCATTATTATTATTATTATTTTAAAACAATAATAATTTTTAATGTATGCGTGAAGAAACCAGTTATTTACAATTTACACATCTGTGAACGTATAATTATTTATTTATCGAAATAACACACTCATGTAAACCTAACAAGGTATTTCTTTTGTCGTGTATACATACACACATACACTCATGTCTGTATTCCCAAAAGGGTAGATCGAGGCGTATGTCATATCATATATTTACAAATCCAAATATACAAGCAATATTCTTTTCCTTCCAATATCTTTTTTTTACCTCTCCATTTTTATATAACTACTCTCAACTTTCTCATCTTTAATACCTAAAGGTAGGCCCTTTGCAAAATCAAAATCTAGGCAAAATATAGGTATGGGTGGGTAAGTGAAATGAGTCCCAAACTAAATTTCGACAAATCTTTCAATGACTAGATTTTACTTGAACAACATGGAATCCCGCTATATATTCATTTCGACAATACTTTATTTCGAAATGTCTTAAGTCCGACACTACTATACTCCGACAAAGAGTTTCTTCGACTTGAGTTAACTAAGAAACAATGAGAGTCCGACGACATTGTTTTTAGACAACAATGGCAGTGTCGGACTAGTCGAATTTCAAGTACACTACTCTGACATACTGTACTTCGACAATATCTTAAATAAATATCACTGGGCCACGAAGTGATGCTCTTAAAAAAATAAATCCTTTCTGGTGGTGTCCCAATAACTGATTTGAGATATTTTCCTATCGAACAAAATCTTTTGCAGAAATTCTATCTTAGTTTCAGAAACATAAATCCCAACAAAGTAATGGTAACGCATTTTCAAATAAATTTGAAAATAAAAGTAAGTAATGTATCACAAGAAACTTAATTCTAGCAATAAACGATAGTCCAATAATCGTGAATCTTTAACTGTCCAGAGATAACTCAAATACTCTTTATGAAAAAAAGGTAATAAGAATTCTACATTCGCTGCCTTAGTGTAGTAAGTAGAGTGAGACCAATTTTAAATCTATACTATCGAGGCAGGCACTCAAATATACACAAATAAATTATCAAAATTTGTCCTCCAATTTCAAAGGAGTGCAGTATATAACACATTTTAATGGTCTAATACAAACCTGTAAATCTTCTGTAGATCTCCTATTATTGATCCTATAAATAGTCTTCAGTACCTTCAACGCTTTTCCTTCATTTCCTTTCGTGAAGATAAATTTGGGACTTTCCTGCATAAAATAGAGAAAGACAGCAGAAGTGGTGCATGGGAGGGAAAATACCGCCATAAGCGTACGCCACGAGTTCCAGTGAATGCCAAGCCATGGTATGTGGTATGAAAACCCTAAAGGAATTATAGGCAGCGCCAACACTGAAAAAAAGTAATAATCGTAATTATGTTTTTGTATGCACACATATTTATGTAAATATAGTAATATTCAGTTGAATTAGCCATATTATAGTTTAACTAAAAAAACATGATTCGACATTACGAATATATCGACTGACTCGACCGAAATGATTCTATAAATCTTATTTTATTTTCTTGACCCTTTCTTATGCAATAAAATAAATAAACATGCACACCACCCTACACATATACATAAACACACATACACTCACGCACAAGTACACGCACGCACACACACACACACATACTTAGTTCGAATATTGCTTAATAAATCTAATATTAAATATATTTCTAAATACAAACCCAGATGCAGAACATATGATCGTGTTATTATCTGTTTGTTTCCATGTATAATATGTATGTAATAAAAAAAAAAAGGATATATGTATTTATATCAGTTGTCTAGTACCCATAGTACAAGCTCTGCTTAGTTTGGGACTAGATGGCGTTGTGTGTATGTGGTAGAATATTATATTATATATTATATTATTATACGTGGAAATCTCTTATATATATATATATATATATATATATATATATATAGATTTAGAAATAGCCCTACACCAAAACCTCTTTCCAAGGCTCTCCTTGTCCAAGACTATTAAAGGCTGTTGATGAAGTGTGTTTTTCAGCAATTTGGTTACCATTGTGCAGGCTTGCCTAGTTTGAGATCAGACAGCCGTTTATGAGATGTGTAAAGGTGATTATTATTATTATTATCTCTAGAATTTTCATTTTGTGTGGGATGCCAAAAGGCAAGGTGATGTATTAAATTGGAATCTTTCTAGTCAGTGATCACAAAGTGTTACGTCACCGGGTTTTATGAAATCATTTGCTGAAATATTTTACTTGAAGAACTATTTGGCATTCTGTGCAAAAAGAAACAAAGAATAACTAAGGAGGCAAAAAATACCCCACCCACCATAATCGAATTAAAATTCAACGTATTTCTTTTTAAAACATTCCAATTATAATAGCCTTTATTGAAGTAAATAATTGTAATACGTGGGACATACTGAAAGTCTCTGCATCTGACCACTTACAATAAAATAATGATAAACAATTATGGAATTCGAAAATGGAACTCTTTGGGAATATGTAACTTTTTAATTTGCGAGACTGTCATTTGTTTTTTCATTATGACGTCCTTTCGAAAATTATGTGACGCTATCGAAATGAAATTAACTCGTGAACATTTTTGTTTACTGATTTTTTATAATTTTCGTTGGTGGTTAGGTCAACAAGAGAACTTCAATTGGCATTTGGTGATGAAGAACCATGTCGCAGCTCTGTGTATTCGTAGTTTGGAGAATTTAGACGTAGACGTGATCATCTCCATAAACGTACGTACGTAAAGGTTGGTCGGTACAGACTCTAATATTGACACCGTATGACAACTTAAAGAAACTGAAAAAAAATTACTTGCCAGCAAATTAACGCTTTGTTTATAGGCATAAGAATGAGCTAAGTGAAAAACATTTTACATGTGCATCTTAAGATTGTGAAGCTTTTGAACCACATGGATACCGCATGACTTAACGAAGGACCAGAACGACAGCGTGTCCAGTGGTGCCGTAACATGATAAAAAAGTTTAACGGAGGACAGTCATTGGCTGTATCGTGACGGGTGACAAAACCTGGATGTACTACTTTGAACCCGAAAGAAAAAGCAAGTCGGCAGAGTGGGTCTTCCATTTCAAGATTTGCCCACGAAAGTTAAGAAAAGTCGAAGGTAAAAAAATGGTTGCTTCTTTTTTCGGCAAATCAGGACATTACACTACAATATTCTTTGAAGATCAAAGGACAGTGACTTTAGATTGGTACGTCAACACTTGCTTGCCCAGAGTCTTAGAATAAGTTTTGGAAAAGCGTCCTTGAAACAATGTTCTCCTTTACCACGATAACGCATCCTCACACTAAGCTAAGGTAACAGAGGCCTTTCTTTTTGGTTCCAAAAATGAAAGACAAACTTAGAGGCACACGTTTTACGAGCCCTGAATCGGCGGTGAATGCGTTCCATGAAGCCTTTGTGTACAGTGGTTTCAGCGAGTGCAAAATGCATTAATGAGGGTATTCGATACTTTTTCTGCTACCAGACGGCGCTTCGTATGCGTCAGGTCCAAACAGCTGTCAGATAGCACAGATTCTTACCGAACGTATAATATTTTAGTGAAATTCTATGAATTTGGAAGTGTTATTGAGTTTATTATAGATTACGGCTAGAGAAAGGTTGCCGAACTGAAGATTGACCTCAAAAAGAGAGGCTCAAAAGTTTTATTTGCACAGATAGATACTGCACAACACTGAGGAATTTTAGAAATCAGTATTCCTTTGGTAACGTTTTTAAGAATGAATAAACCAAAAAAATGATCGAAAAATACAAATCGTGTATGTCTTTTGACAGGTGGTTGGACCTGACGCTACAGTGCTGCCATGTCACGTGAAACACTTCAGAAAACCCTCATTGTGAGGGAATATACTTTAAAAAACAATAAATGTTTCGTCTAGATATAAGAATATCTAGTCTTATTTATCAGAATCCAGAAACTTTCAGTATGCCCTAAGAAACAGGTAATACCATAAATAAAAAATTATAACAGAAAATAGGTTTTTGTCTATTTTATTAACATTAATCAACTTTTTTTAATTAATCGATCCCCAAAGATCACACTAATTTCAAATTGTTTTTTTTTTTGATAGTTACTTACTAAAACACTGTTTTGAGTACTTTTAGAAACAGGTTTTGTTAAATATCTTATTTAAAAGACCATGTGAATGTACCATGTAATTTATTCATAACGATGATAAATACAGTACCCAGACAGAAGAAATAAAGTAGCTAAATTCATATGTAATTTTAGCAAAATGGTGTAACAAAAATTGAATCAAACCGAAGGAAATATAACTTTATCTTAGGCGGTCGTAACGCTGAGTGTTGAGGGTCCGACACTTTGTGTAATCCCTAAATTGTTGTTCTAATTCTGAGTTCTCTTTATGTCAAAATATAATAATAAAGGATATATTACTAATGTTGTCTCAAAAAAAACCTTAAACCTTTAAACTATCTCCGTTCCATAGCTTTTGCCTGCCTGCATGTATATGAGTTGTATGTAATTTAGCTTTCCATTGGTGTAAGAATTTTTTAAATCGGTTTAGTGGTTTAGGCGTGAAAGCGTAACAAACTAACTTTCACATTATATTATAAGTATAAAAGTTTACTGGAATTAATGCCTTCACGATAGGTATTAGGTAGCATTATTTTGAAGTTAAAACTAAGTTAAGTTATCAGCATTATGAATAAATTACATGGTAATTAGACGCTTGGTTAAAAACCTGTTTTTCGAGTACTCATAACAGTGTTTTTGGAGATCGGTTAATTTAAAAAAAAAGTTAATTGATTTTGATAATATAGACAAAAAAACATTTTCAATTATAAAATTGTATTTATGGTATTATCTCAAATGTTTTTACAATCATTTACTTCAATTAAGGCTATTATAATCTTCGAACATTTAAAAAGAAATACGTTGGAGACGATTTTTTTTAAAACAATGTTGTTCCTTTAGTTATTCTTTTATTTTATTGCACAGTATACCAATTAGTTCTTTAGATAAAATATTTTAGCAAACGGTATGAAAATCCCAGTTACGGAACACTTTGTGATCATTGACTAAAACGACTCCAACCCCCTTTGGCATCCCACACAAAATGAAAGTCTAGAGATAGTAATAACAATAATAACCTTATACATCTCAAACACGGCTTTCTGATCCCAAACTAGGCAGAGCATGTATAATAGTAACCAAATTGCTCATAAACATACTTCATCAAGAACTTTTAATAGGCTACTGCTGGACAAGGAGAGTCTTAGAAAGGAGGTTTTGGCCTACAACGAGTATAACACGCTGGCCAGACGGGTTCGTATAGGGTTTATTTTGAGTTTTTATTCTCTTTGCAGTGCTGTTGTCCTGCGTCCTTAATCAGCTCTTACGACGCCTACGGGATGAATAAGGATAGTGACACTCCGTATTCTGACGGGCCTGTTGGTCTAGCGGTTAGTGACCCTGACTGCTAAGCCAGAGGTTGTGGGTTCAATTCCCACCCAGGACAAATAATTGTGTGATGAGCACAGTGATTTGTTCTGTGTCTGGGTGTAATTTATCTATAATATGTATGTATTTAGAAATATATAAGTATGTTTATCAGCTCAAAGCAGGTTCAGCAGTCTGGATACCATAGTACAGGCTTTGCCTATTTTGGGATCAGACAGCCGTGTGTGAGATGTGTGAGGTTATTATTTACTAGCTGACCCGCGCAACTTCGTCTGCGTCTCTCAATAGTAATAAAATTTCTCCGTTTTTGAAACATTCATCATTGGTGCTCCGCTCCTTTTGGTCTTAGCGTGATGATATATAGCCTATAGCCTTCCTCGATAAATGGGCTATCTAACACTGAAAGAATTTTTCAAATCGGACCAGTAGTTCCTGAGATTAGCGCGTTCAAACAAACAAACAAACAAACAAACAAACAAACTCTTCAGCTTTATAATATTAGTATAGATTATTATTATTCTTAATCCCTCACCATATGGACTTATGTATATACAAACATACTTAACTATTTTTAAATACATGCATATCATAGATCGTCGTATGATAGATCGTCTAACAGTCGACCTCGACCATTTTGAATGTTTTGTCATCATCAACAGCCTTTAATAGTCCACAGCTGGACATAAGCCTCTCCTTAGAAAGGAGGTTTTGGCCTACTATACCACGCTGGCCAGACGGGTTGGTATAGGGTTTGTGTCAAGTTTTCCTTCTCTCTGCAGTGCTGTTGTTCTGCGTAGTTTTCCCCCTTAGTCGTCTCTTACGACACCCACGGGATGAATAGGGGTGGTGACACTCTGTATTCTTAATCCGTCACCACACGGACGTCGATGTTTTGTCATATTTCATTGTAACTTAAACTGTCACTGTAAATACTTTTGTGTTATGACGTATTAGTACGAGATCTGGCTGCAGAATCAGTGCACTCAACGAGTATGTGCTAAAAACCCAGCCATTAGAAAGAAGGTAAGCAGGACAACACTGCAAAAAGAAGGAAAACCTCATTTCTAAGATCTATTATACTCCTAGATAAATGTAATGTTATGTTATAATCCTAAAAACAAAGAACAATGTAGTAATTATTAAGATAGTTCTTACTTGCCATAAATCTTTGTCCCAGGAACATGACGCAGAAGACGATCAGCACAGCAGTATTCCTGTTTGCTATCGGCACACACTCACTGAGTAGCGTCATCGACATGGTGTACAGTCCTGATGCACTGAAACATTATAAAATTAAGTTTTTACATTTTTAAGAAACTCGAACTCCGTTTGGAAAGAGGGAAGAAAGAAACTTTAAAAAAAAATATATTTTTTTTTTTAAATAGGATGTCATAATGTCATATTTTTTTGCAACGCAGTTCCTTATCGAGTGTTACACGCTCTGGGCGAATGGGAGCGATACCGAAAGATATGTAACAAGACTTTTTCCCGACACTTCAGTTGGTGCGTCGACGCTCACATCTTTTTCATATTTCATATATATAGCAAACGTCTACCAAAAAGCGAAAGGAACTTCGTTCCGCATATCATATTTGTAAAGAACAGTACAAAGAATAATCTTTGCTTATGACAGTGAGTATAAGTGGGGCACTCAGAAAGTTTTGAGAAACTTATGTGGATAAAATATATTTGGTGTGAGTGATGATGGAGGTCAGCAAGGCGAAGAAAGCGATAGCTACGCCTCGATAGGGTCGGAGAGGGACACGTGCCGGCAGTCGGCAGTCGATGATGAGGACGGAACTGGTCTCGCGAAGCGGACACTCAGTGTCAGTGTCGCAAACCAGTCCACTACGCAGGGAAAGCTCACCAAGCCCACCACCAATAAACAAATGACAGCTACAAGAAACAAATTGTATCCTTCAGCCAAAGAGTTAAATTTTTAATTGTTATAATAACTTTTTTAATGTTGTCTTTTAATTGGCCAGTTTCGGATACATAAATAGCAGCCCTCGTAGTCTATATTTTTTGGTCTATTCTCTATAAGCACGCTATCCGATTTGTAACTTTGTATACTCGACAATAATCTTGTGAAATTATTTAAGAGTTATTGCTGAACTGCAAACAGCACTACAAAGAGAAGGAAAACTTGAAATAAACCCTATACCAACCTGTCTGGCCAGCGTGATATAGTAGGCCAAACCGCCTTAATAATAATAATAATAATAAAAGTTTATTTCAGACTTATGGTCCATATTTATGTTAGTATTTTAGTGTTAGTAACCATAGTGCTTAAGTTGATAGGTTAGTATTATTAGTAATTACATTTTTACTTAAATTAACTATTTGTATAGACCTACGACTGTCCCCACCCATTGTTTCTCGATTGGGCAATCCGGTCTGGCAGCGATCATTTTCAGAATGCTGTTGTCACTGTCATGTAGGCGCTGGAGTAAGGAAGCCGCTTTCTTTTGCATAATTGCGTAGAAATCATCTACGCGAGCCTCCGCGAACATACCTGATGCGCTACAGCGCTGCGGCAGCCCCAACAGCATCCTGAACGCATTATTATATTGAACACGCAAGACATTGCACGCGCGTCGCGTGTATGACACCCACAGGCCGCTCGCGTAGAAAGACTGACAAAACGCCTCAAAAGGGTTACTTTGACATCCTCGCCGCAACGAGCGAACCAGCAATGGACTATTAAAGGCTGTTGCTGAACTAGGATATTTGAAATTTTTATGACGATCTTAAATCGCTAAACTAGATTTACCCGGTTTTCTAGAACAGTAAATTAAATGTATTTTTTTGGAGTTTACTCCTTAAGAATCGATGTTCATATGTATAGTATGCAAAATTAATGATGAGTGAAATTTATTGACCGAATGGCCTCGTTTCGTTTTTTACTTTTACGTGATATTTGATACTTTGTGATAGTTTTCTATGATTGCCATTAGTTTCAGTTTAGAGAGTAGTCCACTATAAAATTAAAATTGTTTTCAAACGGAATAAACCCCAAAATAAATGGCAATGATAACGTGACTTCTAATTATTTTACTAACATTTACGTAGATGGCGCTGATCACTAAATTTGTGTGCAGCCGACATACACAGGGTATATGTTCTTAAGGAGTAAACTCCAGTCGTGCGTCGGAGCTGCACACACACTTTTTTTCAAGGACCGCACTATACTTTGTAAAATTTAGCTTGGAACGGCTGAGAGATGTTACAAAAAATGTGGTATTTTAAAATTATTTTCCTTAAGTCGTACAACAGATATTTTCTTTGTAATTCATTGGCCATATTTTTTTTATAAAAAAGAAACAAAGTTATCCTAAATGGAGTTTTTAATTTATGTAAAAATTCATTTTGAACCGAAGCTATATTATACGTGCGTTCCATTATTATGTTTATTTGCCACTCTTTAAAAAGCAAATCAACATTTTTAATATATTTGCATCTTTGAGGGACACCACTAACTAATTTAAAGTTGGGAACTCTTGTAATTTCTAATATCTTGTAATGTAATTTCGTATTACAGCCATCTTAAAATCATCAATACCAGTAACTGATGATGTTTCTTTTTGTTTTTTTTTTTTAAATTTATATTTTGGATAATTTTATTTCGTTCGTTGAAGACTCATCGATATATTTTTCTACACTGATGTGGTTCACTAAAGCTCGCCCTGTGCCGGAAGGGTAATTGATGCGTGTATCATAGCTGGCATATGGCTGTGTGAAGACACACCATGGGAACAACAGTCCACCACTTTGGTTCTCGCGTTTAAAATATTGACACAAGCGAACAACAAACTTCGTGTGTCAAATTTCATACTAATTTTTTTTTTACTATGTATAAATAGGACTTAAGTCTTAGTGTATAAACTCAAATAAATAAAATTATCAGACTACTAGCTGACTCGGCAAACGTTGCTTTGCCTAAACAAAAAATTTAGGGATGGGTCACCCTTACCATTTAAGGGTATGAAAAATAGATGTTGGCCGATTCTCAGACCTACCCGATGTGCACACAAAATTTCATGAGAATCGGTCAAGCCGTTTCGGGGGAGTACGGGAACGAACATTTTGGCACGAGAATTTTATATATATAAGATTACAGAACATTATTTTGTCTTCACATAATGTGCGCGTGGCGGCCGGCACTGCGGTTTTATACAAAAAACGTCACCGATGTGCAACATCAATATAGAAATTGAATGTGTGGAGGCGTGCACTGCGGTTTCGAACACTGAGTCATTGTAGTCTTATCTACCTGTGTGCCACGATATCGATAAGACTCATATGAATGATATAGAAATGATCAACCTTTCGAGCTAAAAAAAAAACAGTATGCATGTTAACGAACATTAGAAAAAGATATTATGAATTATATCTGAAAAAGGACTCGAGAAAGGACCAGTTTATCGAAAATACGAGCGAAGAATGAAAAGCATTATGCTTCGTCAAGTTTTATGTCCCCAGAACTAAGTTACGTTATGTTCTTAAATGACGAATTATGACTAGAGGGAATTTGTTTTAGAAGTTTTGTTGTTTTTAGGGATTAGATAAGACCGAACAGGAATGAGATTAATATGAATTAAAACAATAATACAGTTAATGGATTTAAAAAAAAAACGACATATAATTTGTGCACCTTGGTAACTTTTAATTGCAAATCAATTAAACGTTCCATAGAAAATGTCAGACGAATATGTTAAACCGCTGATATAGTGGCGCTTCAAGAAACGTGGTCATTGACACAAGATATACTACTATTGGGAACTGTGTACAACAATTTCGAGTTCACGAGCAAGTCTGCTGTCGACACGTCAGCGGAGATCCTCATATGGCGTCCATGCGGTGGAGTGGCCTTGGCGAAAGGGCGCCTTTCAGTCTATGTCGGTAGTGAAATGTAAAAGTGTGAGACTTGCAGCTAAAAAAGTGACTACGTGTGATAGATCTATTATAGTGTTCAGTGTACACATGCCCACAGATAACTTAAAAAATATAGTGGAATTCACGGACTGTTTATGTGAAATGAGGGCTACAATCGGTGACAATGAAGTAGAAGCCATTTACATGCTGGGTGATTATAATTCACATTCTAATCAATCGTTTTGGCTAGAATTGTGTAATTCTTGCAACGATCAACATTGTGTAATAATAATAATAATAACCTTGAAAATTATACATATATAAGTGATATTATTGGAATTAGACGACTGCTTGACCACTATATTGTGACTAAAGCAGCATGGTAATCTGTAATTAACGTGAACAGAGATTATCGTGTTGCCGCGTCTGATCACTTGCCTATGATTATCAATTGTAATTTAAAAATATTGATACTACAGAATCATACTAGAGGCACTGAGTTAAATAAAGGATCTTAGGGTGCGCGTAGTGTATCCCCGCGACAGATACATATCGTATATGGGTCGGGACGACGAAGAATGTTGAAGGGAAGTCACATGCGGGGTTCCCCAAGGGTCGGTCATAGGACCCTGTCTGTGGAACCTCGCGTATGATGCCGTTCTGAGGACCAGCCTTCTCCCCGAATTAAGCGTCGTCTGCTATGCAGACGATACTCTAGCACTGGCAAGGGGGCATGGATTATCGCCGAGATAGGGGTGGCTTGTGTCGTCCAAAACCTCACCTGTTGCACCTCATAAGACGGTAGCCTTGTGGTTCCATAGGAATCGCAGAGGTGCAGTTTCAACCCGGTCACTTACTAGAGTGGGGGGAACAGAGGTCGAGGTTGGCCAACACATTAAATAACTTGGCCTCACCCTAGACAGCTGCTGGAGCTTCGAGGCGCATTTCGAGCGGATGATCCCCCAAGTTCGTGTAGTCGAGAGGTTAAAATCTCTCTTTTTTCGCACTTTTTAAAGCATACTGTTACCATCTGTGGGCTAGAAATGCCAAGCGACCGCTAGAGACACTTAAGGTACATTACAACAATTGCTTTAGGATGCTGTTGGGACAGCCAAGCTTTTGAAGCGCACAAAAACCAACTCGCTGCTTACAAGAATGCGATCTAATGGTATCCTAATCTTGTTAAGCAATAAACATGATGCACCCTGGTTGCGTCATGCAATAAGAGTCCTAGTAAGACCAGGATAATAAAAAATGTGGTATTTACTAATATTAGGCTTAAGTTAATTGTTACTAACACATTGTGCCTTGTTGCCATCTGATAAACGATTATTATTATAATATAAATATAAGATTTAATCCAATGGCAAAGAACAACCAAACCCAGAAAAAAATGATATCG